CGCCAAGTTGCTCATGCTCGTCAGCGTGTGTGGATGCTCAGGCCCAAGCACCTTCTCACTCCGCGCCAGCGTCTGCCTGTTCATCGATTCCGCCGCCTCGTACCTTCCCCGGTAGATAAGTGTTATTCCAACTTCATTCATACTTGCAAGTGTCTGGTAGTGCTCCTCTCCTAAACTCTTTTCTCTCAATAATAATACTTCTCGGTGCGTTGTTTCTGCTGCTGAATATTGCCCGAGGCTCGTTTGACATCGTCCCACCCGGTCTAGAAGCGAAGCCCTTGCTGTTTCGTCCACTGTGCCGTTAGGTCTAGCCGCGTAGATTGCGTGCGAGAGGTATGTCGTCCATATTTCCTTCCTCTCATGCCCGCCGGGCGGCACTAGCTCCTCAAGCCGTGCCACTGCTGTGCCCGCCCAAGTCGCCCGCTCACCATGTCCGTCCAGCCACCAGACAGACGCCATGTGGACCAATCGGTGCATATCGAAGAACCTCTCTCTGTCCGGCTCTTGTACCGTCTGCCGGCGCTCCATAATGAACGCATATCCTGTCAGGGTCCCAAGCGCTTTAACTTGCTGCACCAAGGAGCCTCCAGGAGGTAAGAGCGACTGGGGAATGTTGATGCGATCGATGCACGCCATGAACGAAAGGTACTCTGCAGCAAGCCGGTCTTGCTTACATATCTGATCAAAGGAGATATGCCACGTCTTTGCAATTGTGCTGTCCATCTCTCGGTATCTGCTGGGGTCTTCAAAATGCTCGCTGAAGAGCTCGGTCTCTATACCAGTATGTCGGAACAATGATATGTACTCGGATACTGATATATTGTTATTGTTAATGAACGCGGCTGCCTGCACAATAGCAAGCGGTAGATATGTAAGTATCTCTAGCAGTTCGTCAACAGCCATCTCGTCATCAAGCAACGCTTGCTTCGTTATTCGTCGCGCTAGCAGCTGCCTAGTCTCAGCTTTACTCATATCATTCAGCTCTAAGATACTACTCTGCGTTAGATCTCCGGCCGCCTTCTTGCTCCGAGCAGTGAAAAGGATTGTGCCTCTATTACTGTGTGGGAGACAGTCGCTCAATCGGCCTAACATCGGATCGCTAGAAGTGGTACCTAATAGGACTCCAGGGTCATCGGCATTATCAACAATCATTAGCTAGTCGCCCAAGCTTCCTGAGCTTAGTGTCTCCTTAACAAGCTTCCTTATATCTGCCTTATCATCGGTAATCCCTGGTATATGGAGGCGGATTCCGATCTCCCGATAGGCAAGCTCGAAGCTCTCTTGGCTAATAGCAGGCACCCAGAAAACCAGACGTCTTGCATGTTTTGCCAGTGCGCGATATGCAAACTCAAGGGCAAGTGCTGATTTCCCGCAACCTCCCAGTCCACATATTGTTATGCGTCGGTGGGTGTTAGGCGAAAGGAGGCATTGTTCGAGAGATTGAAGCTGGTCTTTTCGTCCGATGAAGAGTTCGTTTCTTGGAAAAGGCAATAACAAGGAGACTGTATATCGTTAGCTGTGTATAGCTTGTGTAGAAGAATGCTGCTTTGCCAGAATTAAAACTTACCAGACAAGTCATGCAGGCTTTCAGTTCTCCGCCCTTCCTGCCGCTTCTGTATCTCCTCTCTTAGCCGTAGAGTTGCGTATGCTTCTCCTTCTCCATAGATAAGTGATAAGAATACCCCAAAGATTCCCAGTAGACAATATACTTTGTCCTCTTTCAACGTTGTTGTGCGTTTGGCTGCCCAGCTCATTCGCTCCTCAACACTAAGCGCGGCGAGACTCTGCCCTCTCAACACTCCGACAGGAATCCTGGTAATTTGATGGATTTCCTGCTCCAACGATATCCTACTGCCTAGCCGCTTGCCCTCTTTAGAGAAGAACTCAACGCTAGTAGGCGCTAAGAGCTCTTGCAACGTCCAGCCTCGCGTGAACCATCGGCTCCGTCGAAAGGCTTCCGCCCACGTTATCTGGAAGGCCTCGGCGTTGGAGACCTCCTCCGGCACAGAGACATCTGATAGGTATGCATAGCACTTGGACGCACGCTAGTACCAGCGGAACATAGAGTTGATGGCTGTACTAAGCTCATCGCTGGTAGACTTGTCAATGCAGCAGGTATCGACCCAGAAATATTGGAGGCCATGCGCTGCAGCTCGTCTGCCGCAGAAGCGGATTTTGGCGTAGCCAGTCTTGTCCTTGCCTGTGCCGGCTACCAGCTCATTGTACGTGACTTCTTGACCCTCGGTCCAGGTGTGCGATAGGATGGCATACGGGGGAAGGTCGTCATCTTTGAAAGAGATCAGCTCGAAGTCGCCGCCCAGTAAGCGCTTCAGAAGACGCATTATGGCACCTGCATGTACTCCGTGAGCAAAGAGTGTTGGTCGACTTCGATCGCAATGTAAGCGTAGAGCAGCGGTACATATCTCGACTTGCCCAAGTGTCGTGCATTAACACGGAACACATCGAGTAGGCTGCAAGCTGGCGCTCCATGGGCGCGTAGGGCTGTGTAGTCGGTGGTGCTCAGCCGCAAGCTCCACGTGCGCGCGGGGCCTATCACTAGAGCGCGGCCCAACCCGGGTCATGCCAGCAGTATGAGAATCTGTTGTCAGCATTGCTTAAAATACAGCTATCTCGTTTGTGACCTTTTCATACAGCTAGGAAGTGGGGCTCTCGTTTGGCAACTCTAGCTTCATGAGGCATTAAGTTAACACTAATGTGCAACAAGCTTAAATATCTGAGTACCTCGCTCGGGATAGAATCTTCCCATGTCTACCTATAATTTGGCAAGTTTTAGACGAGGTGCATGAACTTTCTGGTATATCCGAGGCTGCCCGGAGTAGGTTATTGTGAATGACTGCGGTGAGATGTGGTATTACAGGCTAAGCAGGAGGTTTTTGTAGAAGAAAGGAAGTGTGGACAAAGCTTAGGATTTAAGGTCTTTATTCCGAGATTATCTGCAGCTCTTGATTGTTGTTGACATTGTTACAACGAAAAGCACTGGCGGGTTTCCGCCACGCAGGGTTTTCCGCTACGCAGGGAGGGAACGTTAGCTTTGTCACCACTACCTCACAGGCATCGAAGACATCCAAGTCATGCGCATCATCCACTCTCTCCTCAGGCTTGAGCTATGAGTAGCATGACCTCAAAGCCCCCTTCCGCTCCGACTAGTTCATGAGCTCCTGCTCCTTCGCCGCCCTAAGCAGCAACCATCTCCCCGAGGACTTGTAAAGTCGCGTCCAAGTCCCCCTCATCCCGCCTACCTTACGCAAGCCGAATCTCTCCGCGCTCGACATAGACAGACAGTATGGAACGAGTCAAGGCTTTAGTGAGAAGGCGGTCTTCCTACGAGCCACTAGAAGGTGGTTCTGAAAGCCCCGATGGCGAGCGGATCGAACACCCGAAGTCACAGGCTTTCTCTTGGATTGACTACTCGGTCTTCTTCCTGCTTGGTATTGCAATGCTATGGGCCTGGTAGGTTGATTGAGATCCTGACTATTACATCCCATTTGTACTGACAAGCGCAGGAATATGTTCCTCGCCGCCGGTCCCTACTTTCAACGACGGTTCCAATCGAGTGACCGAATCCTACGCAACTTCCAATCTGCAGAACTCTCCGTCTCAACCATAGGGAGCTTAGGATCCACCATCCTCCTCACCAAGCTTCAAGCCCATGCCTCGTATCCGAGGCGCATAATGGCAGCGCTGGTCATAAATGTAGTAGTGTTCATGGTCCTCGCCATGTCGACCAAACTGTTTCCCGGAGTCTCCGCGGGCGTATACTTTGTCTTCTTGATACTCATGGTATTCTGTACGAGCGTTGCGACAGCTTTGTGCCAAAACGGCATCTTCGCGTACGTATCTGGCTTTGGACGGGAGGAATACACCCAGGGCATTATGGTCGGACAAGGTGTTGCTGGAGTTCTTCCGTGCATAGCACAGATTGTCTCTGTGCTCTCAGTACCGAAGAAGACGACGAGCGATGATACACCGCAAGAGTCCTCAACATCTGCGCTCGCTTACTTCCTGACGGCGACAGTCATCTCTACGATCTCGTTCCTCGCATTTGCACTACTGTTGTCACGCCATGGCCATGGGTACCACCACAAACCGCTCATGGACTCTATGGATGGCGAGGATGATATCGGAGTGATCGAACGAGCCTCGATACCGCTCATGACGCTATTCAAGAAGCTGAAGTGGCTTGCGGGTGCCGTTTTCCTCACTTTCGGTATCACGATGTTCTTTCCCGTCTTCACCCAACAGATCGAGAGTGTCAGGCCAGTGGCGAGCTCCCCTCGTCTCTTCCAACCTTCGTCTTTCATCCCGCTCGCATTTCTGTTCTGGAACGTCGGCGATCTTGTCGGGAGACTCGCTCCGGCGATCCCAGCGCTATCCCTAACATCACGACCACGGCTGCTATTCATTTTCTCAGCATGCCGCATTGTTTTCATACCTATGTATCTGCTTTGTAACATCCGAGGTCGCGGCGCTACGATCGTCAGCGACGCGTTCTATCTGTTGGTGATTCAAGTGCTTTTTGGATTTTCTAATGGGTATCTTGGGAGTAATTGCATGATGGGCTTTGTTGAGTGGGTGGATGTGGACGAGAGAGAAGCAGCAGGAGGATTTATGTCGCTCTGCTTGGTAGCTGGTCTATCAACGGGCAGTTTGTTGAGTTTCCTTGCTGCTGCTTCAGCGTAGAGAAACAGAGTTGCAGACTAGGAGTCTAGAGTATCTTCAAATAATCCTTCTTGCGCACAAGCCTGTGCTTCTCGGGGAGTGTGGAGTTGCATTAGAGAGCAGAGTTGTAGACTATAATAACTACGATGCGTGTAAATGATCCACGCAGGTTTACTGTATCCGCCGCCATAAGATGTCAAAGCTTTGGCGACCTGACGGGAAAGACGTGACGCACGTCGTACAAAGATGCCAAGGTACACCACACTTGACGAGGGGTGAAGTGAATTGGTGGGGCCATGTAAACCGACCGCGAATTAGGCCGGCGGATTGAGCCTAGTAACCTGACTGTCATTGGTGGGGCGAACGTACCCCGGTCTCAGATTGTTTGCTCCACGCCCTCGAACAGCCAACCTTCTCTCCGCCACCTCACTCCCTCGCACACTCAACAACTTCCCACAAGAGGTTCGGGAACACAAGAATGTCGGAACCTTCAGTAAATACCCTTAGAATCAAGCGGAAGAGGGACGAACAAGGCCCACATGCTCTCGGTAAGTTATCCGCCAGCTCGAAGCTCTACTTATACTGACGTCCCGCAGTTGTCGACCAACCTGGTGCCAAAAAGCACCAGACATACCACGGTGCTGTCTTCAGACGCATAGACCCCAACGATGCCTCATTCGGCCGAGCCCAGGCTCCTCAACGTACTGCGAGTGCTTATGTCCTCCCAACTATTCCAATCGTACGAACCACTCAACCTGGAGAAGAGAACCGGCCTACTCGAGCACGCTTAGATTCTACAACACCTGCCCAGTCTCCCCACACAAGCACTACACAACCGCAGTCTCCCAGTCACTCGTCGCTGCTGCACCAGCTACCCGCAGACACGTCAACGTTCAGGCGATTCCACCTCTCTCGGCGGTCTCTTCCTGCCTCTCATGCATCGCCTAGTGGTGTAGACAAGAAGAGGAAGCGCGAGAATGCAGTCCCCGTATTTGTCGAGCGGAAGAAGAAGACCCAGACAAGCACACAAGGTGAAGCGAGTAAAGCTGGATCACAGCAAGAGCATGGCGGCACCGAAGAGTCGAAATCCAAGGACAAGGCCTCGGCCGTACGCAAGCGCCCTGGTGCTGGTGCCGTAGAACTGCAATGGAGGGCGAGGAACTGGTCCACCCTGGAGAGTAAGAAGTCTTTCGACACCCTGAAGCAACCCCCGAAAGACGTCGTGAAAGACTTGGAGAAGTTTGCCGAGGAAATTGACCATCAAGAATCCAAGACCGCCTCGAGTCCTCCGAGGGCTACTCCAACGAAGCGAGGCCCAAAAGCACCAGCCCTTAGATACAAGGATAGGTACCCCGAGGAGTCCAAGACCCAAGACCACGATGCTATCGATGTCGACATGGAAGACGAGGGCGACTATGTATATGACACATACGTCCGCGACGTCGATATGACCAAGCCTCTAGACGAAGGTGGCATTCTTGGTCTCATTGTCATATCAGATGAGGATCAAGAGCTTTGGGATACCTTTGAAGATAATGAGGAAAGCGACGAGTTTGATACTGATGACGAGGATGAAAACGCGGAAGACTACTATGGCGCAGATTACCCGGAAGATGAGGTCGACAGCGATGACGAGATGGGCTTAGATCCATACAAATACCGTCATGGCGCCTCGGACGACGAAGAGTACGACGCTGAGGACGCAGCGTGGAGCAATGACGAAGAAGCGGACCCTGAGAAGCCTTGGATGAACAAGCTCCAACTGAAGTAAGTCATGGAGCAGACAGATGTCCTGCAAAACAACTGCAAGCTTGTAAATCACAAAAATCATAACGTCAAATGGCTGGACAAATCAACTTCTTGGTGAGATTACCTAATGCCCTTGTGACTGAGAGGAGATAGTTCCTTACAAGAACTCCAAGTGTACAGCAAATCGATTGAGAAACATTTTCGATGAAATAAGTGCGTCGCAGAAACAATGTCCTGAAATCTAACCGCAGAACCCAACAAAAGGAAAACAAATGGAAAAGAGGACCACCCTACTTTCTGTACCCATATCTATCTATGTCAACGTCCTTGGGCGGACCGAATATGCGTTCCAATGAATTGCACAGATCCTGCCGGTTCATGTCTTGGACTTTGTTCATGAAGATGGTGCGATTCCCCCGGTTTCTCCTCCTAGCGTCTCGCTCCTCTCGCATCTTAGTCATGCCCCAAAGTTTTTCCAGCCTGTAGGCCTCGCTCTAGAGACTTCCTCGGTCCTTAGGCATGTTTTTGCGGTAGAACCACGGCTCTGGACCTTCTTCCAACGGTTGTAAAGCTTTACAGCTTCCTTCCATGGCCTCTCCAGCATGATGTACAGATACATCACAACGAGCTTCTCGTCCGGACTGTACGCTTGCTTCGGTGCCGCGTAGACAACCACTTGGTTGCGGCCGCCAGTGTCTCAATCGTCGTGTTCCTCGATGGCTGTCGACTCGACCTGGGCTACTGTTGTAATTCATTCTGATGGATAAGCTCGACGCATTGACCGAACTCCATGATGGTGGTTGAGTGTTTCCCCTTGTAGGGCTTGCAAACGACTGTTGGTAAGGCGCAGCCGGGGCGCCAGGGGCAATGAAACTCAGACCCATTCTGTCCACAGAGGAACTTGATGGAGAGGGGTAGTGTCGGTGGGTAGCCATGACAGTCATGCCGTGGATGGTACTGTAACGAAGTCGTGTTGAGCTGGTGTGTTATGCAAAAAGAGTCTGGGAAATCTGAATCGTTCACTCATAGGAAGGTCTCAAGAGGATATTTATACTGACAAGGAGGCCAAGTTGATTTCCCACTCCCAGATATGGAATAGACATGGAGGGGGCCGACCCACATACGTGCATGTCATCTTTTGAGGGTTCTCGCGAAGATGGATGCAATGTTTCTATAAGATGACCTCTCAGATTTCAACCCGAGTCACCTTCTTCATGCAACTATGACACTCACTATGACACTCACTATGACACTCACTATGACGGCCTCGAAGACAGATGGTTCCGCAGAACCGACGCTCTGGTTGTCGACGTCCAGTCCCTCCAGACTCTCCATGGCCGAAAACAGCTGCCCCCTCCACACTGGCGCCAGCAGCGCCCTAACCGCCACCCCTGGGCCCTCTACACTACCGCCTAGCCTCTAGAGAATCCCAAATTTGCAAGCTCGTCCAGGCCGTCAACAGCAACCCCTCGACGGCTCTGCATCGAGCCCTTCCCCACCGGCGGCATTGCTCACTCAAACTCCAGCAGACATCTCAATAGACTCATAGCACGCCCACCGTCCACAACTACCTCCCCTCGCACGGGGCCGATATCCAACGCGTGCAAGGAAAGTCGATCCCGCAACCCCCCGCCTTTGCTCGCAAACTACACCGCCGTAGCTACCCCGCGAACACCTTCGCTATCCAGGATACGAATCCGTTGCCGTTCGAGAAAGGCAAAAAGGATGATGCACGACACCATTGCCGACTGCTGTCCGTTTTTGGACCTCTGCTGGGAGCTCCCGGAGGGGGGGGGAGGCCGCCCAATAACGCCCCAGATCCTTGACACGGAAAGGGTGTAGGCTTTTACCCGACAAGCAGCCAGGCCCACGAGCGCTGCGTCTGTGTCGACAGGTTCGCAGAGCGGTTTGAGCGCTGTGGCGGGGATATTTTGAAGGCTCGTCAGGAAAGAGGGGGAGGACGAGGAGACTGGGTATGTGGGTACATGTTGACGGATCTGGATAATACGTGAGCACAAGAAGCGTTGTGACCAGGTAGTATAGTCGCCGGAATACCTTAGAACGTCATCGAGAAGGGTTTTATGTATACTAGGGGTACTCAGAACACAAAATCCAACTTTCTGGCTATTGCTTCACCTTGAGAGGTCAATAATCAAGCATGCTGTTAACGTGAAACTCATGCAGTGGCAAGACAATATCACAAGAAAAGAATGGCATTGTATTCCTAACGAAGGAAGGGGTATCTCTAAGCCTACATCCTGCACAAGAAGAAGTAGAAGAAGAAGCACAGAGTCTGTAGCGCCCAAAAACCTGCAACTGCAACTCTTAGGCTAGGCTAGCCACGCTTGCAATGCTAGCCTTCCTCTGCGCGCCCGGCGGCGGTAACTGCCCGGGCATAATTTGCCGAGGGCCTGATCCGTTACTCATGACGCTCTGCCGCCTGCTTCCCGGCTGCTGGCCGCCTGGACCGTCGAGGCCAGCGCTCAGGGGAGGTGCGAATGGCCCGCCTCCACCGCCGTTCCCGCTGAAGTCTCCGCCGCCGCCCATGCCTAGGCCGTTGAGCATCGCTCTACTAGGAGGCATGTTGTTTGGGTCTGGAGGTTGTCCGGTTGAGAAGAGGCTCGCGCCGCGGGTTCCGCTGAGGGCGGCGTGCAGCATGTCTTTCATTCGGATGTACTGGTACTTTGATTTGGTCGGGATGAAGGTGCGAGTGGCGAGGGGCCGCGCGCGAGCGCGGGCAACTGCAGCCATGACGGCTTCTTTCTCTTCGTCCGAGTCGACGGCACCTTGCGGTTCGAGGTCTTCTGCGAGGGGGGCATTGGCATCAATCGCAGCTCCTGCGTTCGAGGTTAGCGTGCTGCTGGTAGGAGCATTACAACTAAGAAAGAGAAATGCATGTCAAGCTAGAAACTACGACGAGTCTGCTTCCCCTGAATTCGAGGAGTCTGTCTCGTTCGCGTCTGGAGATGGAGAATTCCTCCGATCTGTCTCCTTGGATTCTGCCGCAACAGACACAGTGTTCCGTAGATTGTGCTTGACAGACACCTTGTCCCCTGAAATTTTGATAATAAGCTTTTGCTTACTTTGTTGTTTTGCCTGATTCTTCTTCTGGTACTGAGCCAAAAGCATGTCGTAAGGCAGACTTCGTCCCGGCACTGCACGCTTCAGGCCCATCGAGTGGCTCTTGCAAGTTAGGCTCCTAGCACAAAACCCTCCGTTGGCAAGGGCAACACCACACTGCTTCTCCACGTCAACGGGACCTTTTGGCTTGGCAGCCTTGGCCTTGGGCTCGTCCTTCTTCTTTTTCTTCGCGTTAGGCGCCTTCTCTGCATCCCCGTCCAGCTTGCGCTTCTTTCCTTTCTTCGCCGCGTCGCCGTCGGCAGCTGCGCCTTTGACAGCGCTCTTGCGCGCGTTGTTCTTCCCTCCTTCTCCCTCGTCGTCCTTCTCGCCCTTTTCCTTGCGCAAGGCGGCATCCTTGGCTTCTTTAGCTTCTTTCTTCTTCTTGAGCTTCTCTTGTTTCTTATTCAGACAGTCCTTGATGTGGGTTGCGGAAACGCTGCGGAGGACCGGGCGTTTGCAATGACGGCATTGGACTGTGTCGACCTTGTCTTCGAGAGGGCGGCCGGTGGGAAAGGCAGCGAGGGTTTTCTCGTCCTGGGGGTTGACGAGGGGAGACGAAGGGGTGGTGGACGCGGCGTCGGACTTTTTGTTAGTGCCTATTGATATTAGCCTGATGGTTCTAGGGAGTATTGTAGTGCAAGGACTTGACATGTGCCTAGTCGGAGCTTGTATAGAGGGAGAACATACTGATGACCTCGCTTTCCTTCCAGTTCCCGGGAATGGTCTGCTTCGGAGGGGCCTTCTTGAGTTTAATTGTCAAAGTCTTCCCCTTGGGATGCTCAGGGAAGATGTTCTTATAGATAGCTTCATCGACGAGGCCTGGTTGCGAAGACGAAGGTGCTGGTGCTAGAACAAATATTAGAGCAGCACCTTGGGGCTAGGGTGTCATATCAGGCCTACTTGTGCGGGCGCCGTTTGCGGACATGCTGGAGGGGGTGAGGTGAGGCGGGTGAGCTGCGTCAGATGTGGCGGGCCGTAGACACAGTGAAGTGTTAGTGAGGAATTTGTAGACTCTGTAGAAGTAAAAGATAGCTGTTTGAGACTGAGTAGAGGGTCGGGGCGGGGTGTGGGGGGTCGTGATGCGATGAGGCGTTGCCTTCACCTGCGTCTCTCCGATGCCAAGGCCGCGGAATCCGCTAAGCCGCATTTGGAGACAATGTGACACTACATCTTCACACATGCGTCAAGCTCTGGCCTCGAGATGGCAATGCTGCATCATAATAAGTGTCTTGAAGAGTTGATATCATTGCAATGGCCTTGGTTGCGGTCTTGAGCTCTAAGCTTGATACATAGGTATTCTACGCACGGAGCGAGCTAGCAGTTGAAAGATCAGCATCAACAGATACAGAATAGCACGAATATATATCACAGCTTGTGGGAGCGATTTTGGGAAGCAGATTCTATAAATGACATTCTTTCATCATGTGAATATATACAAAAGCCCTGAAAGTGTCCATATACAAGTTTCGATCAACCTCCTAAAGCACACGCGTCTACCCCGGCCTCCTGCAACTTCATTTCAAACTCGAACTTCCTTCTCTCACAAGCCATTTGATCATCTAAGAGTGGTTAGCGAACAATCTGGAGATGACTGAATTGGAGGATCCTTACAGGCAGTGCTCAGTTACTACCTGTGGCTGCGACGCCCGAGATGGTGCAAGTGAATTTCTGGACGCCATTGTAACCTCCCAGTGCATCTCCACAATCGTAATCGTCCGCATCGGCAGGTACTAGGCAAGTGCCAACAATACTGCCGTCGAGACCATCCAGTGATTTGACGTGTACATCAAACAATCCGTCTCCAGCGGGGTTCGGGTACAGCGTGATATGCCCATAAGCTGCGCTGGTGACTGCTTGATCTCCCCCGTCGTAGATTTCTAGTCGTTTGTACGTTCCGTCCTTGTTCGTGTCGGCGGCGTAGAGTTCCTTGCTAGCATCGTTGTTGCCTTGCTGGGCAATCGCGACGTAGTTCTTAACACCATGCAGTCGGGAGGACCGTTGAACAAGTAGAGATCCCGAGCGAGGGTACGCTCGGTTCAACGTAGGTGGCCGATTGACCGACATAGATGAGGAAGTCGGCACTAGCGGAGACGGCGAAGCAGATAGCCATGGCAGTGATAGAGGCCTTCATGTTGGTGGTGGAAATGGTTGGACTTGGAGATCTTTAGAAGAGAATGTGTGAAGTATCGAGAGGCTGTGAGGACTGTGTCGAATGGTGGAGTTTTGAGCTGGCTATGTGAAGCTGAACGATGAGAGGACTGATACTGGCAAGAGATGTGGAATGCTCACGCTCCTTTATACTTTCATCTGACGTCGTTTCGCGCCGGATCCTCCATCGGCATTCGAATATCCAGATGACAGACATAGTGGTGATCTGTTGGTATTGTTAGATCCCTTTACCTCATGTAGTAGGAGCCAAGATGGAAAATAGACACCATCGCATGTATAGCACCTCAAGTAGACACTTTTACCGTAGTCCTTGTAGGAAGGACTCCATATTTACTTCCATGGCGTCACAGGTCAATGGGAGGCTGAAGATTATCAAAGTAAGTAAGGTACTTCCATCCTTTTCACTCTATGCAATGGATAGTGTGCCGCGTGGGACCTGTTAGGTAATGATGGTAGTGGAACGGCGCGTTCTTCTTAGGAGGATGAAGGAGTCGCATACTCTTGGACTCGTCATGCGCACCTTGAAAGGTGGCTCGTGTCATGGTGTGACTTGAGGAAGACGGCCGGTGTGCAACATGCCTACGATCGAGGATTCTCAACCCTGAAAAACGCGTGCTTGGCTCGCTGCCAAGTACGCTTTTGAGACCCGGACCCGGACTCTCGTGGCATCGGCCGCCACCAACACTCGGTTTCAAGCCAATGGGAGAGATCAGCGGGACCTGCCGCAGGGCCATAGGATCTACCCTCCTTCACAGATCCTTCGCGCTTGGCATTGAACAATGTGAACTCAAAGTCAGATAACTCTAACCTAGTGCCTCCTCGCTATCCTGGTTGTGGTAACTAGTTGCTAGCTTGTTTCGCCAAGTGTCTGCGATTTCAACAGTCGGCTGTGCAGCTGAGTGGCGTTGCTACAAGGCGGCTCTTTACCAGTCCATAAGTATCGGGACAGAGGATTGAGTTCGGACTTTCGGCAAGACAGTGACGTCGGCGGACATTGGATAGAGACAAATAAGCTTAAATGGATTTTGCTTCCAGAAAGCGATGGCTACCAATATACGAGACAGCCTGTGAGCAGCTGTTCGAAATGGAACACTCGTTTCCTACAGGTATCTTGTTGCTCTTTATTATGAAGAACGAGAGTACGAAGCAGCTGCGTAAAGCTTCTTCTGCTTCTTGTAGAATGCGCAGGCTATCGAGTCTCCCTTGTACGTAAATCGTTTGGTCATCCTTTTCTTTTTCATCGTCATTCCCTATAGCCTCCTCTTAGCACATTGGTGTACATGGATTGATAGTTAGCTCGCTTGCAGTTACTGCAGTCACACGACGGCCTGCCTTGGCAGCTTTTGGATATTGTTGATTATCTTAAACAACCTTCCGGGTGTCGGCCTACTATGCTGGTGATAGGAAAGTCGCCAAGAGAAACGATCTCGTGCGAACTTGTGACGATCCAGCATCTTGTCTGATGATCTAGCCTCTTGTTTGATAAATCCAGATATTTGCTGAGTGCGGAGAGATAGACTGCCAAAGAGGTGAAAATTGAAAAGAGTCATTTGGCTCACGTGAATATCATGTGACAGACACGTGAGGTCGACGAAGTTAGGGTCAACCACACCGTGATGCTTGGGACCTCCTTAGAGAAGACTGAAGGGCATCTTTACTTGCAGTTCGTTTGTGGGAGCTTTCACGCGTTGGCTGTAATGGTCATTGCTAGCACGTTTCGTCGATCTGACAGCCTGTTCAGAGCACTTACGGACGTAGACACAAGGGCTTTGCCACCAAGACGACGAGGCTATTGGATCTTGCGCCTTTTCTTTGTACTTGACGGGGCTTGGTTCTCTTTATCGATGCAAGAGTGGTGCTGCGCCCTCTCCGTGGAGATGCCGAAGTGTTGATGGCGGACTCGGTGAGGGAAAGCCCGGGACCAGAGATCTGCGGAGTACAGTGCTACGCCGAATGGGGTGGGCACCTCGCGGCTAGCCTTGCGTGGTTAGACAATAGTGCTTACAGCATCTCCTCCATTTCTCCAACCCCCAGCTTCGCCAGTCACGCCCTCCAACCAAAGCCTTGAACGCGTATGCATTCGTTCCACCGAGGGCTTTGCTGCACGTCCGCACTGCCACTGCGTATTTCCCACCAAGTCAACACGGCTGTGTAGCTTCTTTCAGTCAGCCTTACCTTAGCAGCCTGAGACGTCATACTGCTGAAGTCTCTTGGAGTGTGCGTAGGTCGATCTATCTGCTACTCTTGAAATAGAATTCGCGGTGGTAACCCATCGTACATAACTAATCGGAGCCGGCCTTGACACCAGCAATTCAGACCCTGAGCCAAGACAGTCTGCACGAATACTCCACCTAAATGGGCTACTTCGGACTCCCAAGCAAAGCTTGTTCGCCGTGTAGAGGCAGGAGAATCAAAGTAAGTGACGTGATCACGGCCTACTCCCAACCTCAGGCCACCCGTTCCAAATACTACGACCCGGGAACCAGTCTCTAACACATGAACAGTGCGACCTGTCTACTCCTGCATGTAGCCAATGCGTGAGAAGCCATCGGACGTGCTTTGGCTACCGCAATCCGGTAGATTTGCTTTTTCACGATCAGAGCGAAGATGTGGCTTGCAAAGCGCAGCGGCCGAAACGGGCATCTCAGCGACGGAAGGCTGCTGAATCTGCCATCATTCCGAAGGGCTCCCCTGTCACCCTGCCTTCGCCGGTGTTCTTCCCAATATCCGCAGAGACTCAAGCCTCATGCTTCTTCTTCAGCAACTATCCGTCTAAGTCTTCGAAAACGTATAAGACTATGTATGAATATATACCCGCACTTTACTGCACAGAATCATCCGATAGCCCGCTAGTATGCATAGTAACCGCCCTGGGATTGGCCGGTCTGTCCTATCATACGGACACATCCGGCCTGGGAACGGCTGCTACTGCATGGTATGACAGAGCATTGCGCAAGACCAACTACAATCTGCGCCACGGGGAGCTAGCCAAGATGGATCAGACACTACTCGTCGTGTTGTTGCTCGGCCTATATGAAGTATGTACCACCCCGCTCTCCACAATGCTAGAAGCTCATCTCCTACTAGACCAACACCTGCCGTAATCCCAGCTATCGGTCGATAGAATCAGCGCTCACACATGTCAAAGGCGCAACAGCATTACTCGATCTGCGCGGCGAAAACCAGCTCGACAGCGAGTTTGGTCGTGCCCTATTCACCCAGGCACGTACGCAGATCATAACTGGATGCTACCAAACCAAAACATCAGTTCCAGATGTAGTCGTTCGGCTGTCTCTATCCCAAAGATGCTACTACGACAGGATCATCGACCCCATGGGAGACATCATCCTATCTGTCTCTAACTTTTGCAATACAAAGGCTGAAATACCCTTCAACCCTCCAGAGTATCAGTCGGAGAGCATAACACGAGCCACTATCGCTCGTTACACCTCAATCACGAAAGCGTTTGCGAATTGGGACCAAAGTCTTGCCGATGGGTTCCTGCCATCAATCGTAACTGTACCGAAAGCCACTCCCGACGTGCTTTCCGACCACTACCACGTATACTCAGATATTTGGATTGCGGGTTTCACGAACAACTATCGCGCCAATAGCATTCTTGTCCACGAAGCACTGATCAGTCAATTATGCTTCCTACAATCCCGTTACGCTCACGATGTAAACGAGATTCTGGAACTTGAGGATCAAATATCGCATTCTCGCACCATCATCTTCTCTGATATTGAGGCTGTCTGTGCGAGCGTTCCCGGCCTCCTTCAGACCAAATCAGCTGCAGCCGGCGTCGGCCTGCTTTGGATTCTGTATCTATCCGCTCAAGTATCACCAGGTATAGTTCCGGTACCGGAAAAGACACGCTGCTGGATCATCGGGCGCTTGGAGAAGATTGGAGCTGAAATGGGGGTACGGCAGGCATCCACTTTGGCGGCGCTTCTACGCAAAGAGCTGCATCTATGGACTGTACTAGAAGTGGATCAAGCATCTATTGGATGGACAGAGGAGAGTATGGCGATCAGGTGACCTAAGTCCTAGGTGTTAGGTGTACGAATTATGAAACAAGTCGTTGCCGGCAACGTAATACTGTGTCTTATTCTATGGAGCTATTCAAGTTGCTGAACCGTGCTATCACCGCAATGGATACCAATACAATTCGCTCTAACCCAGTTTACTCTAAACTGAACCCAATTTAATTCATGTACATAATGCCGCTGCATCTTTCAAACCCCAAACACCGCATTGAAACACTTCAAGCATGATGGATCTTTACAAAGATTAGTATTTTCGAATGAAGTAACAACTTTAGGGCTCCAATCTGCACATCTTCATTCACCATTGCTTAGAGCATTTCAGCATTCCTAGTGTTGGATGAAAAAGCACGCCCCGCCTAAGATTAGGGGGACCAGAAAATAAGCGACATTATATACTTCCAACAGTTTATGGACAGGTAAAATTGCCACAGGCAAACTTCAGATTGGCTAACCAAGGAATCGCTCTCTATCAATCAAAAACGCCAGCACGATGCATATAACTTTCTCTCTCTCTCTCTCTCTCTCTCTCTCTCTCTCTCTCTCTCTCTCTCTCTCTCTCTCTGTGTGTGTGTACACTTCAACAACCTAATACCTCCCGCCGTTTCCTCCACTTGACCCTCCGCCCGTGCTCTTCTCCACAATGGCCTGTCGAATGCCGGATATGATTCCGAATCCTCGGCCTCCACCATTGCCGTTTCTGCGGTCCTGTCGTCGCTGGCGGAACTGCGGATTTAGTTAGTTTTTGTTTATGCGCGCGCACATTTATGAAGCACTTACGTTCAGTAAGCGAGGGCGGCCTTGGCCGTTGTTATTGTAGTCGTTATTGGAGTACCCTCGGTCACGGTTGTTTGAGTAACCCTGGTTGTTTGAGTATCCGTTATTTCGGTTTCCTCCTGGATTCCGGTCTTGCTGTCGGTCTTGCTGCGCGTAGTTATTGCGGTTGTTATTCTGCTGGTAGTAGCCGTTGGCCTCTCCTTGCTGATTTCTGTCTTGTCGCGCATAGTCGTTGTTGGAATAGCCACTGTTGGCCGACTCTCTTTGGAAATCCCGGTCCTGCTGCGCATAATTGTCCCTGTTCGAGTACTCTTTGTTGGAGTAGTCGCTGGTCTCCGAATAGCCATCGTTGGCATAGCCGTTGTTGTTTCGGTCTGACATCTTGAGTAGATGTTGCTTGAGTAGGTTGTAGGAGATGAAGGTATGATAGTATGTTGCAGGGGTGGATAATGAGCTGATTGAATTGATGTACAACTAAAAACGGCAGATCAACAATCCTTATATATACTCCATGTCGCCTTGAACCCTGATTCCGTCATTCTCGCTGTGCCCGATAGCCAGCAGCTCTGGGAGGTACACAGCCCGGCTGGTGATGCTCTCGATGAGGTTCCAATCGCGAACGGTCTGATTGGCCTGCGCTATTTTCAGTGGACTGCCGGATCTGACCAATCGTGATATACGCAGAAAGCGGCCTAGCGCCATCTATTCGTATTCACCACCACAAGCCAAGCTTTTTCCCAAGAATGCTTGGGATGCTTCGCCCCGGTGACCCTGACGATCAGAGGGGGACGAGATGCACCATCTTGACCGTATGAGGGCCTCTATCCGCTGACTCATTGTCCGTTCACTACGATGCGGGGGTTGATCCCTATTGTGTGGCTTCTGGCTAATGCGCATCGAGAAAGTAATAGAGTAGCGGCTTATGCATCCTCGCGTGCCACGCATCCTCCACCATCACTTCGCAAACTGTGTCCAATGGAGCTAGCTACCACTGCACGCCTTGCGGCAATACCTGTATCGCACCTTATTGCACCCCTCCGCAACGTCTTCAGCCGGCGAGTGACTAACTAACCGGCAGTCACCCGAAAGTCGGTTGCGCAGCCCTGTCGGGGCTCTAAACGCAACGAGAGCTGCGTCTTGGTTACCTCAGCAAGCCACCGACTAACTTAGCATCTAATAGGCAAATCTCGCACAGCAGTGCCGTGCTATGCGAAAACCTGCTGTCGAAGTCGTGCCCGTAGGTGGTTGACGAGGCGTTCTCGGAATGGCCGTGAAGTTCGTTTCAGCAATCGTCATGCGGCGTTGCAGCTCTCTGCATCCCCAAATAGGTAACCAACTCGTTAGCGTGCTGCATCAGCCTCATGAACTTTTCTTGAGCGTGAGTATATAGCAGCCCTACAGTCCCTCATTATGCACTCCATCTCAACTCAATTGCATCATTCAAGCTCAACACTCTATCTACCACTTCTCTCCTCACCGATCTCTACACCACCGACCTTCTCATAGCCAATCTCCACACCAAACCGCTACCATGGGCTTCGACAAGCAAGGCGCCGTTTCGGTCTTCGAGCTAGTCATCTACTTCCCCGCCATAATCGTCGCAGCCATCGTCTGCAGCCGTCACGGCTTCGGCCGCAGCTCCGGCTGGATCTACACCCTCATCCTTTGTCTCGTCCGCATCATCGGCGCATGCTGCCAACTCGCAACATATGCCAACAAAACCAGCACCGGTCTCATTGAGGCCGTCGTGATCCTGGACTCCGTGGGGATGTCCCCGCTACTCCTCGCAACCCTCGGACTACTTTCCCGATGGTGAGTTTAACCGTCTCCCCACCCCACTTCTATTCGCAGTTCTAACATCATAATAAGTGCGGATACAATCAACTCCACCAAGGGCAGCACCTTCAGCGCCATCCACTTTCGCCTCCTGCAGCTCCTCATCACCATCGGCCTGATCCTCTGCATCGTCGGCGGCACCTCTAGCACCTCCTCCGACGGTACCTACCACGTGCAGTCCGAGACCAAGATCGGCGAGATCCTCTACGTCGTCGCCTTAGCCGCACTCTACATCGTCGCCTTCATCACAAAGAGCAAGATGCACAACGCGCCCAGCTCCGACAACCGCCTCGCGTGGGCCGTCATCATTGCGCTGCCCCTCATCACAGTCCGCCTGCTCTACTCGCTCATCTCGGTGTTTACGCACGACAAGCACTTCAGCTTGCTCACGGGCTCCGTCATCATCCATGTCTTCATGGCTGTCCTTGAGGAAATGGTCGTTGTGGTCATCTATCTGGCTTTCGGCTGGGCTACGCCAGTGCTTGCGGCTGAGGCGCGCGGCCCCATTGCCAACAGGCCGTGGAAGGGCAACCTTTCCCCCGCCGGCCAGGCTCAGCACGGAAACGGTCACGGACGCGGACGGAGACAGGGCCCTATCCACCAGTTGGTTGGCGCCGGTATTGCTGCTGCGCAATCCAGGAGCCAGCCGAGACAGCAGCAGGGTGTGTAGAAACCTGATCTTGAGGTTTTAGAGGTTCTGGGTTTTGACTTTTCAGCAGAAAATGAGGAGGAGCAGCACTTTATGGAGGAACAGCACTTCATCAGGGAATAAGGAGGAACTGGCAGGTTGCCTCTCGGAGTCAACGGCCTGATTGTTCTTGACGATCGGAGTTTGGTGGAAGTGTTATATTATGCGCTCATTTTCCCATCGACTTTAAGCGGCATTGATTCAGTAGGTTTAGCTACTTGGGTTTTGTTTATAGATGGCCCTAGGAACGATAATTCAATTTATCTAGCCTCGATATCGTGTTATCATTGGAAGAAGGAAGTGAAAGTCCTCACCAGTACGATAGATACCGCCATTTTTCTTCATCTCCAGCGAAGACCCGCCTAGTTAAGTACGAGCTGACGATCTCCCTCAGCAATTGACAGTATTCTCCGATGCCAATGGACCCGCCTTTGAGTTGCTTCAAAACACACTGGCGAAAGAAAACCGAGGAGACTTTGACCTTGTGGAAGATAAATTGACATGCACCACCATTGAATCCAATGGAGACCTCAAAAACAACAACATTACGTCTGACAGAGAGCTTCATGATGCAATCGAAAGATGCGGTGCGGTTCCCCTTACTCCAATATGTTACCTACGACTCCAGATGTTATCTGAGATGGACAAGAACCAACGCAAAGTATATTAAACTCAAACATTCCGTAGCGGCTATGCCTGCACTGACTACACTACCCATGGAAAAGCACAATCGACCTGCGTATCCTCCAGAGCTCAATCGATCGCACCGCGTGTTAGTGGAAAGAGAGGAACTTATACCTAACAGCCCTGCTGACAGATGCGGAACTTTAGAAAGAGAACGCATCTCTACTAGATAGGTGAGGACAAGTTGGGTTTGGAGATGGAAGACGAGGTTGGATTAGAGATGGAAGACAAGGAATGACGATGATGCGAGACGCTGCTACCCACAACCTGGCCCTATCTACTCAACCTTTCCTCATTTTCCTTTCCAATTTCCTACTATTCTAGTTACCTCGCTGCCCAACATTTACGTAAGCCATCTACCTCCCTTAACTACTCTTGGCATTCACCACATCAAAAGCGCGCCACTCAGAGCAGCGAGTCAGCGCACAGCCAAAAGCAGAGGTAGAAATATAAAGAAACTACCTGACAACAAACAAACCTGGGCGCGACGTCCTCAAATTCCAAGAAACTCTTAGGACTCGATTCAATTCCTTTCACCGATCTTCCCATCGTGGCTTCCCTCTTACCTCATCCCCATCTCGGCGGGCACACTCCTCCCGTCAATCTCGCTCGGACTCTGCTGCGCCGCAGTGTACTCGCTGTGCTCATAGGGCTTCGGACGGCGTCTTCTCGTATATACCACAAACCCGAGCGCAATACACGCGACGACGAATGCGGCTGCACCAAGGGCTGGGCCGGCGATCCAGGCTTGATTGGTCTTGCTTTGTGTTGGCTGGGAGGAAGGAGAGGGTGTTGTGGAGGTAGTGGGCGTGGCTGTTGGGGGGATGGAAACTGGGAAGCGTGTTAGCAGTGCAGGAGAGCGAGTTCAAGAAGTGATGTGAGGCATACGAGCGCTTGTAGATGCAGGAGTCGTGTTGGTTGAGGTAGAAGAGAAGCTTGAAGATATCCCCTGGGTTTCGCGGAAAATTGTCAATGCGGAGTAGCCTTCTGCGCAGAAGTAGTTGTAGTAGGCGGTCCCGGCTGCTGGTGTGGTTTCGTAGATTGTTTGCTTCACGCAATTCGAGCTGCGTCTTCGGCATTAGCCATAAAAATTAACGATGAAATGAAGACTGGAGCAAATTCTGGGTGGCTTCGGCCCGTGCACAATAGTTCGTAGAAGAAACAATGAAGTACTGACCACATGAGAGTGGTTCCGCTGATTGATACCACCGAAATTTGGGTTTGGAGACAATCCACAAGCATCGGCAGGCCAATGCTGCTCGATTCGACACATCCCGCAAAGACGTTTGAGGTGGAAAACACTTGGTCGGAGTCGCAAGTAAGAGCTTGCCCTAGAGTTCTCGTTAGTCCATCAGTCTGCTTACTCCACTTCGCTACTACTTCAGGTCTTGCAAGGACAATATAGGTCAAGTCGTACTGTCGATCGGACTAGCTTCTCAACACTCGAGGTCGATTCCGTTAGCTAACTAGGCCACGCCAGAAGGCGATGGCCAGTAATTGGCCTTGGGGATGTTGTGTAGTCCTGGAACCGACCTTAAAAGACACTTACAGCTGCTGGTATCGCCATAAACGCTATTGTAATAGCCAAGAAGAGGGCCATACAGGCCCGATTGCCTCCTAAGAAGCTCTGGAGCTTGCCGGGGAGCTGGCGTGATGACAGAGCGTATCAGGGTGGTCGCAGTAGACATAGTCTCGTCGCTTATCGATTCCACATGTACTCCGCCTATTAGATGAACTGCAAACTATGCAAAACGAGTGACTATAGATATGTATGTTGAAACAAGAAGCTGGAAGAAGTGGGTCTGGTACTGGAGGCTGTATTTAAGAATCCCCTGCTCCAGCATCGAAGCATTCGAAGCATCAAAATGGGGCGTAAGGCTGCTCGCTCAGCTATTGTCGATCTTCAACCAGCCTCACCTATCATTGTGTTAGCAAGAAGCCACATTCGGTTCGAGCTGCCCCTTTCCCCAGAACCGCTCGTGTTTTTGCAGGCGTAGGTCCTGTCAAAGCCTCTTTTAAGAGTAAGAGGCTATGTGTGGCGTGTGAAAATCTTCAATTAACTAGGCTGAGTATGCATGAGCGAATGTGAAGACGATAACGAACATGCACGTTGACCTATTTGCAGTTTTGGCAGCACAGGCTCTTCGGAAGCAATTGCAGACGGAGCCGACCAATGAGAATGCAGACTAGCATCGTCGAGATGACGACTGGGGCTTGAAGGCTTTCCTTTCCGAAGTGCTCGGGCTTACGAGCGATCTAGGTAGTAAGTTCTTTACAGTTTATTAGCCAGATGGGAGGCAAGATTAGGATGAGGTCATAAGAGCTCCAAAAGTATGAGTTTGGCCCCCATTCTCCATATAAGCTGCCTATCTCTTGATGCAAAACACCAAGAGCGCTCAGCCTCCACATGAAACAAGGAAACGTAGGCCGAGGACGTGGCTGGAGGTCCGACGTACAGCGGTGGCTTGTCCAGACTGTTGGTGGCACATCATTCAAGGGATCGGATATTTTGGTGCCGTATGAGTTCAAACCCATAGTGAACATGCTGACAATGTAAAGTCGTGATGCTCGTAACATAGACGCCGAGAATTGCTGAATCAGACGAAACGCTCAACTTTTCTCTATACCTTGAATGAACCGATGGACTCCCGAACACCTAGTAAGCCCCTGGTAATTACATCCACCTCTTGTAGACTTAATCTATGAATCTTGCATCTCCTGTTGTCCTTTTGTGCCCTCAATTTCCCTTGACTCCTCGAATACAGCAGCCATTGCCTCTCCGAGTATCTTCATGCCCTCTTCTATCTCAGCCTCAGAGATTACTAGCGGTGGCACAAAACGGAGCGTGTTTGTACCGCATGTGATCACTAGTAATCCGCGCTCCCTGGCAGCCGTTATGACTGGTGTCGGGTCTTGACTGAGTTGGAGGCCAAGGATGAGGCCCTTGCCTCTGATTTCGGTGATGATACTCGGGAATCGGTTCTGCAGCGCCTTGAAGTGTTTGCGGAAGGCTTTCTCTTTCTCTAATACGCCTTTCTGCAGTTCTGGATCCGAGAGCCTCGAGAGAATGTAGTGTGCAACTCGAGAACCAAGCGGGTTTCCTCCAAAAGTCGTTCCGTGATCACCTGTAACGATCTTAGTAGCCACAGCTTCATTGACGATAGTGGCGCCAATTGGGAAGCCATTTCCGAGGGCTTTGGCGGTGGTCAAAATATCCGGGTGGGCTTCCGATGGTAGAGAGCCATGCGCCCACAGTAGTCCAGTGCGGGAGAGGCCGCATTGGATCTCGTCGTAGATCAATACCGCACCGACTTCATCACATCGCTTCCTCAACGCGATGAGGAATTCCTCTGTAGCTACGTTCACTCCGCCTTCGCCTTGGATGGGCTCGATAATAACACCGCAAGTTTTATCCGTGACAAGGTCCTTGATTCCATCTATATCATTGTATGTGCCGTATTTGAATCCTGGAACCATTGGCGCGAATGGCTTCTGGTACTTTGGGTTCGGTGTCGCTGAGAGCGAGCCCATGGTGCGACCGTGGAAGGAGTTGTGGAAAGAGACCAGCTCGTACTTCTCGCCTGAAGGATCTACGACCTTACCGACCTTTCGCGCGAACTTGATGGCAGCTTCATTGGCTTCAGAGCCTGAGTTGCAGATGAAGGCTTTGGAGGCAGTATGCATAGCGCCTGATTCTAGAGTCTTCTCAATGAGGGATTTGGAGAGGGTGCCAGTCCATGGGTTGTGGTAGAGATTTGAGGTGTGAATAAGGGTTTGGGCCTTGACACCACATTTTCGTCAGCTCTCGTCCCGTAGAAGATGGTACGCTTCTGAGAGAAAGTATACCTGCTGTCCCAAAAGCTTCGCCATCTCTGGATCGCAATGGCCCAACGCATTCACAGCAATACCGGCAGTGAAGTCCAGATATTTCCTGTTCTCCACATCCCATAAATAACATCCTTCTCCCTTCTCGAACATAGGCGGTGGTCGGACATAGGTTGGGACCATGAAAGGTAGCTGGTCATTCACTAGGCGGGCTGTCTGCGATGACTCGGCGGGGTCCGAGTTCGGCAGCCAGGCCTCTTTCTGTAAATACATCGTCAATGAATTGTTCTAGATGATAACTCGAAGGTTTTGGGGTGAAAATAAAGGGATCCCACGGCAATTGAGTCCTTCAATCCCTTAGGAAGGTTCGACTGCGCGACCGCTGCCGATGCTGATGACGCATAACGCTTTGAGATGGGGTTGACGAGAGCAGCACGAGGTGCTGTCAATGCGACACAAAGCCGACGAGAAGAGACCCGAAACGCCATTTCGAAAATGGATGGGAAGCCCAGAGGCGGGGAGTGGAGAGTTAAGTAGCAAATTGGGGATTGGTGGTGGAAAAGTGGTCGACTTGCGTGACTGGAAAATTACAGGGCCTTTCTTATCGATAGGAGAGCGAAAGCCGAGCTTCGGAGGAGAAACTCTCCTCCAGGTATTGCATATATTCTACAAATAGACTACTGGCATAAATCAAATTTACATTTATGATTGTCGGAATCAGGAGTGCTCCTGAGAATGACAGAAACGACAGTGATCAAGCGCTCAATTGAAAATTTGAAAAGTGGCCGCCGTTGGCACGCACAAGTCCATTCGCAACTCTACATGTTATTCCACCTTTGTAGCGCCGTTTGAGGTACACGAGCAAGATTTTAGATTGTTCAAATTAGTTCAATCAAATTTAGAAAAGCGCATTGAGGCAGGTCAGACAGTGGCGGAATGGTCTACAGCTTGCACTCTAATTCTCTGCTGAGCCGCCCAACTCGGCCATCTGACCATTTGGTGCTTGTTGATGGAGTGTGGGCGGAACATGTTTATAGAATATATATTCAATGGCTCTTGAAGGTGCCATCCGAGGCGCACCCCTATGTCACTTCTTTTCGGGCCTCGAGATATATTCAGACATCTGTGCATATCAATCTGGACTACCGCCGTCTGAGGTGGCCCAGCAAGCCTAACGATTGTTCAGAATGACGCAATTGTATCTCCTCTAGGCTTTTGAGAGTGTGTTGAAGCACCACTGACGATTGTAAAGAATGGTATGGACGGAGGGCGAGGCCTTGTACTCATTAAAGAAATATTGCAGGAAACGATGCATGACTCAACGCCCTCGGCGTTGAATCATCGAGGGCGTTGAATCATGCAGGAGTTGAATATGTTCGCCTCAAGAAGGGACCGTTGGGTAGACGGGAGCCTTTTCTCAGCGACCGTTCTAAACACTGAATTATTAACTGCGTATACAATGTCCTAATTGCAAATAGAACAGCTGAGGCAAGCAAGACTTGATGTTGTTAATTACTCGCATTAAATTTGTGTGCATAAGAAGTTGGTGATGAAAGAAAATCTCGATCACTGACTCTGATTCGCTACCATCCCAACACACCCCACACTCACACACTGGACCCCGCGCTACTTCGTACTCCGTCCCACTCCCATCCCGGCTTGCCATTCGATCGCCGATTTCGGTTTAGCCGGGCGCAATTTTCATTCAAGCTATAGATACGTAATAATTTTGTCGGCCTTCCATCAACAAGCCTGAAATGGTCAGATGGCCGAGTGTGAGTATTCCTCCATCCCGTTCATCACCATCAATGCTAATTACCTCGACAGTGGTTATGGCGCCAGGCAAGTTCTTGACCCACCAAGTACTTACGTTCAGTTACTAACTGTGTTTCCAGGTTAAGGTTACCTTAACATTACATCCTGGTCACGTAAGTGGCGTGGGTTCGAGTCCCACTCTGATCAAGAGCTTCTTTTTTTGCTCTTTTTGATTCCCGACCATGTATTGGGTGTTTGGGCGTAATGTGGTGGAATGGTAGTGAAGTGTCTGTAGCGGGCGACGGGGTCATGCAGCGGGAGAAAGGAGCAGTGCACTGTACAGAAACTACGGCGGAGTTTGTTATGCTCGAAATCATTCTTTTTCATTCGTTCTGTGCAGCAATATTATGCTGAACTATCAATGTAGTAGTCATTAGGCTCATCTATGGAAGTCCGCTCCACTCCTTACACTCCCGCATCGGACCAACCACTTGCTAACCTCCTAATTACAGCGCATCGCCAACAGCCTACCATACGTTTTCTTCACTGTTCGGAGTACTCCAAAGGACCTCTACCAACTATATCGAGCACTCGCATCTACGTCTTCAAGATGTCCGCCGCCACCAGCACCGCCTTAGCCGTCTTTCCCACCCACTTCTGCGCCAACTCTAAATCCCCCGCCTCCACCGCCTCCGTAACCGCCGGAAACGTGACAGGCGCATATCCCGTATCAATGCCCGGCGCAAAGATCAAATGCTGATAAAACTCCCTCTCCGGCAGCCCACCCTGGCTCACAAAGCCCCTACTGAAATCCTTCGCTTTAGTATTCGTGACCTTGATCAAGTCCGAGTCACTCGAAGAGATAGCGAAAGCACGGAGTTGCTCGAATTGAGACGAGTAGTTCTTGAAAGTAGCGATGGCGTCGCTGAGCTCGGTCAGGTCTACTGTGCTGTTCGCGGAAATGACTGTATCGTTCAGGTCTGAGAAGTATTCCTCTAGCGCTGGCGTATAGTCTGCTGGATTTAAGGGCAGGACGTCGTCGTTGACTAGGTGGTAAAGCAGCAAGGCTAGGAACTGGCCGATCGACTTGTGCGTCACGAAGCCAGGGTCGCCCAACGTGGACATCCAGTGATAGGAGTCGAAATTCGAGTGATAGTGCCAGATTGGATCCTCCGGACCGCCACCCGCGCCAAAGTCAATCGCGCTGATGCCTTTGTGGAGGAAGGTGGCGAAATCACTACCGCTGCCTAGAACGCCGAACTCGCCGTCATTGAAGTCGTACCAGACGTCGTAAAAAGTTCGGTTCGTTACCCCTTTGACTGGGTAGATGATCTTCTTCATGATGGTGGTAGCAATCGCATGGAGGTCGGGGGTCGCGTCTATGTATGGGTATGGGCCAGAGGTAGCGATGTCGACGTTGATGTTCGTTACGGCAGCCTCGGTGAGCCAGGGTACGTACTCTTCTACCCATTCTGTGCTCCCGACTGTGCCGTACTCTTCGCCATCCCAGCTTGCAAGGATGATGGTGCGAGCAGGCTTCCAGCCGGTAGCTAGCAGTTTACCGAAGGCTTTGGATAGCTCGACTATGACGGCTGAGCCAGAATTGGGATCACCTATGCCACATAAGCGTCTGCTCGTCTTCGCTGATGCACATTGACTGACCGGCACCCCCTACAATCCAGGCATCACGATGATTGCCGACGATCACAACCTCATCTTCGTTCGTTCCATTGATAATACCAATCGCATTCCAGATGTAAGTGTACTTCTCTTCCAACTCGTTCTCTAAGAAAAGAGTAGTACCAGGAGCAGGCCCGGTACTGTACGTAACATTACCAATTGCTCCCACCCAACCAGTACGATTCACCTCCTCACCCGTGAATCCATGTCCGTCCAAGGCTTGGAGTATAGGCTGTGCATCAAGCCAGGAAATTGGAATGGACGGAATATGAGGCGTTACCACAAATCTATCAGAACGAGGAGAATCAAACTTGGACGGATACCCAGGGGTTGTAGGGTCACCAGCATAGGTACTCAGAAACTCGACGGTACCTCGCTGTACACTGGTAGGATTCCTAGCAGGCCCATCCGGATACGCCTTGTATCCGTTTGCTTCGGTGATGTTGCCGTCGCCGTCGGGGTCGGTGAAGATGATAGCCCCGATCATGCCATGGTTCTGGGCGTTTTTGACCTTTAGTCCACGGAAGGGCCCTCCGTATTTCGTGAGTGCTATTTTGCCTTCCAGCTCAACGCCGAGTTCTTCCAGGCGTACAAAATCGACCTCTTGTCCTCTCCCTTCGCACTAGTTAGTAACGACTAAACTTGATAGAGAGAACTTTAACATTAACACACCGACGTAGACATATTCGGCGGTTGCGTTGCCTGAGAATGAGTACCCGTTGAACACGGGTATGCGGTTCGGATAGCTGCGCCAAAAGAGTTAGCTTCTTATCATGATTGGCTGAACACGAAACTGCTTCACAAGGCTCGACGATCACGCAAATTTTCTCTTTTCAACCTCTGCTTGTAAAGATTTACATAGAATAATGGCATGACCCACCTGGTTGTATCATCGACCGCAAGAACCTCTTCTTCTAGAGACGCATCATGTGAGGTGCCATTGCTATAGTCGAGCCGCAGAGATTGTCCAATCGGGTAGTCAAGGAAGACATCTGAGACAAATTCAGTCCCCGTTATGCTCATAGTTGATTACCACGATCATGCTTACAGTACTCAGCTAGGCTAGAGGTGAATCCAAACTCGGCCCACCGGTCAGCCGTCCATTGAGCCTGAGTCTTGTTCGTTCCAGCAAGATGCGCTCCATGAGAGTAGTAGTATTCCCATGTTGCAATTGTAGCATTATCAAAGGAATTGACAAGCAATTGCTCATTCGTGTCTAGGACTGGAGGGAACGGGACTACATCTTGACGTTTGACGTATTTCTTATGGTTGTGAGCCTGCCCAAAATCACGCTCTCGTAGAGAAGCATGCACGCCAACTGCGCTGATGAGGATCAAGGAAAGCTTCATGGTGTTTTCATGAAGAGAAGAGCAATGAGTAGAGGGAAGAACTGAAGTGAGACGAGGGGTTTCCAAGTAGAAGTACAGCAGCTCGCGATTGCATCATGCGGTCTAGTATCTCAGTTTGGGCATTGCAGTTCGGAAGAGCGACTTTTTCCAGTGCCACTCGTATCCTTCGGCTCACCGTAAAGTCTATGGCATCGTGTATGGCCAAGCAGGTATGACGAAAACAGGCTCCAATATGGCTCAGAAGATCCTCTTACGCCCAGACTTGGAGCTTCCTTGCCAACGTGGGATCGACCTATATAGGGCAGGTGGGTGTGATTCCGCTGCGGGGATTGGGGAAAGTTTGGCTTGGCAGGTCTGATTCCTGGGGCAGGTTGCGGGATGAACATGCATGGCCTGAGAGGAGCGCCGGAACACGGCGGGATTGGTGGTGTTACTCGGCCACTGCTTCTGGCACAACAGAGATGATGTGATAAGATGCAGCGATTGTGCTTCTCGGGGCTGGCTGGATATTCCTAACATACGTTGGGGTAATATAGGTTCCTGGGAGCGAGGTGACCCTTGGCTGGAAAATTCTATTCAATGCAGATCCATGGTTCTACGGTGGGCCTACGGTTCCTTGACAGGTCCTAAGTCAAGTGGACGATTGCACTACAGCAGCTGAACTTGAGAGCAATGGCACATGGTATTCTGAGGACATTCACCGTAGATATCTATGTATCCCGTAGATGACGACTGGTGTTGTTAATCCCGCAGATCAGCCTACGCCCAATGCAGAAAGGGCCGTTTCCTTTCTCCCTGTTCCTCTGCAACCTACCCCGGCTGTAACACGTCAACGAGCGCGAGGGGAGCTTTCACCACCGTACATACTAACACTCTACAGCTATCGCAGGTATCGTATCCCCCAGATCTCCTTTGTTCTTTATTTTCTCCATGTCCACATTGTCCCTCAGCATATTCACCCCAACCGCCCGTCATGACGGAGCTATCGAGCTCGACGCGCTTCGCCCCTCCAATCTTCCAGCCACGCAGCAATTCGCCTCAACCATCTCCTCGGCGCTACGGACGGTCGAACCTGGGTTCTGAGGATGGAAATTTTCGAGATATCTCCCCTTCGACGACCCTGCGCGCCTTCTCCGAAACTCCGATAGCCTACAACAGTCCGGAAGAGCACAAAATCTTTGACTGCGTCAAGACAGCAACCCCTGCGGAGAAGGACTTGGGGTTCAGAGTCGCCAAAGCTGCCGAGAGACTGAAGTCGTGGTGTCAGGAGATCGAGCAATGGGGATGGTCCGGCACGTTTGAAGTGCCCAGCGAAGAGCGTCGTGAAAAGAGGCGGAAGAGCGTGCAAAGACACATCAACGAACATACAAAGGGCGTGGGTGGCTCGGAGGACATTGGTCTGTTGATATACTGGGGTTCTTTGCTATCTGCTGAGGTCAAGGCCTACGAAGCGCGTATCGAGGACATCGAGGCTGAGCGGGAGACTTTGGATATTGAGGAACTCAAAGGCCACATCCTGGATATACATGGCCCTAACAGGTCCAGGCCATCCTCTAGTTATGACACAAAACGACCGCAGTTCCTTCCGTTGGATGACTTTTCTATCTTAGTAACGCAAACCTTACTCCAGGCACTACCGTATCTCTCGCGGCTCAAACTGAGCATCGATACTTGGTCCACACGTCTGACCATCCTTTGCAGCACACCGAGATTTTTGAAGGACCTCGGCACTACCCGAACTGCTTTAGATCTGGCTTGGAGAACTCTTGATCCCCCGCAGGATGTCGACACGTCGGATACCTCGTTTAACGACTGGAAGGAGACTCTGTACACGATACTGGCAGAGCTGAAAGTCATCGTTTCTGACCTTGGACAACGACTGGACCGGATGCTGGACATTCTTGAAGGCCGTGAGGACGCCCTACCGGATACATGGATTGACGATTTTGAGGAGTTGGAATCGGATTACAGTCGCTGGACTGTTGAATCACGAAATCGTATTCTGGATGTGGAGATCCGACGAATGAGAGCTAAGCGAAATGCTACTACAGCTACCACCATCCAGGGAATCGGTCTAGACGGACGGGGTCCAAGCACTCAAGTTGAAGACATAGCACCTCGGAAGTCGGAGACACTCCATCGGGCCTCGATCAACGATCCAGCCGAAGACCTCAACCAAACTCCTAAAACCAGATCGAACGGAAACGGGTTGGCTGCTCCGTACGAACGATTTCCCGATCTCATTCCGGCGAAGGAAACCACTCAAGCGTCGCCTCATACGCCCACAGCTTTGCGATTAAGCATTCCAGACTTTGTAACATCACAATCGAAGTTAAACGAAAACGAGTACAGCCTGGGCAACCGACCAGGAGAACAGGACGACACTGTCGAAGGCCAAACCGAAGACGTAGTAACTGGGCAAAAAGTCGACAGTGACGACGAGAAAGCTGAATCAGTGGTACGCAAGCGCCCGGACTTGACGATACTAAAACGTGCTTCCGTGACCTCCATCGAGAGTTTCTCCAGACACCAAGTACGAACGTCCTATAATACTTTTGGCTACATATCTAATGATATACAGGTCAAGAGCATCACCGTTCGAAGAAATAGCAGTGCGTCTTCGATCTCGTCGTCACTACTTGACCGCTCAAACGGCATTCGGGATAACCACAGCACGCCCGTATCACCAGTAACTACTGATCGCGTCGACACTTTGATCCATAGCAAGCTTTCGAGTCCGCTCGCTGCAGCGGCAGTACAGCAAGCCCCATCCCCCGGACTGACTCACTCTCCACATTCCAGACCACAAACTCCTCAGTCACATTTCGGGCTTCGCCGAGATAGTGTAGAATCCGCTTCTTCAAGTATATCGTTACAGTCAAGCCCAGCGAGCGCCTTGGATGATTCTCCATCTGTCCGGAATGCCTACAGTCGCAACGCAAAGGTTCCGAAGCCACCACTCAACTCTGCAATGGCAAAGCGCCGCCCCCTCAAAACCCTTGACGGCTCCTCGGATCAGATGCAACCATGGCCACCTACTAAATTTGCGCATGCCCTCTCACCAAAGAAGGACAACAGCACCGAAGACCTAGAGCGCAAGATTAGCGATATTCTCACCACGATCCCAGCGCACATACGCCTCACGTCCGGCCCAGAAGCTGATGCACCCGAGGTCAAGCCCACCCGAGTTGTCTCAGCCGGTGGCCGCTACGCCTCGAACGCGTCGCTCCGGGTTCCTCGTAGTGTCAAATCTCCCGAACCAACTCTTACGCTCTCGCCTGTAAAGACCGATCTCGACAAATCTAGTAATGCGCCCAACTCACGCCGCACGCTTGCATCCGGTGACTCGGACATCAAGCTCTATCACCTCACCCAAAACGGCATGGATAAACCGCCCATCAAACTCTTCGTGCGCCGCGTCGGCGAAAATGGCGAGCGCGTCATGGTCCGCGTCGGCGGCGGCTGGGCTGATCTCGGCGAGTATCTTCGTCAGTACGCAGAGCACCATGGACGGCGCACGGTTAGCGAGGGCAAGTTCGAAGTCCTTGGTCTCGAGAATTTGACATCAAGTCCGGCGGGGATGATCAGGCCAGATAGTCGACATGGCGCAGGGACGCCACAGCCCAACCCTGCTACATCTCCAGCTCGCGGCACTCCTGCTGCCAAGGCTGCTGCTTTCGCTGCTGCCGATTCCGCTTTCAATACACCCGCTTCTGTAGCCTCTGTAGGTACGCCTGCAAATGCCAACGCTGAGGCCTCTAGTGCCTCGACTGGCTCTAGCCGGCTTTCATGGGGCGGTAACGAGGTTGGCCTTGCGGGGCCGAAGTCGAAGAAATTAGACTTGAGCGGGGAGAAGCTAGAGTGGATTGAGGGTATGATGACTCAAGCGAGGAAGGTCTCGACTCAGGCTGTTGGTGGTAGTGGTGGAGGCGGGAAAGGCGAGGCCGCGAGTGGAAGGGAGAGTAGGGCGGCGAATGGGAGAGAGAGTAGAGCCGCGAACGGGAGAGAAAGTCGGGCTGCAAATGGGCGTGAGGGCAAAGTCGAGAAGGATAGGGAGAGTCGGGAGAGCAAGGGTGAAAAAGACAAAGGCTTTGGAGATTTGGGAAGGGTCGGTGGAACGAAGAGAGTTTTCTTAAGGGGCGGCAAGCCGGTGGTTGACTAGGGTAAGGTTGCATTTTGGGAAACCCCTACTTCTTGGATCAACTTTCAAGACGCATCTGGTATCTGCAGCGGTATCAGCACATGGATTCATTTGGATCAGAGCGGGCTTTTGGATAAAGCTGCGTGGCGGCAGGACTGTCGACGTACTTTCACCCCGCATCTCCTTTTCTTTTGTCTTTAGCAGAAATTTTTATACCCGTAGAGTTCACGTATACTTGTAATAGTGGCGATAGGCCTAATACTCTATTGAACCACCAGTCAAACACCGATGGATGCTTCCTGAAATAAGTCGTGAGGCACAGCGTCTACTGTAGGTAGCCGTAAAGCGAATACAACTTTGAAGACGTGTGGCTATGCGGTCTCTCAGGACATACCGGAAATAGAAACGATGCTAGGCACGGCATAGAATCCATATATTCTACCAGACACCATGCTTCATGCATATCAGTGGCGAAGGGTGCAGACCGTCGGTGCCGCAAAGCAGCGGCAGGCTGGGCTAAATCGATAGCGGTGCCTCGAACTTCTCGACTGCACGCCGCGTGGGAGTGAGAAGTAAAAAGGGCATCAGCTTATGAAGCCGATCTACTCGATCTGCATTTCATTGGTAGAATAGTGAGATGTGAGATGTGAGATTTATAAAGGGTATCATTCACAAAACGAGTAAGACCGGAGAGAAATTGCGCCTGATATTATATCTCCACCTATTACGTTCACGCAGGTTAACAGGAAGATACGTAGGTGGTAATCTCACGAGCTGACTCTCCAGTTTGGCGTGAACACAGGCTTGAAGGCAGGATATGCTGTCTCGTAACAACGCACAAAGCGTGGCTCGTCACAAGGCCAACTTCTTGTCCTCTATAGCCCCTTAGAATGGTTACGCCGCACGACACATCCAACGTCCATCTCCATGTTGCTGTCACACGCGCAACCGACGGCGAGAGCTCCTTGGAGGTGGGCTAGATGCTAGGATGCACGCCAGCTGCGGCAGCTTGGCAGCGGCGAGGCGTTTTCAGCCCCCAACCATGAGGGTTCTAGCTTTGCCTCAGGACACCGCTCGGGCTGGCTGGCTGTCACTAGATGCCGTGTGGAGTCGCAAAGGATCACTATTAGTGCGAGCGGCTGGCGTTTAGCTATGCGTCTTTTCTTACCTATTCACCTTCTTACTTTCCTCTACAGACCATGTGGATACTGCGTACATATTGAAGCTCTCTATCTTACTTTGAAAATACCATTCTACCATCCTAGCTCTCCTCTCCGCTTTTGTGCCTACTACAACCCTGTCCTGCTTCCAGGACTCCGTGATTCGGCCCAGTGCACCAACCTCGTTTTCAGCCTCACTGGCCTTCCAACTCAGAGCCGGAGGATAGAAGGCGGTGGCTTCGATCTGAAACTCTCTTTGGCAAATCGCATTCTCTGTTGGTCTTCCGCTATTGGTACGTCAATAAGCTTTCAATCAAGCTTCGCACACCATGGTACGAGCATCAGGGTCCCCAGCTAACTTTCTGCAGACGAGGCCTCAGGCAACGATATCATCCCCACCAAACCTCAACTGCAATTGGCTGTGGAGCTTTGGGAAGACGCCGCGTGGATCGCGAATCTCAGGACAGCAGGCAGTAGATGTCTGAATCGGACCCCCGCCGTCCCCTCTTCACCAGCGACGCCTCTGATCTCTCTGATCTCTCCCACGCCCTCAACCAAGTCGGCGGTTCCTCACCTGTCTCCCCCATCGCAAACCCCAGACAACGCCCCGGTTACACGCGCCTGCGAAGCAACACCGGTGGCTTCGATGGTAGCCCCATCCTCCACGAAGAGGATGAGGACGAGGATAGCGGAAGGGAGCGTGGAGGCGCGGGGCTAGGAATCGAGACCCCCTTGTCGTCGTCGGCGTCGAATACGGAAACGGTGCGCTCTCCAGCCTTGTCTGCGCGCCGGGTCTCCATCCAGGCCATACCTCGCGTGCCCGTCGGTAGTATACGAAGGCCTAGTGTTGGCAATGCTGGCCTCTCTCCGAACCTTACCTCTCCGCCCATGAGCAGCGATCCCCTCACCGGTGGCTTTCCGAAATATGATAGTGTGGGCAGCACACCGGACTTACGGCGGGAGCGCGAAAGTCCTCAGGATGACAGTGGGGACTACCAGGAATACCGTCGAAGCGCAATGAGAGGAGGTAGAAAGAGCGAGGCTACTGTCAGGTCAGAGTATGATAGTACACCGTATGTGCATAGTCATGACACGGAGAGGTTGAGGAGAAGCATTGCGCCGTCAATTCGCTCGGCTTACGAGAGTAAGCACCTTATTCCTATATTTCCTTAGCTCGGTTTGGGGATCGTGAGATGGGGCCCTTTCGAGATCCATGTCAAATATTCTGAGACATTGGAGATAGGGAGCAAAACTGAGATGTATGGATGAGTGTATGGATGGATGCTGACTACATCATAGCCAACGACTTCCACCCACAACACAGCTGTCCAACGAATCGAGACTTCTACACATCTCGCTTTACTTGGCTTTCTGTCACCATTCTCATCCTCTGCCTTTTCTCTACTATTTGGTCGGGTGTCTTTCTCGGTATTGCTCTGAAAGGCCCCCGTTACGGTCGCACCATCACAACTCACAGCAAGCTGAATCCCTATAGTGCTATAATATTAACTGCCGTCATGGCAAAGCTCATCGAGTTGAGCTTCGTAACGTCCTTCGTCGCATTCCTGGGTCAAGTCCTTAGTCGGCGAGCATTTATGAAAGAGCAGGGCAGGGGAATTACGCTGGCAGAGATGAGCATGTGGCGGTGGGTTGTCCAGCCGGGAACACTCATTACGCATTGGCATGGTGTCAGATATGCTGGCTTGTCGTTCCTAGGACTGCTGAGCTTGTTGGCGGCGGTGTTAGCGACGCTTTATACGCCTGCAGCTAGTGCGCTTGGTAGGTTATTGTACTCTTCAATTGAAATTCGGGACTGATTTGTGGACAGTTCAACCACAGCTGCACTTTGGGGACTGGCACAATACTATTCTCGCAGGTCAGGTCAAAGCCTCTTTCGGAAATCCCACCTACGTCGCATCGCTATGCGACACTCCCATATCACAGGGCATGGACCCCTTGTATGCTGGTTCGACATGTCTGCAAATCGAGCACGCCAGCCAAGGATATCACAACTATCAACGCTTCATGTCTTATTGGACTGCAATATCGAGAGCTGGGAACGGTTCAAGTGACCTTGCAGAGAGGCCTAACGGATTCGGCTTGCTGTTTGACAATACTTCGATTACGGCCTCCTGGGTCGAGAAAGTATCCGTGGAAGACTCATCCAAAAAGTTTGGAGGTCGCATCGTCAACAATGTTTCCCTTGCCATGCCACACGCTAGCATCTTTCAAGCAGCCAGGGATGAAAGGAATGGCATCATCCAGCCAGATGAGCTTGATGGACAGGGGATATACTCGATCCGCGCATCAATACCCAGCCCGGTCCTTAACGTTCTCTGCGTGAATATGAATCGAACTGACCTAAACCCGATCGTATACGAGACATGGCCAAATGCTATAAAGCCAGTCAATGGCTCCTGGGCCACCATTGTCAACGATACGGACAAGCAAACGAACAATCGTACTGTCGTCGATGATTTATTCGGATGGAACTCTTCGGCGTTGAATGGCCACCCGCCGGTTTTCGCAAAATACCCGCTGGAATACAACACAATCATGAACCATACATTCTACCCGTATGGTCGAGATACCGTATACTTACTAGGGGCTGGTGTCAGCGGGGATTTTGTTCTTTGCCAGATGAGAGCTACGATGACTCCTAGCTGTTCAACCCGGTATAATGCCACTGGAAGTGGAGGGACTATGGAAGCGCTTTGCGAAGAGAAGGATGACAAGCTTGCCTACATCCGCAGCCTCCCAAATGCCACTTATGGCGATAAGCAAACCGATTGGGTAAATATTGCCGGAGAATGGGCAAACAGTGTATCGTTGAACGCGGGCATCTCGGACGGCAATGCTAGCAACGCAAGACTACTAACACAGCTCATGCTCGCAGAGCCGGTGCTAAACAAAGCGCTTCCGAGTCCGGCAGAGGCACTGGCTGTCATGGGAGGCTGTACGCTGTTGATGAGCTCGCAGGATACGCCGTTTGTTGAGTTTTGGGTATGAACCTCTTTTCCTTACCTCCTCCATCTATCCCAAATCATAGCTCTTCTGAAATAATACTAATTTTAACCCACAGAACTATACCAGCCCCGGCAACATCCTCGGCACCCCTCAAACCCAATACTTCAACGCCTCCATCCGCGCCCAAGAATACGCATCCGGCGCCAACTCCTCCAGCTCCCGTGGCTTCCTCCTCGTCCTGATCGCTGTCTTCCTCATCAACGTTTTCGTCCTCATCTATTTCCTCTTTCACAAGGGCCTCGTAACCGACTTTTCCGAGCCGCCTAACCTCTTCGCGCTAGCCGTCAACTCCCCGCCCAGCAAAGATCTCGCGGGTTCGTGCGGTGGTGGGCCGGAAGGAAAGCAGTACCAGGTCAACTGGTTCGTGAACACCGAGGGTGATCATTTGTACATGGAGCCAGGCGAAAAATCAATTGATCCGCAGGATATGCGGAGGGAGGCCGGAAGCACGGGGTTCAGTTTTGGGCTTGGGAAGAAGCTTGGGAAAGGGATGAGTCCATTATTAGGAGGGTTTGGGAAGAAGAAGGGTGGAATGAGGCCGGCGAGTGTGCTGGGGCCGGAGCTGGAGTTGGAACCCACGACTCCGGCGGCGGCCATGTATGCGAAGTTGGCGAAGCGGAGGAGTATGTTGTGATGAGTATAAGCATATGGGGTCATGATGAGGTTCTGTACGATTTCTGGCAGAGCGGAGGGGGAATGCGGTAATGTTTTATGATATGAGGAACGAATCCCCTTTTGATACCTATCTATCTTGCTGGCGTCAGCGTGGTGGCTTTGTGAATGATTGGTGATTTGTAAGGGTGCTATTTGTGGTCCAAATGCACAACGCCGGATATGTAATCTAGCAAGCAAAGATAACACGAAGCAATAGCAACGTAGGATGTCTCGACGTTGGGCCGGCTTTAAAGCTGTCTTCCGATTCAATCACTATGTTCGAGGCGGTTCTTTATGGGATGATGCACCTAGAGCGCTCCAGCAAACCAAAGACAGAACAAAGGATACAGATTGTCATATGGTCTTCTGCAAGTGAGATACACGCATTCCAACAACGACATATTCATGAATATGAAAAGGTATAGAAGAAGAGTTTGTGTTCGTCATGTGACTTCGTATGACCGCGTCTTTACGCGAATCCCTGTCACCTGCCCCACTTGCTTCATCTCATCTTTCTTCAACGTCAACCATCAAACCATCTCCTCTTCCATCACTCACACGCGAGGCTCGTCGACCAGTACGCCAATCTTCTGTTGTCACTTGTCGATACCTCATCTGCGTTGGTGTCGGTAAGAAATCCTTTTTAATGTCGCTGAAGATTGCTGATTCAGGATCTGCTCTAGGAAACAAGCAGATATCAGAACTCGTTTGTTTCTCGAATACACCCCCCGAGATCATCATGTGTCGAGCATGTACATATCCATCGCCGCAGGCTCATACTGCAGGGGGTGTGGCTTGGGCAGTCCCCGTCGATATTGCACGACTTGGTCCGCACCTAGAAGCCTACATGGAGGCAAAGCCCGCCATGGACGCCCTCCGCCTGTGCCACCGCTTCGGGACTGGTCAGAAGGCCTACATCACCAAGCTTCCTATGGAGCTAATCGCCATGATTGAGAACGAGTTACAGAAAGCCTCTCGCAAGTCGAAGGCTAAATGTTGGAAAGAAGACTATCTCTGCTTCCAAGACTGCTGCACCCTGGAAGATCATTTCAGCGACGAGGAGACAGAAGAGCTGTACGATATCTGTAGATCTGAGCTTGGTCTCGCTCGCCATAGATCTGAATGTGATGGAGGCAAGACCTGCAAATGCAAGGAGGGAGGAGATTCCTTAGATTCCGAGTATGATGACTTCTCGGATGATGAGGCAGTCGGGGACATGGTCGTTGATATGATGATAGAGAGTGGAACGAGATATGAGGTTCATTTCGAGAGGTGTCGCCTATGGCAGAAACGCACCAACAAGAACTGCTCTTCGGGCCCCTTTGAAAAAGTTCAGCAGGTCAGTCTTCAGACGTAGACGGGAGTACTCAAGAAACCATTGCAGCGTACTCATGCTTCGTATCTAGGTCCTCAAGTCTGACTTTGGATTGTCCGCCACCACATTCCACCAGCGGATCAAACACCCTGATACCCACCTCCTCCAGCTTGATGGTCATGTCTCCATTGACGAATCCCCCAAAGTTACACTATGCTACATGACCCTTCCAGACAAGATAGTCACCGAAGTGGACGAGGCAGAAGATCTTTGCGCTGATTCTGGGGAAGTCATTGAGGGCTACAACGGCATAAGCACCATCATCGATCCGCGCTCCCTCAAAATCACCGAGAGCCAGCGTCGACGCTTTGGCCGAGCCATGAAGCTCTTGGACCTCAAGCCCTATTTCCACTTCAGCCAAGTTCGCAACAACATCCCGACCAGACTATCGAGTGAGGAAATCGAGAAGGTCCTTGACTCTGCCAACATGTGTCATCAACATCAGGAGGAACATCGTAAACGCGCCCGCGTAGATATGAAGCGGCGCATTAAGAGTAGGCCATTCTGTCTCCTCTCTACTGAAACACTAGCTTACGAATATTTCAGAGCTCGAGCAGTCGAAGTGGCCGAAGCTCATGTCGCTCGTTGCATCTAGCTTCACGATGGGTAGGTGGCGATGATTACAGCGCTTTCGGGTGTGTGGTTAACAAGATTAAGATATGAAATTCTGATTATCATCTTTCCTAGCAGCCCTTTAAAGTTCAGTATATCAGCTTTCAGGCGGACGAGCTTCTTCTTCGTCCTGCCGACGACATGAGATGAGGCATCATCGACGACGTACTTTACGAGTCAACTCTCAAAGCTAGCAAAATTACTCCACAACTGCCAGCGTTACGACTCACTTTCAACGACGGAACGTACTTTCTCAGTCATACTTTCCACACGCCTTGAACGAACGAACCTACTTCTCCTATCTTACCAAAATGTGTAACATCGTATCCATGTATCGGGGCCTTTCTACTTTCTGAGACGGACTGTTCTATGTTTTCACCAAAACATGTGGGCTAGGAATTATCAAGGAGCTATGGTTAGCTATGGTAAACCCAAGTGTTCCCGTTCGCTTTATTTTCTCTCCTATTTGCATCTATAGATACCCCAACATTTGTTTTGTCTTTTCGTTCAAAGTAACGGGATGGCACAAAAGCTATGGCGTTGCTAGACCCGCCTGTATGATTCGATCCGAGATGGGAGATGCTGGAAGGGCAGCTTTCTGTTACCGAAATGTAGTTTAGAGATGTATGAAGTACTTAACGACTCTTATGGAGCAAGACAATGTGATAGCACTTTTGCATGTTGGTATTGCTGCGTGCTCTACTAGACGACTAGTCTTTAGGTAATCGACGTGTTCAGGTTTTATAGCTCGGTCAAGGCTATGCCATTAAATCCGAAGGTTTCATCATTCTCTGTCCTCCTTCATAACACGTTTCATACTATCATGTTTCAAATCACCATCAGCGCCATCTCCGATGCCAATCCCCGGATTTCACCCAACTCCATCCAACTCGACACCGCCCGCCGACCCCCCCATCAACTTCGCAATCCTTGTCACGCCTAAGCCTTCAGCTCCACTGTCTCCTTCTTCTCATAGTCCTTGACGCTCAACGGCCCCCGCTTCACCATCAGCGTCATAACCTCGTACAGCACATCCGCAGCCGCCATAGTCGTCAGCTCAGCATTAGTATCATAGGCCGGCGCCACCTCGACGATATCAGCCGCGATGAGATTGACGCCTTCGAGCCCGCGAACAATAGTGCGGAGTTCGCGCGTCGACCACCCTCCAGTCTCGGGTGTACCCGTTGCGGGCGCGACTGTCCGTCCCAATTAGCTCCACCTTCTCTCCACCTAAACAGCCAGGGATAAAGCAAAACGTGGAACTTACACGCCGGATCCAACGTATCGATATCGATGCTCAGGTACACGGGCTTCGTGGTGCCGACGCGCTCGCGGATCTTCTTGATGATGCCCTCGGTGCCGATGGTGTCGATCGCGCGCGCTTCCACGATCTCGAAGCCGCAGTAGCCGTCGTTCTCGTAGTCGGAGGGGCCCGACAGCGTCGTGCGGATGCCGGCGTGGATGTTGGAGTCGTTGGCCAGCAGGCCTTCTTGCGAGGCGTGGAAGAAGTAGGTGCCATGGTTGATGGAGGCTTGGTGCGAGGGCGCGCCGCCGAAGACTTTGGGTTTCCAGGTATCGCTGGGGTGGGGGTTAGAGGTTTTTCGGGGCGGGGAAGGAAAGGGGTGGGGGAAGGGGAGGGGGAAGGGCTGGAAGAGGGGGTAGGCGTACAGATGGCTGTCGAAGTGGATCACGCTCACGGGACCGTATTCACGGTTAATGCTCCGCAGCAGGGGCAGCGTGATGGTGTGGTCGCCGCCGAGGGTGATGACGCGGGGGAGGGTTTTGCCTTTCTTTGAGGGGCCGGGGGCTGCGGCGTTGGTGAAGGGGGCGCGGGAGAGGATGGCGTTGTGGCCTTCTTCGATTTGTTGGAGGGCGAAGGCGTTGTCGTAGCTGGGGTTTTGTTAGTTTTGAAGTCGGATATATTGAAGGAGTTGCTGTTTGATGGATTTTCATTTTTCGGTAATGAAATCATGAGCGTTCAAGCTTTCAAACTACGGGATTGGACACCAGGATGAAGAGATGTATGGTTTAAGGAGGTTAAGAGAAGTACTTACGACGTCACAGGAATATCACCACAATCAATAACCTTCGCCCAGCTATTGAACGGGTTCGCGTCCAGGGGGACATTATATCCACCACTGAATCCAAGTTTGCGTGAGCCTTGCACCACCCATAAATAGTCAGTCGTGCGCGAAGGAAAACATACTACAGATTTAGACGGCGAGAACCTTGTCTGATGCCACTGGGACCAAAGCGAGCGCCCGGGCGGTAGGAAGTGCCTGTGTCGAAGGGGGCGCCTGTTGCATGGTTAGATTGAAGCTTGCAGATTGTGATTATCTCAGAAGATGGATCCTACCGATAAACGCAATGTCGTATTGATACTTGTCGCTGGCGAGGCATGGGTGGTATTGGAGGCGGCCAAAGGTTGAGATTCCGGAGAAGACGGAGTCGGCCTGGTTGGGTGTCAACTGAGGCACTTTTGGGCATATTTCTGCATCATAAAGAACGCACCTGAGTTCCACCATCGCCAGGCAGACTGTTATACCACAGACCGTTCAGTGGGCCTTCAATTGGCGTCTGGTCATGCTCGTGGTCGCCGTGAGCAGCTACGACGGCCGCGAGTGCGGTGAGGGCTAGGAGCTTCATTTCTGCAGTATTGGATCGGATTCCGAGTCAATGTGAGGAAGAGAAGGAGAGAGAAGTGAGGAGAAGAAGAAGAACCTAAGAGACGGGTGATAGAGACACAGAAGCATGTTTAATACAAACGTAAGAGAGATTTTACGAGGTGACCTGTTGCTGTTAGGTAAATCGCAGCAGAGCTACCCCGGCTCGAGCTCGCAGATGCACGATGACTCTCGCCGCTACTATTGGTCGCATGTCACTCGGTATGGCGGCAACATTCTACTGGAGCATGTGGTTTGCAACTAGTGCATGCGGAGTTGAAGTGGGCTCTTTTCCCGCCGACGGACTGGGGGCATTCCCCTTAGCGACAGCACCCAATTGCAGCCCTGCCTGGCCTTACGCAACGACGTTGCTCACCACCAGAATGCCAATTCTTATCACGATATCGCCATCTGCGAGCCTGCTATGCCGCTGTCACTGCAGTAAGAACTATTATAAGACAGCGCCGAGGCATTTACCGACGAACGAGCATCATTATAGCTCTTACGTTTCACTGCTGTTCACGCCGTTGCTGATACACCGTTGTCTTAGTTCACCAATCCATGAACCGAGGTGGCATCGTGCAGGTCTGGAGTGACGCAGTTGATGGGAAAGAAGCAGGGAGAGCGAGGTCTGCCGTCGACAGGGCTTTCTTGATCGAGTGTCACTGTTCCCATCCCCCACCTATCTGGGCACGGTGATAAGACGCGTTCCGAGGCTGCACCTGAAACAAGCATTAGGATCGTGTTGTCATCCAATGCTCGTTTGGTGCGGAGGTGCAGATCCAGGGTCTAGACGTGCCACGCGGGTCAGACTTCTAAGTAGATCGGTGAGGGCCCAAAGGCCTGTGTCTTATGCTGATATGTTCTATGAGCAATTCAAGTCAGATTATGTGTAGCTAAGGCATAATGCATTGAATGTTAAGCCGCTTTTATAGTTCTATCTCGTCGACATCGTCAGTCATGAGATTCATAGCCCTGAGCACTCATTACACGCCGTTTGGCTCTATGGGCTCCGCTGCTCCAATTTCAGCCCGCTCATCGCCGTCCATCCTGGCAAAAGCGTTCTTCACTTGATATTCCCAGTTGCTCCAAGCAACGATTGCCCATTCCATGAAGCCCACAATGTACAGCGCGATGCACTGCCCGACCCATAGACCGGCTAACCCCCACCCGTGAAACGCGAGATAGATACCTAAAGGCAGCGCACCGCAGTAGTAGCTGACGATGTTGACAGCGGCGCCAATATGCTGTCTGCCCATGCCTCGTAACGATCCACCACAGCTCCCATTCAGGCCGTCTGCGATCTGGAACAGCGCCACATAAGGCATGACTTCAGCCGTGAGGCGGATCACACGGATATCGTCGTTGAAGATTCTGGCATAGAAGTCCTTGACACCCATCAAGACCGCCAGAACAACCGCACCGAGAATCATGCTAAGCCATGCCGCGGTGTTAGCTGACCGGGCCGCCCCCTTCGCGTTGCGAGCTCCGAGCAAATTCCCCACGCGAGCACTGGTTGCAACACCAACGCCGAACGGAATCGTGTTCATGACCTGGTCCGTCGTCATGATGACACTCTGAGCAGCCAGAGGAATGGTCCCGAGTTTGCCGGCAGCGAGCGCAACGATCTCGAATGCCCACCACTCTGTACCCACGTGAATTACGCCTAGGATAGCGAGACGCGAAAACGTGCCCATGTTCTGGACGCACTTGCGGCTCCAGCCGCCCCAGCATTTCCAGCCGTCAACGAAGCGTGCGTAGGCGAGGAGCAGGAGGAACGATACCCAGTAAGAAATTCCGGTTGCAAGGGGTGCGCCGAGAAGGCCCATCTTAAAGGTGTAGACAAAGAGGTAGTTTAAGCCGGCGCTTAGAGGCGATGTAATGAGTAGCACATATGTTCCTGGCCTCATAATTTCTGCATGTCATAGTTTAGTGTAGTGAAAAAGGTTAGATCGGGTTACGTACCTTGAGCTTGAAGGTATTTCTTTGTGGCTTCAAAGTAGATGTACCCAATGCCGCCTGGCACCAGAACGCTCAAGAACTTGGCCGAATCTCGAGCTATGTAGTCCTCCTGGCCTAGTGCTTTAAAAACTGGCTCTGAGCATATCCAAAGAATGGCAATTGGCACATAGAAAAGTGTCAGAATGATGAAAGACCGCTGTAGAATGATGCCAAGATCGTGGGGATTTTTGCTCCCGGTGAAGCTCGCGGAGGCCAAGGTATCTATCGCAGTCGTTCCTCCTAGGGCGATCAACCAGGCGGTCGCCATCGCAAACATGTAGGAAAACGCTGCTGTCGCTAGTGCTTCCGGAGACAGTCTTCCAACAATCAATACTGAGATGGTTTGGAGCGAATTCTGGAGAGTATAGGCCAGGATCACGGGGACAGATCCCTTTAGGAGTATCCAAAACTCAGCCAAGATCAATTGAGCTTTAGTCTTGTCCTCGTCCTCCAGCTCATAAGTCTCGCCATCTTCAGCCTCATCGTCGGGCTTAGGTAGCAAAGCTGACTGCTCGTCCGGCTCATCTGAGGGTTTGTTGGATTTCCTGAGGAAGCCGGGCAGCCATGATTTTGCGCTCGATATGTTATCTTGACTCTCCATATTGGATTGGGTCAAAGATGTCGTGAGTGTTCAAGAATGGCATGCAGAGACTAGGAATGGTTTGAAGATAGCCTCAGAGATATCGTGGCGTTGGAGAGAGTGATGAGGTGGGTGAGACAGCAGGGTAAGAGGGAAGGAAAAGAGAGGGTTGGACGTCCCTTCTACACAACTGTATCACCGCCCAAGCATCTATGTATGTATAATCGATGGACAAATGAAGAGAACAGATAAAGAATGAAAGGAAGCCCGGGCAACACGACATACTGGCCACTCGGAAGCGCACAACGCTCTCATCGGTGATACAGTGGGGACGAGTCGATGGCGTTATAAGATATGCACGATCGGGAGAGGTCAATGAGTGGTTAACTGTACATCGATGTCTTATCTGCGCGCATTCTGGCTGCGTTCTGACGACGTGACTAAAGAGCTGAGCTAACTCTTACGTTTTGACAGCCAGCTCTGTTCGAGGCCTCAGCAAACGCAAGCTTTACGTGACGAAGGCGACTATACAGCGTGCTAATTGGAGGCGCATGGCTTTGCGATAGATGGGAGTCCCACGAGCCAGCAACGGCCGGGCGTGACGCGACAAGAGGAAGCTCGCGAGGGGATGAAGGGGGACATGTTTTCCCACGGCTGATTGCGTAGGGTGCAGGACAGCCGGGCCACCCAATTCACAGAAATTTGCCGAACCTTGGCAGCTCCCTGCAATTCTTCACGACCCCAGATGATAACCGCCCGTAACACTTTCCTTTTGTCACCACCTGCCAAGATACAAGGCGCAAGGCGTCGCAGTCCGGGTCGCCAAACGCGGAGCTGGTGACCGCTTTGACTGCGTGGTGGTCCAGCCGCAAATCTCGGCTCATCGACGGGGGTTTCGTTGCCTGCACTGCAAATCTTCAATTAATGTTGCACTCACAAATCCGATCCCTATCGCAGCCTTGCTTTTCGCCTGCTATCAGCAGCATGTGTATCTCACTGCGATCCGTGTAGGCAGTCTACAAGGGGTGCCGGGCGTAATTGGGGTGGTGTCTCAGTCCCAGCCCTCTAGACTTATACTCCTGTTTCCCCATCATTGCGAGGCAGAGGGATGCACAATGGACGACCTGACTAATCACGAGAAGACCGATATGGACGAAAAGCGTGGAGTAGAGGATGCTGGAACCAATGACTTGCCTACGGTCATGAGGGATGGCATCAAGCTTCACCCACAGCCAACCAGCGATCCTCTTGACCCTCTGAACTGGACCCGATGGCGCAAGAACTGCATCCTCGCAATTGTCATGTCACTGTATGTTACCTAATAGCCCATTCGTATTGCGCACCCAATTGACAGGGCTAGGTACTTTATGTTTACGTACATCACGACCACGACAGTACCCTCGTTCCCGCAAATCCAGGAACAGTATGGCATCGACCTCGGTCAGGTTAATTGGACTGTTGCGATTCCCGCTTTGGGCCTCTCCGTGGGACCTCTGTTTTGGAGCTCTCTCGCCGATATCTATGGACGACGGGTAGGTCTCTGCATTTCGCTTGCTTGTAATGGTTGTATTGTTTTGTTGTATAGATCCGCACAGTCATGTGCGTTTCACGGATAAGTCATGTGCTTCCCACCAGAGGTGAAAAAACCACTTCTTGCGAGCATATTGAGTTTTATGGAGATTTTGAAGTCGTGTGCTGTCAGAGCCCCTTTTTGTGCACCGCTGACCCTCGCAGCTCATATTCATCATTGGCACCATCATTGCCTTTGCGGCCACTATAGGCGCCGCGAAAGCTCAAGTACGTTGCTGCATCTCATTTACTTCAACTGTATCCAGATAGTACCTATGCATATATCGCGCGGTCACGTGAAAGTCACGCTTCGGTCACATGACTCACAGTTTTCACGTCTTATGAGCATCGTTAACCTTCGCAGGACTACCAAGGCTACATGGCCGCCCGATTTTTCCAAGGTTTCGGCGTGAGTCCAGCCGCCACAGTCGGTCTTGCGATCATAAACGACATTTACTACGAATATCAGCGGGGTCTCAAAGTCGGTCTCTGGGTCCTAGCCATCGACATGGGTCTAATAGTCGGCCCTCTGATCGGTGGCTTCGTGGATCTTGTGTCTGAGGCATGGTGTAACTGGCTTACATCTATCTTCTTCGCCACCATCCTTGCCGCAGAAATCGCGTTCTTGCCGGAGACACTCTACCCCAGGAACCACATGCTCAGAGTAATGCCCTACGCTGAAACGACAGGAGTCGCCGACATCGAGAAAACCGAACGCCGAGCTAGCATCGCCACGGACGAATCCCTCCCTCGCACGAAAACGCTCGCATTCATCAACATCAAGCCCGTCCCAGGCATGAAAGTAACATCTCCCTCTCTCTAATTATCATAAGCTCCCATCTCTAACAGCACGGATAGCACCCCAAGCCCTGGGACTCCATCCTCCGCTTCGCCCTCACCTTCAAATACCTCACCGTCTTCTCCACCGTCTGGATTTTCTGCTTTGGGTGGTATTGGTGGGTATTATCTATTATTACATTTATCCCCTCCGCCTACGTTCAATACTCCCCCCAAATCCAGGGGCTTCTTTTCATCGGCCTGATCCTCGGCACCCTCTTCTCGGAGCTCTTCTTCTCCGGCCGCCTCAGCGACTGGCTGACGCTCAAGCTCGCAAAACGCAACAACGGCATCCGCCTCCCGGAAATGCGTCTCTGGCTCGCCTACCCCGCGGCACTGCTCTCCGCCATTGGGCTCATCATCTGGGGTATCAGCATCGACAAGGCCTACCACTGGATAGTCGGGCAAATCGCTTTCTTCTTATTCGCGGCCGGGATCCAGATGGGCAACACGGCTGTCGCTAGCTACATCGTGGACTGCTACCCGCTGCAGTCCATGTCCATCATCACGTTTTACTCCGTGTTCCTGAATCTCTCCGCGTTCGTTAACCCGTTCTTCATCGCGCCGTGGGTGACAGCGCAGGGGTATACGTGGACGTTCGCGGTGCAGGGGATCATCACGTTTTGGTTCTGTGTGCCGGCGCTGGCGTGCGTGCACTATTTTGGCCCGAAGATGAGGCAGTGGAGCGGGATGCCCGGGTGGGTGAATCCGGAGTATGATACTATTGCTTAGATAGGAGGTAGAGGCGCACGAAGAGGGGGAAGGTTCTTTATACGGTTTAGATAGGCGATGTAATTACATGTTGTTAGACTTACAAGCGCTGTATCACGATTTGCTAATAGATCCTGCAGATGTTCTAGCTTGTAATACTATGATGTGGGAGGCGTGAGTATGGTACTATGACGGCAGCTAATACCATGCCCACCTCTTTGGTCTTGGCAGTGTTCGATCACAATGTGCCTACGAGGTTGGTAGACCTTACGGAGACAAACGCCATGCTCCTCTTCGGCACAATAGCTAGACTGTCAATCTATACGCCTCCAGATAGACCTCCTTGCGTCCCGAATGACCGTCCAGCTTGGCCGCTCTGCAACTCCTACGAATTTGATGAGTGTAAAATCTTTGGCTTGTATTTCTATGAAGTGGGAGCCGTGAGAGAAGCGGACATGGTTTCTATCACGGCGAAAGGCATAGCACGGCACAAAAGTATTCTAGACCCAACCTTAGAGGGATTAAAACTATTCACAACGCACGCAATAACCACCATCGCAACCCCCGGGTCATCTCTCAATCCCGTCCTACCCGAGCCAGAAAACAAGGGAACGACCTGCACTCGTCCCTCCCCCAGCCCGAATGGCAGAAAGTCGAGAAAAGCGGAAGATTGGAAGGGAGAGAAGCAAAGAAAAGAAAAGAAAAGAATCACAACCGCAAGAGCAACCGTAACCGCAACCGCAACCGCAACCGCAACCGTCTGCACTCCGGTCCATCACCCCTTTTTCCAAGCCCTCCGCATTTCTCTTCACGCCACTCTATTCTCCATTCTCCACTCCCCAGTTGTAGTGTTACAACAAAACACAGGTGCCGCAATGAACGCCATGATCAATCTCGATCGAAAGGGGGCGCATGATGTAAAGCAAGTCGGAGTTTGCTCGAGGGCCCCGAACAGAGATAGGATATAGCGTCCCGCCCAGGAAATGCCAAAATCGAAAACAACCAAAGCCCATGATTGGCACGAGCCTTCGATATCTCTCCCGACGCCGGCCAATGCAGTTGAAAATTGGAAACATACTATCGTCAATTTCGTGGAGGTGTTTGTGTTTGTGCGACGAAAAGCTTTTAGGCGAATCCGAAGTATTCGCTTCCAGCTGTCATGGCCGTGTAGAGTTGTTGCCGGAGAGCCTCGTATGTTTCATACTCTGGGAGATCGAGTTCTGCGTAATTTGTTAGATTAGAACTTAGAAGAAAGTTGGAGGTAAGCCTTACGATTGAAGCATGTGTGAGAGCTTGGCAACCTGTCCTTGCTGCCGTAGTCGCGGTGAATGTTAAAGCGACTAAAGCCATTCATACCTTCAAGCTCTTTGAACCCGTTGAGAGGTACCTTGCTGGTTCCTGTGACGAACTGAAGAAGCTTGGCACGCTCTTCTTTGTCAAACGATCGCATTGCACGCCAGAACCACTGGATCTGCGGGGATGCGGCAGTGTAGTTATGGTACTCGGTATTGTTCTTCCAGTCATCAACATTGATGTCAGGCAGACCAGATATAAGCAGTTCAAGTTCTTGTTCGCTGAAGATGGAGATGAGTTCGGCCGGAACTATGTCATGGAAACCTAATCGTGCATGTTAGCAAACGTCTACCCTTTGATTTTCGGACAACTTACCCTTCAAGAAATGCTCCAACTGCTCCTGTACGGAACCTGTGAGGCGTTGCTCGGTGACAAGACGGACATATTCATGCTTGTTGTCTTCTGTAACCGGGATATTGCGGCCATCCTCGATCAGGTCGACAGTTTGGACTTCGCCGAACTGGTCGATATCAATGGAGAAAGTCTCCGTAATGATGTCGGTGATATCGTTCTCCAGCATCCAGAGCAGCGACTTGTAGTACTCAAGGTCTAGAGTCTCCATGTCTTTCAGGTTCACGGACTTGCCAAGGATTTTCTTGTACACAGCCCTGCTGAAATGGCAGTCAAGAACGCGACCTTCGTAGAGGGCCTTTCCGATGATGCGGCCAATAAATTTGAAGAACAACGCATGCTCTGGGTTGATCGCACTGAGGCGATTCGGGTGGAACGTAGTGCGGTCCGAGGCCACAGGAACAAACAAGGCGTAGTCAGGATTGAACATCTGCCGCGAAAGCACCTGGAACCATTCTCGAGTAACTCCTCCCGCATCAACTCCTTCTTCGCCATGAAAGCGAATGCTTAGCTTCCCGTACTTCATCTCGTCGGCGCTCTTGTAGTAGAGAGACTTGAATGAGTCGAGGAAGACTTGGTCACGTCGAACTTGAAGCTGGAGAGCTGAATGCGAATGTCTAGCCTCTGTGCCACGCGAATGGAGCCGACGATTGAAGTAGTTACGCTTGTTATCGAATTCGAGAACCTTGGAATTCTTGACTAGAAGCGAGAAGGAGCCGCTCATGAGTTTGGGATTTTGGCGGACAAGATCATTCAGTATTTTCCGATGGTCCTCTGTAAACGTAAAGAAAAGTGTCTCCATCTTTGACTCTGGTGGCGGACTGGAGAGCGCAAACTCCTTCGCATGCATCTTTCCGAGAGGGGCATCTTTCAGCGTCGTGTTCTTGCACACAACCATCAGTACTTCTATCAAGGGCAAGAGGATTGTAGCAATGTTGAGCATGTTTCCTCGTCGGCGAATCGCCGCCAAACACTCGCTGAGCTTGTTCCACAGTGGGCCAAAGGTTGAGTTCTCATAGAGCGTAGTGAGGATATCATCCTTTTGAGATGACTCCAATGCTTCCACGCCGCTTGAGGACGGTTTATCCTGGATCTCTGCCCGCTTGGGATCAAAGAGATAGTCGAGAGCAGTCAAAACGCGGAGAAGCTTTGCCTGGTCAGAGCTGGCAGGCGAGAAGTTTGATAGCGCCATTCCTTGAACATCGGTGGGCGATTCTGCCTTGGAAATTTGAGCGGTCAGATCCTCGAGATCCCTAAGGATTGACTGGCCAAGGCTCTGTGCAATATCAATCAACTCCTTTCCAAATACCTCCTTCGCCCCGGGAATAGGCGACAGATTGTTAATGACGGAAAGTGTATCCTTGAATGTTTTGCTGCTACACTCCCGGGCAGCCAAGATCTTAGCGACTAGTCGGAGGTTGTAATCCGGAACGTCTGGAGGCACAAGAGCTCGAGCTTTCTTAGCTTTGTCCTCTGCATCAGCTGCTTCGGCCGCTGGTGCTTGAGGTTCCGATGTTGATGTTTCTCCTTCAGCCGTAGCCTGGATTGGTTGTACAACATTCGGCGCCGAAGTCATCTCAGTATCACCAGAAGTTCCAGTTCCGGGTTGAGCGGAAGTGGTGGCTTGGTCTGGTGTCGCCTGAATTTCATCTTCATTGTCGCCATCTTTCTTCTCCTCGGCTGGCTTCTCCTTTTCCTTCTTTAGTAAGGCCTGCAGCGGTTGAGTGATGCTGCACAGAAGAGTGGCCAGTTGTTCCATTATAGTTGAACTCTCGATGATAAGTTTCCGGTCCAGCAGACTGAGCAAAGCATTCAGAGGATATTTCGTGGCTTTGGTCTCTTTCGCCTTGCCTTTGCGGTTTGCCCGACTCTTGAACCCAACAGCAGTCTCGTGCTCCGACAGGAAGAAGTTCGAAATATGTGGATTGGTGCCGGTCAGATAGACCAGAGTATTGAGGCATTGTTGAACAACCATAAGAGGGGACACCTCGGTGCCGGTTGGAAACTGACCCGTCAAGGATCTCTTGAGCGGCTGTGGGGTCTTTTGCGAGGCGGGCTGCTTAGCACGAAGGGATAGTTGGGTGAAACTCCGCTCCACTGCGTTGATGTCTGCGCTGCCATCTTGCAGGATCGAGAGGAGAATGCTGATGACTTCTGCGCGGTTCTGTCGGTTTTCGCAAACACTCTTGAGCACAGAGTTGAGGCTCTGTTTTGAGCTGCCAGTCTGGGGAATGAACATCAGTCGTAGAAGGGTGGCAACTCCAGCTTTGTCCAACATTTGTACACAGGGCCGCGCCTTTCTCTTCTGACCTTGTTCGTCGACGTGTCCTCGGTCAAGACCAAGACCACGTGCGCGCCGCATTTGAGTATTGTAGGCATCAAGCTGATTGAGCCGTCGATCACCCCCCAAGGCTCTAGCTTCAATTGCAAATTCCGCTGGTAGCTGGGCCAGCATATCCTCATCTTGGTCCATGAGGACGGCATGTCGTAGGCCGGGTTCCAGAGAAGCAAGGAAGCTAGCAGTGTCCATATCTTCTCCGCGAGCTGCAGCCGCACCGGCGGGTGCCCGGCGGCGCTGCTCTTCGCGTTCTCTCCGACGACGCTCCGCAGCTTCCTGCTGGAGAAGCTCCTCTCGAATGTCGGGCGGCAATGCTTCCAGGAATTCTCGGCTAATGTCAGTAGGTTCTTCGCCTGCGGCTGCGGCCTGTGAACGCTGCTCCTGGACTTGTTGCATCAGGACTTCCTCTCGAATGTCTTCGGGCAAAGCGTCCAGATACTCCATGTCGATACCCATGCCAGTTATGTCAAGCTCTCGGCCACGGATCGTTGTCGTGATTCGTGGCGTTGGTTCTGCTGGGCCTGCTTCAGTCGCCTCGGCCGCAGGGCCTGGCTGAGTTGCCTCAACGCCCTCCATAGCTTGACCCTCTACTGCAGTAGCAGACGCTTGCTCCACTTCGCCGCTCTCGTCGGCAGGTTGTTCGGTAGTCTCGGCAGCAGCCGCAGCAGCAGCAGCCGCCGCCTCTTCGGCATCGGCAGCAGCTTTTGCTTCGGCCTCAGCAGCTTCACGCTCTTCACGCTCCTTCTTCTCTCTAGCCTCCTTTTCTTCCTTTTCTTTCTTCTGTTTCGCGGCGAGCTCTTCCTTCGATCGCTTCGCAGCTTCGAGTGCAGGTGGAACTAACAGTCGCAGTATCGATTTGACTACTCGCTGGCTCTTATCTGTAACATTGTTGCCGAATATCATCCGAGCCTCTTCTTGCCAGCGCGTCATAGTACCGGCGCGGATGAAAGAAATTGCAAGGGAAGGATCTTCCCGCGAAGCTCGAGTGTGTTGCTCTTGTGGACGACGCATGTTCCGCGAAAACCCGGGATCAATAGGCGGTGGTAGCCCCATGGGTAAGTTTCCGATTGAGAGGTGGAACGCGCCGTTGTGATGATGAACGGTGCCTTGATTCATGGCGTTGAGGAGGTTGCTGATAAAAGACACTGGGCTGTCGCCGCCGAATATCCTACCAGGACGGATGGGATCGATAGCGTGAACCCAATCACTCATGCTCTCGGGGCGAGGCCCACCAAAATGACCACCTGGCCCGGACCGACCTGCACGTGAAAGGAGAGGGTTGACCCCATCATCATTGCCGCGCGGAGCAGTTCCAGGCCTATGAGATCGATATGTGGGTACCATGATCCGGTCACCACCTCCAAACATCCATGGGTTCAGGCGATGAGCATGGCCGCGGGGGGGATGCGGAGTAGGCTCAAAGCCCCAGCCCAAGTCGGGTACGCCGTTGTCTTCATCATCTTCACCTTCCGGGTTGTAGATGATGTCTTCTTCATCATACTCTTCCTCCTCGTCATCTTCATCATCTTCATCCGGCATGTCCTCCTCCATGAACTCTTCTGCGGCCATCTCCATTGCCATGTCGCCCTGAAGTTGGTCTATGAGGTCAGGGCCACCACGCTCTCCGATGACCTGAATGATCTGGTTAATAGAGGACTGGTGATCGTGGTCGGCGTCGTCGTCTGGCCCAAGGAAGCCGTCGTGATCGTGATCCTCGTCCTCGCTTGCCCAGTCGTCTTCTTCCCCTCCGCCAAGGCTAGCGTTCTCGTCATCTCCAGTGACTTCTTCCATATCCTCGATATCATTGTCGTCAGGGTCATCGTCCTCGTCGTCTTCTGAGCCGTCTTCGTCCTCGGAGAGATCGTCGTCGCCCTCTTCACCTATGACGACCTCGACGTCCATGGGCATTTCGCCAGAAAGACCTTCCAGGGGGCCCATGCCATCCATTTCTTCGTCTTCTTCGCTAATGACATCTTCGTCATCTTGGCCCATTTCTTCATCATACTCCATGTCGTCGGCGTACTGGTCATCGTAGATCTCATCGTCGTCCTCATCATCGGAGGTATCAGATTCGGACTCCATGTTCTGTCCAGGCTCAAACATGCCGAGAGTAGAGTTGCGGAAGAGGTCCGGGGTCTCTTCTCGATCTGTCTCGATGTCGCTGACGTCCGATGCAGTTGATATCTCATCCTCTTCCGTGTTCCCTGGCGTTGACGAGTCCTCGTAAAGAGTGCTGAGGTCAACGGCGATCTCGGTTAGGAATTTGAGAGGCCGTAGTATGTACTTCACTACTCTCTTGGCATTGGGAAAGTTGAGATCGATGTCCGCAATAGAAGTCGTAAGCGTCGAGATGAAGTTCTTCTCATACATGATCTTGGCTAGTTGCTTCTGAGTGGGTGAGAGTGCATTAGTGCTGCCACCATTATCGAGTCTCGAAAGAATCATCTTAGAGAAGATGTCAGAGATCGCAAGCAAGCGAGAGTATTTCATATCCAGTGGTTCTTCCGATGTGCAAGCGTCTTTGAATGCTTTGATAGCGTGCTCAAGCACGAACTTCCGGACAAAAAGAAGATCGGTCTCGTCCTCGACGTAAGGCGAGGGCTGGAGAGCCTTTGCAATGCCATTCTCTCCGGTTTTGACACAAAGAGCTACGACAACATTGATGGCGCAGGACGAGGTTGCGGACCGCTTCTTGAACGCCAAATCTTCTCCGTGACTTAAGGTTCCCACTGGGACCAATGCATTGAGCAAGTAGTTCAGGACACCGGAGCGAGGTTTGGATGGCGTCATGGCGTGAGGATCGGCCTTGCGTGAGAAATTGATAAACTCAATTTTCGTACGGTTGTAGCTGGCAAGAAGCTCTGTCAGGCACTGAAGAATGAAGCATCGGTAAATGTAGATGGGGTGCGCTTCAGCCTTGAACTCCGTTTTGTCTGCCTTCTTTGATTCAGTTACAGGGGTCGAAGCTGCTGGTGCAGACGAGCTCGATTCCCCATTTGCCATCGCCACATCTGTGGTTGTCGACTTCTTTGCTTTGTCGTCAGAGAATTGGACAGGTGGCTCTTTGTCATCCACATCTTTGTAAGTCAGCAACTCGCACAGCATATAATGGATTACGCCGTCCGGATTCTCGACAATAGGAGGTTTAAGATCCTGAGTTCTCGTCCTCTCTAATCCTTCGCCTGACTTCACCTCAGTTGAGGGCTTGATCTTTTCAGCGTCGGAACTCGCAGAGTTCTCATTAATCTCGGCAGAGGCAGGTCCAGCGTTGTCTGCGGTCGGAAGAGCGGTCGCCTCCTTTTTCAACGCCAAAGTCTGTGGTGTCTGGTTCGGTTCGTATCGCGGAATCGTAAGTTTCTCATTCGTCACCTCCACGAAGGTTTCGGGATCGCGAAGGATCAGTTGGTACATCGACCTCACGTAGGCTGTCGTGTCTGTCGCCCTCCTGTCCCGTGACTCGAAAGCTGACTGAATCTCGCTACGCATGACTTGGCGAATGATTGCTTCATCCTCAATGATGTGTCGGAGGATCAACATGAAAGCGCTCCGAAGACCGTCATTTGTGATTCCGGCGAGTTGTCTGACCATGAGGAAGAGTCTCTGGATATTTCGCTTTTCACCAAGACGAACTGCAATTTTACGAGTCCGCGTAAGCATTACCAGAACGCGAGAAACAGACAGCGCCAAAGATTCGTCTTTGCCTATCTGTGGCAATACCTGCATGATGGCATCGAACATCTGGTTCTTTTCGTCAAGAGTCACAACTGGCTCGGGAAGTTTCACGATCGACGTGTCTTCCGACGGATTGTCGCTGCTGGGAGGCGTCCACTGTATTTGATGCGGCTGCGCGTCTTCGGCCAAAAGGCGCTCTATAATGAGAAGTACTTGGCCTATCCAGGGCGCAGATTCTTCGGTGGACTGGGAGGGCGGGATCTTGATGAACTCAAGCAGTATCGAGAAGCTATCCTTCAACTCCTCAACAGTCGCGTCATAGAAGTCCTTCTCTTGAAGAACAAGCGCGAGCAGATGGGCGGAAGCAGCAATCTTCTTGCTGTTGTCACGGAAGTCATCGCCGGTCTGCATCGAGATAAGAGATTGCACCAGTGTAGATCCAATCTCACCACGCAATGCCGTTGGTTCCGTTGCCTTGGAAACAGCGGCTGAAATCAAGTCAGAGAGCTCGAAAGTAACGTTATCGTGGACGTTGAGTACATCTAGCGACCGGTCGATCAGGTTTTTCCTTAGCGTAGCGCGTTCACTATCCAGGTCATCCACCGTGACGACTGGGACCGGCTTTGTATCCTCTCGGTCGCTGAGTTTTAGGACGAGATAGGGCCCATCCCATTCTGATCCAGTTACTGGGTGCGATCCGGCTGGCTCTATTGTCGAGGTTGCTCCAGCTGCCGATGGTGTTTGCTTGGAGTAGTCCGCTACATCTTCCATGGTCACAGAATTGGTATCTGGGGCCTCCGAATCGACAGATGTACTAGAGTCATCCATTGGCTCGGGTACAACGACAGCGGCCCTCACAGGCGAAGAGGAAGATTCCTTCTTGACCTCATAATAGGGCAATGGGTTCCGGGAAGCCCTGAGATCAGTTGCATGGGCAGCGCAGTATTCGCGAGCCTTTGTAGCTTCGTCGAAACAGCGATATAGAGCTTCTATAGCAAGCTCCTCAGTGAAGCCTGAATCTTTCAACCGTTGTACACTCTCGGGACGCACTTTGTATACCCTCAGAGGAATTTTACTACGCGTCGGAAGTTTGTCAGAGCGCTTATAAGCTCCATTTTCGGTGTCACCGTCTAACACAGTCTTCAAGATTGCGACTAGAGTTTTCACAATGGAAGTCGTAGCCTTGTCCATGAGATCGGAGTTCCAGATCTTCTGCACTGGCTTGATGACAGCCGCACGAAGTTCAACCACGAACTGGTTAGGAAAGAAGTAGTCAGGCTTATCTCGGTCCTTGTCTGGCCGTGATTGCATCGCCGCAGTCTGTGAAGCCTCATTGATCAACTTTGAGTTGATGATCTGATGGTAGAATGCGAGAATGATCTTGACCCCTCCAAGGGATAGATTAAGCGCTCCTTGCACATCATCCTTGGGCTTGTCATCACCTTGTGTTGCGATGATAGACGTAGCCTCATCGTAAAACGACTCAAGAATGTCGCCTAGAACAGCAAACCCCCCCTGGTTCTTGAAGCACTGCAAGACAAGTGTCAAAGCCTGGGGATAGCCACGTTCCATGCCGGTGTCGATAAAGAGTTGAGAGACATCCGTCAAGATGACTATCCAATAGGCATAGCGATCCCTAGCTGATTCGGCATTGGTTGGGACGTCGAAAAGCAACTGATCCATGCCTGCTTTCGCAAGTTGGTCTGCTACAATGACATGACCTTGTTTCGGATATGGTTCAATGCCTCGACGGAACAGGAGCAACTTGCCGAGGGAGGAGAAGAAAGGCGTGATTGCTGTCGGCACACTGCTCAAAAGATAGCGTAGGATTTGAGTGTTCTTGAACTGTGCACTGTCTCGATCTCTACGGGGAGCCGCCGAGTCTGCCGTTCCTTCGGAGTGGTTGCTGTCGTTGGTCGATGCGATCTGGCCATCCGCAAAACCAGTCGTAGTCTCGGTTGAGAAAGACGGTGTACGATCATGCGATATTCGCAAGACATCATCGGCCTCGTCTGTTCCAAACCCAGAGCTCTTGATTCGCGTAGCTTTCTCCCAATCTGATGGCATTTGGTTCTGAAGCAGGATCTCTTCCCAAACACAACTCCTATGAAGCCGGCCGAGGCTTTCTATTAGGCGCGCATACATATCAGCAAGGTTGACCTGGGAGAAGATATTGTTCGTAGAGCGATGATTGTAGATTTGGGACTGGAACGTCAAGGAGAGCGCGTTGCAGAGTGTTTGGACTGTAACAAGGGCTTTCGCATATCCGGTGCCATGGTCTAAGACATCTTGCCGTGTTGCAGAAGATGCAAATTCCGACGTCAGAGGCGATTTCGTGAACGGGGCAAAGAAGGCCTCTTCAGAGCTATGCTTCATCAGAGGCTCCAGCTGATCTACAGCTTTCTGTGCCCGCTGAAGAAGCGACGGAAGTGCTAAATGCGGTTTCTGCTCGACAAGTAGCTGAATTACTCGGCTCACCTCCTCGCTAGAACCTGTAGGATCATTGAACTTGTACGGCAAGCAAGGTAGTGTTGCGAAATCTAGAGCGAATTCAAGTCCACCCTTCTCGATGAAAGATTGACAGAGACTGATATTAGAGAAGAACCCCCCAAGGAATTTGCACACGACGGCGATGTATTTAGAAGCACTAGGATTGTCTTTCGCGTCTTCAGCGTCAGAAACCTGATCGAACGTGGCATCCTTGTCCAAGGAAGAATCGCCGGCGTCCGCTTCATCCGCATCAGTCATGTTGACATCGTCGCCGTGAAGGGCTGAATGTAGGGGTCCTTGTTGGCCTTTGAGCGCTCGGCGACCGCCTGAGACAACAATCCGACCGTCTTTATCATTGATCCAGAGCTTCGCTCCTGCACCCTCTTCGGCTGCCTTGTTATAGCACAAGGTCGTCACGCGAATGACCATTTGGTAGACGGAATCGAGGACATCGTTCTTGAGTGCAGGATGGTGGCGAACGAGCTCGTCAAAAGCATTACCGATTATGGTGGACACATCCGGGTCGCCGTCCAGAGCCTTGACATGTGCTGGGCTTTCGAAAACCTCAAAGTAGCTCGCCAAGGCGTCGGATGATTTGAAAAGCTTCATGCCGGCCTCTGCCAAGCAAATCGCTCCAAACGCCGATGGAATGTTCGAGATGGCTTCCGCGACTGGCAAAATCCCTTGCGCCAAGGGTCCATCTCGCGGAGGAAAGAACACCAGGGCTGGCTTCGGAATAAATGCGGGATTCGTTGATGATCGTAGGGATTCAGGAAGTGGGGTAGTCTCGTCAGATCCTGCGCGATCCTCGTCGGCTGAGACCTGCTCCTCCTTCTCCACTATCGTCTTGTTGGTCACGGATTCCAGGAAAGCCTTGCTCAACCCCGCCTCGGCGATTACTTGGTAGCTCGTAGGCTCGTTGTGAATGAAGCTTGTCAAGATTGAGACCGCCATACTCCATACTGTGGATCCGTAGGTCGAAGCGTTCGATATCACTGTGCGCAAAGCCCGCAGCAGTTGCGGAGAATCAATCAGGTTCCGCAACAGTCGATCGAAGTTACCTCCAGTGTGACCCATCATGTGATTCATAAATTTGAACAGCCAGCGAAGTGTTTGCTGTTGATGATAAGGGATTTGGTAATCGGTCAACTGAGTCTTGAAGTTGCTTGGCATCCCATCGCCTTGCTCTGCGCGTGCCTTCGACGATTCAACCTCGTAAGAAGCTAGATCAGCAATAATCTCCAGCCCTTTGGCGTTGACCATTGCTTGGAAAGCATCGCGAAGATTGTATACAAAGGTGTCCAAAAAACCCAGGACTTTCGGATGATTCCGCTCTGCCTTGTTGGTTCGGAGTGTGAGTACTTCGACTAGAATCTCGAGCAGGCCTGCGGACACCATGGCTTCACCTGTTCGCAGCTGAGAGTTTGGAAGGCTATTGAGCAATCCGAAGAGTGCCTCCCGCCAGTCATCTTCATCGGAGGGTTCGCCGGGGGTCTCCTCCACTGCCAGTTCTGCGACAGCCTTTCGTACCACGTAGAATAGGACTCCATGATTCACATTAACACTGAGTGCAGAGCAAACGTCCCCTGATTTGATCTTGTGCTTTGTCAACGCCTCGAGAGCGTTCAATGCATGTGTCTGGAGCTCTCTTGAGACACCAGATTCACCATTTCCCGGGGGATGGACAAGTTCGGACAGTTGATAGGCGAGCTGGAGACGACGGGGTTCATCAGAATCTTGCTGGCCAATTTTCTGTTGAAAGTTGGGTTCCGAATATACGTAGGCGACATTTGCAACAGCAAGCAAGCGAATTGCCACCAGATCTGCTCGACTGGACTTTTCCGATGTCATGGCCTTGGCAACCCGAATCCGATGCAAAAGCTCATACTGAGAGCTCTCGGGCACCTCTTTCAAGCCAGCGCTTACCAGCTCATGCGCAGGGGTAGAAGCAACTTTGGAGGGGGAAAGCTCGAACAATTTTGGCCCAGAGTGCCGTGCGTACTCGTGGTCCCGATTGCCAGCTAGCGTCGCCGTCGTTGGAGATTCATCGGAAGACAATGTGCGATGCGGTCGAGGAGTTTGATTGGGACCCAGATTTGATGTCCGGCGGGCAGGAGTAGGAGTCTTGGGCATCGTAGGTGACGCGGGCGTCTCTGGAACGGCGGACTTGCTGGCACCATCAACAGCGACTGGAGAAGGCTCGTAGTAAGACAGAACCACCCCGCCCCATTCATCACTGAGAACGGATTCTGATATGTCGTCCTTGACCAGCGACACCAGATCAGCCGGGTTAATCTTCTCGCTCTTGCCCTTACGATCCACGGCCACCTTCTCCTTTCCCTTTACCGACGGTGTGTTGAGAGCTAGAGCAGTTGAAGGGGACTTCGGGAGTGGTGCCGCCAGCTTATTAACCTTCTCTAGATTGATATTGTAGTGGCCTGTGAGGAGATTGTTGTGCATGGAGGCCGGAGGCATCCGTGAGCGAGAAGCATGGTATCGCTGAGCAAGGCGATGGCTCAAGCGAAGTGTAGTCTTGAGGAGGGAGATAGACGTCGTGTTGAGGAGGTTGTTCAGATGGCTGCTGCTCGCGTACAAACTCCGATTCCCACATTGCTCCACAAGCAGCCTAGTGAAAGAGAGAATCTGTTCAACCAACTCGCGGTCACCTTCCTCAGAGAAGCGGAGCTCGTCAAGAATGGCACCCGTCGGCGTCTGTTCCGATATCAGCTTGCCCTCCTCGTCAGTATCGCCCTTCAGCAGTAGCCGCCGCTGGAAAGGCTGCGTCTGTGGCCCGCTCGCTAGCTCATATTCCTGGTTGAAGAGGTCCAGTATGCGGTCGAAGCGGTTCAGCGCGAGTATCCAGTGGAACAGGTCACCTCTAGGAAAGGGCCATAGTCGAGGAAATGAAGCAAGGTGTGCGGGTAACTGAAAAAGTGGAATGGAAGAAGTGGCTTTGACAAACTCTGTGATCATAGGAGACTAGTAGTTGACAATGTCAGCGAGCAGTGATAGGAATCAAGACATGAAGATACATACTACAGTCACGTTGTGCCTCGCATTAGCCGTCTTCTTAATCTTGCCCATGATGGCAATAGCCCAGCCAGAAGGCAGGCAGCCTTCCCGAACCTAAGTCGTATTCCACTCCTCCGATGGGGTCTTGATGGGATGCGGTGGTGAAAGGGAAGGTTTCAGGACGGCGGGTCGATGGAGGCGGTCCTGGAATAGTGTGGAAGAAGCTGCGGTGCGGCTCTGCGGGCAACCTAGAGAGCTTCAGTGAGTAGAGTCCCTGTGGCAAATAGTGCTCCAAGCGCTCACCTGACAGCCCGATCGCCGGACGAGTTATTACAAAGGTCCGGCGATGCCGCAGGAGCTTCCTGAGCGGCGGGTGGTGGTCGGTGCAGGTAGGTATCGGAAGGCGAGGAACGAGTAGTGGTGGAGGGTCACCGGAACAAGAGAGCGCGGTGCAGGCGCGTATCTTGAAGGGAGGCGCTGAGGTGTAGGTAGAGGCGGCCGCCAACCGAGCGGAGTGGGAGGTGTGTTTTATTTGGTGGAGAGAGTGCTCGTCGTGGAGCACGAACCCTATGACAGAGGTCTATGGATCAATGTGGCGCTAGTGAAATCCAGACACGTGACGTAATTCTCTCCAGTAGAAACCGATCATCACGCAGTCATTCTTGAAAATTAGGTACGTAGCAACCAAGGGCAAGTTCAAGAAGATTCCTCACACATCCTTGCGTCAAAAATAAGTTTCGGCATGTTCACTTCCATCTGAGTTAGATACAGAAGCGGTGTTATATACCAGAGCTATCATTGCGAAGGGAACAGCTTTGATGCTTCAGGTTCAATGCACAAGGGGCCTCCGAAGGGTCCGTCTATAGTACCGTCTCTGCAGAACTTCATGTGGGCTTATACTGGCGAGGAGCTTTTGCGCAACTTTAAGCCAAGCTGGTGCTCGTCACTTCACTGGCTCGGTGATCAATCTACCAATGAAATTTATTTCCATCATTTCTTCAAATTCAACCATGGGTAACAAGGTATGCAATATAAAGTACAAGCCACGTAGGACTGCTTCGAGGCCAGTCATGCAACCAGATTACGCGAGGTAGACATGAGAGAACGATAGTTGTTTCCGTGTATCTTTCTCTGATGATAGCAGCCTAGATGTACATCGACTTCACTTTACGTTGCGCCTTGCTAGCATTGACGATTTGTACTAGGAGCTGACGCACGATGATTCCAAATGATTGCAGATGATCGAGAAGATATTGGCATGTCGTAGGAATGCGTTCAGCCATCGGGGTACTCAAGTTTGTTGATGAGGCAAACGGCCACGTAGCACACGATTTCGAGTCGTCGTGCAGCAGAAGCTGCTGGCAGTTTCAAAAAATCGGGCTGGCTGGGGTACTCCTGGCCAGTTGTCCACAAAGCCATCACGGCCAGCCGTTGGTCCCACTCGCTGAATCCGGCGTTTTCTTTCCCTCGGCCAGCCTCAACGTCTCTTCCAATACCAGCAAATCCCGCTCGATCATCTCCGCCCAGTTTTGAATGTCGCCAATCTCATTCAGCTTTTTCGTGCTAGTGTCCGCCAGTTTCTGCCACGGTTCGCTCTGTTTAGCCAGCGCTGCGGTCTGCTTAGCTAGCTCCTTCTCTTGCTTTACGATGGCATTTGAGTTCGCATGGAGGTCGGCGGCGCGCGTTCGAAGTTCGGCGTCTACGGAGCTTCCTACGGCGGCCAGCGAAGCGGCCACTGCGGCACGAGCTTCCGCCGTGCGACGAGCTGATTCGGCATCGGCGGACATCTTAGAACATGTATTAGATGGGCTTGCCTTTCGAAAATACAGTTCGGCGTTTGCTAAATAGATTCGGTGTATGATGAGTGATAGTAGCTACGAGGTCCGCGCAGTAGGGCAGTCTGCGGGGTCGTCGAAGATACGAAGTACCTAGATACCTACAGATAAGCTGGTGCTATTGGCTGAATGTAGTGCGGAACATAGCACTTCAACTGTCGTATCCAACGTCCTTTACGAGCGAGTATCTAGGTAGGAAGAGAGTCTCCAAGTTCTCCAATTGTGTACTTCCAACGACCATGCACCAGAAAGTACTCAGAGCTTCGTGATCCGATCCATTGGAGCAATATTGGACTAAGATGGTCGTCGCTCGTCCGGAATCTTAGGTCGGCATTCGGGGAGTATATCTTCATCGCAGGAAGTTGCGCCGATAGATCGGGGGTTGGGAGTCGATGCCGTGCGTTTGGTAGTTCCCTGTGTATATATCAGTCTATCTCTCCCATCTTGCTCCTTCCTTTTTATTCTCCCTTCATCGGACCGTAACACCGCCTCGTCTAGTGCTTCACATGAGTACCTCTTTACTTTGAGCAGTAATTTGCCCGTATGATCTTCTCCGAGCAACGAACAACGAAGGCGTGCAAGGTGTAATAGGAGTCTTAATGCTATTGAGGTAGAATACTCGCACACATGGTCCGGGCGTTATTGCAGGTTCATTCTTAAGTAAGACGAGCTGTGACGGCTGCGTTAAATATTTGCCATTCTTGAGACAGAGCCAAATAGCTCTCTACGTCGGTGCAATCGCAGCGAGAGTGAGGAGACGCGACGCGACTCCCGAGATCTAACTACAGGATACCGGTGCTTAGTCAGCATTTGTTCCGTCTCCCGTCGGTCTCCGTTCCATCACCTCTTCTCTCCATTCTTCAACAGTCTCGTGTCGTCCGACCTTCAGAACATCATCCGCAAGGGGCCACGCTTAGCTAGCCTTCGTATCGTTTGTTTTGACCATAAATGATCAGGCTAGGAAGACACGCGACTCCAAAATTACCCGGCTAGCAGGGGACTCGAGAGGTGGATGCTAACGCGGAGTTTGGAAGACCGATTGGAGTAAAATGAGGTGTCGTAAATTTGAAGCCACTGGGGGCATTCCTAGATGGTTATGGGCTCTGTTTATGCTGTTGCTACAAAAGGTAAAGGCCACTTTCAACCTCTTCTGAAGTTTCTTGTTTGGTTTCATTATCTACTTGCACTTGCTTGATCAGTGTATCACGACTGACATGTAATAGAGTAATGCCAGATTCCAGCTTCCCACAAGGCCAAGACAGCGTGTGTATGAATGATTACCTGGTCATTCCAGGAACCTTGCGCCGTGCTTTGGGACAATAGGTAATGACCCACTGTTTCAATCATTGTCCTCAAGCCAGAGCCCGTAAGACCTTGCAGCCATTTGATTCGCCCTCGGGCATGAATGAGGATTAGACTTTGCTTTCGGCGAGCCGGCGTCTCAGCCACAGCAACGTTGTCCCAGCGCTGCTAATCAGCATGATGAAATCTCTGCCAACGCAGCATTGCTGTATACCGGCATCCTTGGCATGATGCAATCAATCTCCAAGGCTTCTATACTCGGCAACATTGCTCTTGAGGGAAGGTGCTATGCACAGCGGTTGACAAGGTCGAATCTGATCACCATCTTTCCTTAGTCCAGGCCATCCCACGCTGTCGCGTTATCGGACGTGCGAGTTCGCCGAATGACCGGCACAGAACGAGCCGGGAAGCTGGTGACTCCGGCTATCGCAAAGTCCTCAGTTGTATCTAGGTAGTAACGGCGGGGTCCTAGGCGGACTTCGAGTCAATCGCCTTTCGCCCCACCCCTACCATACCTTCACTTGTGAGCTGGCTTCTGTTCTCAGAGGGCGGTTTAACTTAAAGCACTTCATACCCCGAACATTTGCTGACCGGCAACATACATGCTGCTGCACGCCATATGAGCGCTTTAGTCTAGCTACATGACGGGAGTTCGGCGAAGGATCCAAGATTTGTCCGGCTTACGTTACCAGGACAAAACACGGCAGACAGCGATCGTAGCGAAGATCAAGAGCGGCGTGTTCTCATAGCCTCTTATTTCGTCACCTCGCTCTAGGAATCGACTCTTCTACGTTGTCTTAGCTCCCACGTGCTGTGGTAGGCGATTGTGGCGCGCCTAGCTCCCGCAATAGAATAAGCACGTGGAATCCCTTCGACTTGCAACTTGCGTTGCCCTCGGCTCGGACCGTGTCTTGTAGAATCCATGTAGGCAACAGGCCATGCTAGCTACTTCAAGATCGCCTATCATGAAGGGTCTCACACAGCTTGATTGCCGGAGCACCATACTCACCGGGGATACCGTTCTCATGGGCCAGCCACGTTTACTATGTGTATTTGCTTGTTCGAGTTCGCAAGCCTGGGTACCCCAAGAGATCAGCACCCTTTATAATGCCTATCGCACCTCCTGCCAATCCTTCTCCACATCATAGGCCGCAAACTGGCCTTAACCTCCCTTCCAAAGCTCAAGCACCGCACAATGAGTGGATCTGCGCGCAAGGTAGCGTGCAGAACGTGCCGTGACCGGAAAGTCCGCTGTGACGGTGGACAGCCTTCTTGCGAGAAGTGCAAACGATCGAACGAGGCGTGTGTCTACATACCAGCATCTACACAGTCGAGACCCGACCTGACGGAAGCTATTGAGTCGTTGGAAGATCGAATGGGTACTAGTTGTCAGCCCTGACCCTCAGCACGCATACATAGGCTGACACCTTACTAGCGAGAGTGGAAGCCCAACTCACAGAGCAATCTCAACACAAGCCTTGCTCGAATTCTGTCGCGCCTGAAGGATTACCTGCCCTTAGCCCTCAGGCATACTGCAATCACTTGATGGCGGATAGTGTTGGCAATTCTTCTATGTCGTCCTCATTGCCTATGCAGGCTATGCCTTGGACAGATACTCTCAATCATGTTCCTGCCAGCATGCCAGTTCAAACCAGCACATATGACGGCTACATGGGAGACCCAGCTGGTCTTGCATCAACTTCGTGGAACATTCTATTTGGTCAGCTGGTCCATCCTCACAAACCGCCGGAGGCATATTCGAATTCAAAGGCACCTTTAACTGGAGACCGATTTCAACATCGAGATGAGTCTAGATCCTAGAAACAATGGTAAGCCGTGCTTTCTGGGGTAACTTTTTCGAGTAAATATCCAGTCAAGAGCGCCGAACTTTGGTGTCAAGTAAGGCAGAAGCATTGGTAGATAGACTCCCCTTCTTGAAGACCCCTCTCGCACTTCTCTGCATCCTCTTCTGTTACATTAATACAAGCACATACAACCACTATTACCTCCTGTTACGTAAAAGCTAGCCCCTAAGCATTTTCTTTGATCTCTCCATGTCGTCCACTCTCGATCTCCTCAAGCCGGCATCGCCGTGCCCATCAACACAACAGCAAGTGCAACTCCTATACAGTTCAAGCTGCAATTGATGCGCCAGTCCGAACACAACAAGCATGATCTCCGTACCGTGCACGTCATAAGCCAATCCTGACGGATGATCACGTCGTACGCCAACTTTAACAAAACTTCATGAACCCTGTACGGCGCAAGCTACAAGCCACCCGACCGTCGAGCCATTGTACCGTCATGCAACAACACCTTATCGAACTACACGGTCAGTGGAGACATCAGTGGGGGTAGTCGGCCATCATCGTCAAAAGCCTGGATCGCGGGCGCCGTGGTGGGTCCAATAATAGGGATCACCGTCCTTGTCGGACTAGGGTTCTGAATATGGCATCTCAAAAGATAGGCGAAGGCAAATGAACTCTTTCGGCTGCAGCAATAACCTGCCTCTGAACCTGCCGCCGTGGCGGAAGCACCCAAAGGCTCCTGGGTCTTCGTGCCAATTGAAGCGGCCATGTCACCTCCTCCAACAGTGTGTGTTGTTGCCTCCTCAAGCTGGATCCATTCATCCAATTGGTCATCTCAGCAAGCCGAGCTCTTCTCTCTATCTCTTGTCCATGGAACTCCTGGTTCGCAGCATGAAGTGGAACTAGAGGATAGGGGCTCTAATGCTTAATATCATGGCCCTCGGAAACGAGATGAATGGTACCAGCGCCCGGCTATCCTCACACGACAACGAGACGATGCCATGTTCTTAGTTGAGCTGATAGCTCATCATCAAGCGTAGCCAAAGAACGATAGAGTCACTCAAGAGAATAGGATTGCTAAATCGAGTGAGAAAAATGGGGTGGAAAGAGATCCCTCGCATAATAAATACAGTCTAGCAAGGTGATAACAACCACAGCTTACCTCAGTACAGATGAGCAATTTGGACCCTATCCGATGCCAACAGATTTCTCGCTCGTATCCTACTTTGAATCTCGTCAGACATGCAACCACTGCATCAGAACCCTAAGGATACAAACATGGTTTACATGCTAAGCGTGCCACCTCTTGTACCAGTGGGCCAACTAGTCCATATCCAGTCGTCGGCGCTTAGAGCCCCGAGAATCGTGTTGTTTCTTCGGAGTCGCTAGCAGCTTCGTCGTCGCAGCACCGTCAACCTCCTCGTCCACGCCATTCCCATCCATATCTACATCCTCAGCAGTGAGAATTACAATTTCTCCCAAATCGGTTGCAGTGCTACTCTTCTTCCAGCCTCGGGGAATCATCACATGAGGAACTAAATCTGGGATTAGCAAGGTAATAAGGTAGCATGAGTGACAATATCTTACTTGCGACGAAGTCCCGCCCTCTGTTTATTATATTCTCAAGTTCATCGGTTTCTATGACACGCTTGATGAATAGATCAAGCAGCCACGCGTCCCGATCATACCCTGGGCCCGGCGCAAAGTCCATACTCCCAGGATGACTGCGGCACATGTGCCGTACCAACCCTCCGACTCCGTTGAAGTATTTGATCTCGCGCGACCCTTCTATACGGGTCGAATTTGCTCTGCATACTGGGCAATGCATCTCGATGAAAGCGCCGCCGGCGCCTTCTACTACACAGCTAAGCCAGGCAGGGATCGTGATGGCTTCCTCGGTGTTGTCGGCGTCAGCCACCTTCCTCGGTTTGGTGACTGTAGCTGCAGATTTGGTGTTCTTCGTTTCTTGGATGATAGAGGAAGCCTGCTTGTAGTTGGCGAGGTGCGAAGCTGGGCCAGGGGTTTCATTCTTTAAGATGCGTTTTGCGTTTCGAACGGCGTCCGACTCGGTGAGGATGGGGTTGTCAAAGGCCCTAGTATGAAGGCCTAGAGTGGAAGCGCCCATGTTCTTGTACATGTACGCTGTGGTGACAGCAACACTATCCATGTAGGGCTTGATCTTCAGAGCAGATGCGGGGAGTGCAGGCTTGTGTGGTGTGTTAACGGCAACATCGGCGGATTCGCCCTGTCCATTTTCAGCAACCTCGATTTTGGTTCCTTCTGCTAGGGCTCGTTGGACGTCCGGCATATCAAGGGCGGAATGATTTAGGTTGTGGCCGGGGTCTCTGAGTTTCGCTATCTCTGATATGACTCGCTGAAGATGGTCAGTCAGTCCTGAGTAAACCGGATTAGAAGCGGACTTACTCCTTGCTCAGCTAGGACGGCCTCCCAAGCCGAGTCGATCTCGTCTCTCTTCTTACTATATCTCTCTTCCTCGCGCTTCTTTTGGAAGTAGAAGAACCTGACCGCAGACTCACAGAACTCCTTCTCTTCCAGCTTTTTGAATGCCTCCTCATGGCCGTTGTTGAGATCATCCATGGACTCTCTCTCTCGCCGTTTCGCCTCTGCACGTAATTTAGCAAGTCGGACTTTATCAAAATCCATGTTGCGCAGGGTCATGGTGGATGCAGGAGCGGCTGGTGTGGCTGATGGGGTTGGAAGCAGGAGGAGCCGCAGATTGCGGCGTATGTCAACAAGCAGTACTGTCACTCATTCACTACGAATTAGGATGCCTCACAACACCCCGACAAATCTGAAGGCGATATTTGCTTCTGACAGGCAAGGTTCAGCCTGGAATTTGATCTTTTGAGATCATTCGTTTACTTCATTTTGCTACCATGCCCGACATCATCTAGCCATCGTATGAAATGTGGCACAGACCTTAGAAGCAGCCTACATAGTCGAACCTAGGCATCGCACTCTTCCATCTGCTACTACGAGTGTGCAGTTCTAGCTAGCAGCCTCATGATATCGTGGTCAGGTTCAGCAGCTTGTAAGAGCAGCCGCCGGATCTATCGTTCTGCACCGCCGTCTATTGGTGCCCGTTCTACACCGTTCAATGGCATTCCTCCGCCCTCATTATCCGCCTCGCCATCATTCTTACTGTCATCCCACTCCGGAAGCGCCTCAAATTCCTCGTCAGACATAGGTGGATGTACGACTCGATCATCGATATTGTAATTGAACGGCGCTTCTAAGTCTAGATTATCCAACGAGCTAGAGCTCCATTCTCGAGTTAGATCAGACCTATTCTCCTGGAAGAGCTGGCCTGAAGCTGTCCTTTGGAGGGATGGGTGGGGACCACCACGGCGGATTGGAATGCCTTTCAGATCAAGGACTAGAACCCCTTTCGCGGACCCAACGGGAGTGGAAGGGTTTACAGAGTTGGCTTCGCGGGATTCCGATTGGAGAGGTTTGGCTGATTTGGTTTCCGGAGGGTCCAGCTCTATTCCGGGAGGGGAAGGCAGTGATGATGCGCTCGTTACCTGTCTGCGTGTTGCTGATTTCTGTAGTCTGATAGGTCTGCTGACCCATAGGAGTGTTGGCAGAGCTGGAGCTCGAGGTAGAAGCGTTGTCGTTAAGCCCGGAGGTGCCCATGCGTTTGGTGGTGGTGTAATTTGGTGAGGCTTTTAAGAAGGGATAAGGACGTGCCTATAGCATTGTAGATGACCAGAGGTTCATACTATAAAACCGCGTGAAAGTGGTAATAGAGAGCACCCACCTGGTGAATGTCTGGTAGCGTTCGCAAGCAGCGAGTGTAACGACGAGTTTTTGAGCAATGCAATCCCGAGGTGAATGAGGTGAGTTGAAGTCGTGCTCGATAGTCAGTCTCCTGACTGGAGTTGTCCTCCAGTAAGAGAATATGATCTTTCTTGTTCCGGCCGGTCCAGCAATAATCCTGGGATTAGGACCGTCTGCAGCTGAGTCCTATGAAACAAAAGTCCCCACAAAGTCCCTCGTTAGCCGATGGCCGTCCAGAGTTATGAGTTCGACTCACTTAGATTGGTTCCACTAACAAACTAAAAATCCCAAACGTTGTTTCCTGACATGTCAACTCTGTGAAAATAACACTTATCCACAAACCAAGAAACCCCAGCCCGTTGTTTTTCTGCTCTTTTAATGCTCACCATCCCGAATTGGGAGAATTGTTTTTTGGGGAGGGCTGCGGACATGTGATGTTATAATAGTTCGCTCAGTAAATGTGGTGACATTAGTTGCTATGACCCAACTAGAGACTATGGCCTACCAGAACTTTCAAGCAAAGCGCGCGAATTATTACCCTAGAGTGTTACCGGACAAGACAAGTCCTCCCCGATCTCTTTCCTTTTAGCGGGCGGCACTGTAGTCGGGACACTCTCCACATGTCATCGAGTGATTTATTCCTCGTTACGTAGCGGCACTTTGACAGTGCATGCAAAGGGGACGCGGAGGGTGGAAGAAGTCACGAAATCAACCTCGCTAGATCTCTGATGTAAAAATGCCAAGCCTTTCTGGCAACCTGCAGGTGGGTCTGACTCTGTAAAAGGCTCCAAAGACCGATTGAGCCTCGTTTGCGGGTGCCTATAACGTTCCATCGTAAAACCTTTCTCCTCCAGAATCCCCCAACTCCGCTCCATTACACCTCATCGAGGCAAGAGAACGGCCACAATGGCGAACAACTTCTCTGAATGGCCGCTCGAGCTCTTTCGCTTGATGCTCGATTACATTGTCACAGCGCAATGACAGGCGGGCTCAGATTTCCGAATAAATAAAAGATTAAATGTGCGGGCGAATGTGCGGAAGGTAGCGAGGTTGAGATTAGTTTGCAGTACGGTTTCTCTATTCCCAATCACTATCCTTATAGTTCTCCCATTCAACTTCCTGAGACACTACTATACATTTTTCAAGTCCCTCTTCGTTCCTCAGACCACTACAAAATCCTAGTTTTTCGGTCGTTATTTTGATTTTTAGAGTACAGGGGCACGCTTGACGTTATTTCAAATCCCAAGAAATAATATCAGCTAGCACTTGACTGACCCATCCAGGACTCTTCGACTCCGAAATCACGCGTGCCCTCGCCTCCCAACTTACCGAAGCTCATGCCACTTCAGAGTACGACTGGCGCTGGAATCCGCGACTCGTTGCTGAGCGCCTCTATCAGCAGGTCTCTCACCTTGCCCGCAACACGAACGTCATCACGTACAGCATCAACAACATGCTCGACCTTCTCTCTACACGCGCTGCTCAATCAAGCATATCCCTCACCTCGCGCGAGGACCACGGCGAAGCGCTGTACGCTCTTTGCGAAGGTATGGTTAATTTTAACGGTATGTTAAATTCGTTTACGACCGGCCGATTTGGAAATTGTGTACCGTCTACGACTGATTGGGGCATGGAAAAGTGGCGTCAACTTGTAATGTGCGCGGTTGAAAGTGGGAATGCCGGAATCGTGGAGGACCTGTTGAATCGTGCGGCCATATTGAGTGGCGACTCATCCTTTTGCGAACTGGAACTCCCGTTTACAGGATGGTGGCTGGAGAGCGATGAAAACGAGGAGTCGTTCGACCTCGAAATTCTGAAGCAGGCAGCATTTTTGGAGGCCGCGAGATCGGGAAGGGAGAAGATTTTGAGATGTCTCCTCAAACTGGGCGTAGACATTGATGTGAAGGACCACAAGTCTCGGACACCGCTGTTGCTGGCGACGGCGCCTGGGTTTTACGATTGTGTCAAGTTGCTGCTGGAGAATGGAGTAAGTGTCAAGAAGTGTAACATGAGTAACAGCGGCGGCGTGCTGGGGTTGGCAGTCGAAAAGTACCACATAGGTATCGTACGGCTATTGCTAGAATATGCGGCGCTGGACCCGCAGTACAGGCTACCGGAGGAGGGGAGGGCAGACATGAAGTTTGAATGGCGAGGGAACTCATGCAAACACGGTCCGTTGATTATATGGATGTCGAGGAAAGGGATATGGATGCACTGGCAAGAGGTGATGAGAATGACCAGCGAAGTGTACGGGCTGGACCCGGACTGCGAGTGTTTGAGGAGATACGACGAGACTGGTATTGTGATAAGGGTTGACTGATGTTATGGATCAAGGAAGTTTTCACAAAGTTGTGACTTTTACATGTGCATCCAATTTTCTAAGGCTGTGTTGAAGCACACTAGGCAGAATGAGAACTAGACAACAAGAATTACTCACAATTTACCAAGGTTACCTCATTCGCTCGGTCAAAGATAATAACTTCGAAACTTCCGAATCTACAATAATCTGCTAAAGCGCCCTAAACAGCGTCAAGCCAACGTATAATACATTATGTACAGACTTTCGTCAATATACTCCGCCTTATCGAGCCTCTCTTAAAAGCTAATCATACTCAGAAGCTACTACAACTCCTCTGTTTCATTGCAAGTGAGAGATCCGCATAAAAGCGCATGTTGAATAGATGTTGAAGGTGTGAGGTGAAGTCGTAAAGGTGAGGTCCCAATTTGAGGCGCGCCAAGCATTTTATCTAAAGGTGACCGCACGTCACCATCACATTTCTCTGCCCAACAACCTTCACCAACGCTCCGCACCCTCCCAGATTCCTTTCCTTAATGCGACGACTTCAAAACACCCGCGGCCAGAATCATGGAGGCCACTGGGGTTGACCCTGCTGGCGACGAGTACAGCACCTCGAAACCTACCAAATTCCGTTTCAAGACGAAGCGGGCACGATCGGAGAAGGATCACGACACAGAGCACCGAAACAGCGAGAAGAGGCGTCGATCAGAGAAGGACGACGGGCGCTCTCACCGCCATCACCGTCACCACCACCGCAGCAGCAAGCGGCGCAATGAACAGTACTCAGGCCCAAAAGACGATCCAAGCGAGTTCGACGACAGCTACGATGCAACCGCGCGGTCAACGCATTACCTAGACCCAGACTCCGCATTCCGGGAGTCTCTTTTCGACGCCCTCGCCGACGATGAAGGTGCGGCGTACTGGGAAGGCGTCTATGGCCAGCCAATGCACATATACTCAAACACAAAAGAGGGGCCTAAGGGCGAGCTGGAGCAGATGACAGAAGAGGAGTACGCTGCATATGTCAGGGCTCGGATGTATGAAAAGAGCCACGAGCATATCGAGGAGGAGCGTGTGCGGATGGAGCAGGAGAGGCGGCGGAGGAAGAAAGCAGAGAAGGCAAGGGAGCAGACGAGCCAGATGGAGGAAGAAAGAGAGGACTTCCAGGCGAGAGTCGAAGCGAGTCTTAAGAAAGGGGAGGCTAGAAAGAAAGCGAAAGAGACAAAAGAGTCGTGGACGACGTACAACAAGAGATGGGAGGAGCTCAAGGCTAACGCGGACCAAGAGAAGAGCGGGAAGGTGGCAATTCGAAACGTCATTCCATGGCCAATTCGATCAGGACAGTGGAAGGATGTAGAAAAGGACGCTATCGAACAGTTTCTCCTGAACGCACCAGTTGCTGAGGATGGGCTTAGTACTCTACTAAAGCTCGAACGCGTAAAATGGCATCCGGACAAGATTCAGCAACGTTTTGGCGAAGGAGGCATTGATGCCGAGACCATGCAATTGGTTACTGCTGTCTTCCAGGTTGTGGACCGCATGTGGAACGATCTTCGGAAGAAGAGCAATGGCTAAAGTCCAGATTAATTTCTCATTCTACTGGAACACTTCAGGCTGCGCATGCTGTTACTGCACCGAACCACCCCACGCCCATTCAACCTGTGCAGCCTCGAATGTTGCAAGCACGGCGTTGGATTAGGGCCCCAGTCACGCTACTCGCTGCGATTATAATTTCGTGGACCTGCTTCAGTGTTCTAACACCCCTCTTAAGGCTAGTTCCGCCCCTTCGATTTCAGCCCGGATGGTTTTATCTCTCATCGAGGGTTCACGCTACGTAGAGCGAGAATAGGTGTAAGCAAAACCAGAGGAAGGTTATGTTCCGAGGGGCACTGTTAGAGGTCCCACAGCGGACGGGAAAGCTTAGGGAAGGGTATGGCTTCTTTGCGATGCGGTGCGGTATGGGTGGACCTTCCTCAACGTGTGATGAACATGGTGTATATGTTACCAAAGTCTCTGCGGAGACTTATACCTCATACTCGGTGAATTGGATGCAACATTGGCAACCAACAAACTCAGAATACATCAATGGTTACCCTCTTTTCGATGATTTTCAGACTTCTCAAGAACCCCAATTTAATCATTAAATACCTAAACTCGTACTGCGAAATCCTATCAAGTGCCCTCTCAGCCTCTCCATTCGTAGTTCTCGTTTCAGGCATTTTCCGGCACAATCTCAAAATAGCTCCTTTCACGTATAACACCATTCAGAGACCCTTCAAGCTTCTCCGTACGCGGCTCCAACTCCAGTTTCGGCGTCCCTAACCCGGTGTCCAGCTTCCTGAACACTTTAAACGTCTGCTGCAGCCTCGTCGCGCCCTGCGCCGCGGGCGGTGGGAGGCCTCGATGAGGAGGAGCACTGCCCGGCGACCCCGGGGTCTCCGACTTCACCCTCAGATGCTGCAAAATCAGGCTCCCATTCACCGTCCGCGACGGTACTTTGTCCAGTCCCGGCGAAGGCGGGAACTCCTTCGCAGGTGTGCCTGGCCGGCTCTCAACCGGATCCGCGAACTCGAGCCGGACCTTCGACCTACGGACGTTCGCCCAGCTCCCATTGCCGCTTGGTATGCGGCTCGCCGATAGCGGGCTTCTCACTGAGGGCGTACCGCGGTGGCTCTGCCCGCTGCTGTTGCTCACGGTCCGCGAGAGCCCGTGCTTAGCGTCCAGGTCTGCGACTTCGATGTCGCCGAATTCCGCCTGGAGGCGCGCGAATCTCTCGTCGTAGTCGTCTTTGATGGTGTCGGCGCCGATGGCCCAGTTCGCGGGGCACAACACGCCGTGGATCATGACCGCTTGGAAGGCTTCGACGAGGCGGAGTGCTTCGAGGACGCTGCGGCCGACGGCGAGGTTGTTGACGGTAATCTGTGAAGGTCAGATTTGAGTTTGAGGCGTGAAATTACGGGTGGTGGGCTTCCCTGCTGCACAATCCCACTCGGATCGGTAATGAATATCAGTCCTTCGTCCTCGATCAAGCACCCATAGTCCTTGCTCATCTTATGGCTTGGATCCGCCAGCAACGGCAAATCTATCTTACCTAATCCACCAAATCGTGGTGGCAGGCTTTGCCAGTGCCAGAGGCTGTGTTTGGTATCGACAGACACAAACGCCGCAGCGCAGTTGCGGTCGGTGAACTCATCAAGGGTGTTCTGGAAAGCGAGAACTTCCGAAGGACATACGAAGGAGAAGGTGGCTGGAATGAACATAAGAAGCAGCCATTGGCGGTTGCTTTTATAGTAAGAGAGGGAAATCTCTGAATACTGGTTAGCACGGCGCAAGAACTGAAATGTACAGTTACTACCTCTGAACTGGCCGGCGAGTACAGCGTCGCATACGAAGTCTGGAGCGTGTTCGCCGATACGCACTTTAGCGAGTGCTGCCATTACTTCAACGTGTCAAGGTAGTGCGACTGTCTTGATGTGTGTTCGGACGAAGAGACTCGCAAAAATGAGAATCAGCCTCGTCATCCACCCAGGCCTTTGAAGTACTTAAATTCATCTCTCTCCAACGTGTCTCACACTCCTAACAAGCACTCGGTAGAGAACGACGCACCTATCGTGAGTTATGACTTACTTGAGGTCATGTGGTTGGGATGTGAGACATCGAGACATCGTTTTCGTTGAAGTCTACATTCCCAACGCTTTGTCTACGCGCTATCAAAGTGAACACTGTACAACCGGTTGATAACAACACCGCGTTCAGAGAGCTGATCGACTTGCTACACGTGGGATTTAGTTCCTGGTCGGGAAGTCAATCTTCCGAAACGTGGGCAGAGTGGCGATGTGACACCGGTGACTAACGAACATTCGAGGGTTTGATATCATCCTCCTCGGATCTTTAACCGTTCCACGATTCGTAAAGAAGGTTGATGAACGCTGGCTGTGTAGAAGACGAATCTCATTATCGTGATCACGGGACTGAACACACACGCGAGAGCCGGGGGACGCGTGTTACCTCGCTGTTTCTTCAAGGCATGCTCTAAAACGGCGATCCGAGTGACGATAAAATACCGTAACTCTAACACACCTCGAGCACCTCCTCGAATCCCTCGAATCCTTCTAATACTACCATAGAGAATAACGACGACAGGGACATGAAACAAGTGGAGAAATTGCAAGCACCAGACCACTAAAACCCGCTGACAAAAACCCACAGAACAAGAATAAACTTAACCTCCCTGCTCGTCGACGAAGATCCGACGATCGCTGATGATCGCAAACCCACAACTTTCCTACAAGACGAACCTCGTACTCCTCAACAACCGTCGCTCACCGCGAAAATGTGATAGAAGTTCAAAGGATCCGCCTCGACTCGCGGCGCCTTTAAATTTTCTCGCCCTGCCCCTTTCCACGATCTATTTTCAGCCAACCGCGCCGGCATCCGTTACTAGCGGATCCTTAAAACACGCCGCCGATGTAACACCCCTAGAAATTCACGGAAATAACGGCAGCGCACTCCTTCAAATAGATGTATAAAGCATTCTTTCCGCCCTGCTGCCTGTTCGATTAATATCTCACGCTCCACACGTTCGTTTTTCTACATAACCACTTCTCCGTCTTTCTTTCCCCAAACCACAAATCCAGCAGAATTTCTGCCGTCACTCGTTCACCCCCAAAACCTCCAACCTACCTACCATCACGCTCCTTCAAACCTTGCCAAACCACCCACTCGCTCCAACCAACCCCACACCCACCCAAAATGCTCCCCAAATCCCTCCTCCCCGCCCTCGCGGCCCTCCTCACCACCGCCCTCGCCAAAACCGACCTCAGCGGCTGCACAACCTCCAACACCGTCTCCTTCGGCGGCGCCTACGTGCTGTGGTACGTGCCCGGCACGGGCGAGCTGTGCGCGCCCCTCGACTGCGGCGGCGGCATGGCGCCGCCCAAAACCACCGTCCCCGGCTGCGCCGCCTACGTCGGCACCGCCAGCTACGTCCCCAGCTACCTGCCAGGCTACGGCCCTGGCAGCGCGCCGGCGACTGTGAGCGCGTCGTCGGCGTGGGCCACGAGCGCGGTGGAGGCGAGTGCGACGGGGTTGGCGGCGTATACGGTTACGCCGTCGTCGGGAGCTGTAGCCGCGACGACGGAGACAGGAGCGAGCACGTTTGCTGTGATTACATCGGCGGCGAGTCTGTCAATTACGCCAACGGTGTCGGTTGGGGGAAATAACCTCACGGCGACGGCGACGGGGCCGTCGACGACGAGCCAGTTTACGGGGGCGGCGTCGGCGGTGGCGGTGAGGGAGATGCTTGGGCTTGCTGCTGGAGTGGTGGCTGGTCTGGCGATGTTGTAAGCTTAGGGATAGAAGCGTTGTCTGGGGTGGCTAGTCTGGGGGAAAAGTACTGTACAAGAAGCATATTGCAGCATGGGTCGGAGTTTGTAGACTTTTGTTTACTGTAAAAGTAATTGTAAACTGGTTGATTGAAGGAGAGATATGGAGATAGACCTAGGAATGCTCGTACCTATGAAACACTCCATCCCGCCTCACTCGTCTGCCCGTGTTGAGAGCTCTTCTCAAGGCTCCTCCGGCACTGGGCCCATGGAGTATTGCCCTCTGACCGAGCGTGCCCGCGGCACATTCTTTGCCTATCCTAGACGCGCTTGTTTGATATCACGTGATGACATCGAGGCGTGGATCCCGGTGTTGCAGATGTCTCATTCAGATCTCTGAAAAACAAAAGGGAGTGCCCAATGAGAGGGAACGGAAGTGTCCTTGAGGTGTTCCCCGATATATTGATCTTGAGGCCACCTCATGCAGTGTTTCCTTGAATAAAAGCGTCATACATGTACCTCACGAGTCAGTCCACGGACACCTCGCCTACTTCACGGGGAACAACTCGAAGCGCTGATACGCTCTGCAGCACCGGCGGCCGACTAGTCTAGCCGTCAATGTGCTTAGTGAAGCTTATCCCGAGCGCTTGTAGAGCCCCGAAAACGACGGAGGATGATATAAATTGCGATGGACAACCCTAAACATGACAGCCCCGAATACGGGCAGGACCAAAGGACCAAGATGTCGGGCGCTATCTTTAAAAAGGACCTATTGAGGCTAACGAGCTACAGCGATGTTGTGTGGGGCGTATCCTGTACTCCGGACGGATAGAAAAGCAATTCAACTCGAGTGGGGACAGCCCTATACCTTTTGGGGACAGCCCTATACCTTTGGTTCCTTGCAGTCAAGAGCAGGAAGCAGCAGTTGCTGCTTACAAGATGTCTCTTGAAGCACGCGAGCTCGAGCCGCGTCTAGCACTCGGCAGCTGACCCTTAGTCACAATGAAGCCGGTGGCTTCGGCTCCGGCGTGGGAGCTCTAGGGGAAATTGAGGTTGCGGTCCCACGATTCTGGAAGCGTCAAGGCGGCTCGGGTAATGGGCGCCACGCCCTGCGTTGGTGGCGCGCTGCCGAACAGCATGGGGGCTACTGCAGACGGCGCCGGGATGCGAGAGGTGAATTCGGACTGCATGTGGCGAGCATCCGGAGGCCTTCGTCGGCATCGGACGGGGCGCCTTGGGCCTCCCACTCGCGGGCCTGGAGATGGCCGCTGTTTCGACGGCGATAGGGCTGGCTGGCAGCATGCAGACGTGGCCGTCCCAGACGCGATGTCGTGCGTGTCTGCTGGCCGCCATCCCTCGCTGCCATCTGCTTGGATGCATGAAATTGCGGAGACACCGTTCGGGCTTCGGGGGCGAGCCGGGGGGAGCCTGCTGCGACTGGAAGGCCGTCTGCTCCACACCGGCTGCCCATTCACCCAATGGCAGGGCCCATCACGCCCAAGCATCGTGTCGTGCCGAGTCGCAATTGGCCTCCTGTGCTGGGCCCGACGGCAAGCTTTCCACGCTTCCCGGTTCGCGCGCAGGTCAACCGTTGAGTCGTGTTTTCCGTCTCACCTGAAACAAAACCCCAGCACCGCCCGACACCGCATGCCCAACCCGCCCATTCATTGCTACGTCGACCAAGTATCTCTCTGCTCCAGCATCTTCCCGGCGTCTCTTCCAGCTGCAATCTTTCTCGGCCGGTCCATGCCCTAGCGAACAGCCGGCTCTGTTGTCCTGTTGCATTGCTTGCTTTTTTTCCCGGCGTTGCTGCTGTGTGACCTAGAGTATACGCCGTTACCTTTCCTCGAGCGTGCATCGCAGCGTATCATTCCCACCGCATACACCATGAAGCGGCCCTTTTCCTTCAACCTGGCCCCCATAGTGAGTATCTTCCTGCCCCATTGACGCTGCGCGGCGCGCCTCACGAGCTCCTCTGATTTTCCTCAGAAGGTGCCCCCGAAGACGGAGATCAAGGTCGTCAAGAGCTCCTATTCAGTTCCCAAACCTCTGCCTAGACCGGACAGCTGCTCGCCCCCTCCCTCACCCTTCATATGCCGCCGCGCCTTGTCCGGCAAGACCGAGGCCCAGCTCCGCGCCGCCTGCGCCCTTGTTCTCGAGAACTACAAGCCTTCTGGACATGTCTTCGAGGATAACGCGAAGCCGAAGCTAGACTTTGACGGCCTAAACCGCTCCATGAGGGAGAAGAGGAGGCAAGCTGAAGCGTTCTCCCGCGCCGTGGATAATAGCTCCCATCTGAGGAGTCTACCCAAGCCCGAGATTGTTGTGAAGGACCTGTATTCTGGCGCAGGAACAACGCAGGCTGCTACCAAAGCTAACAGCAGTCGTCGAAGAGAGGATCTCCACCCCCATGCCATGGACACCGAGCGAGCGGCGCGGAGAGCCGCAAAGTCTCAGCCATCCTCAGATCGCCCCAAGACCGCGCCGATGCGCAACACTATGGATTCTGACGATTCGTCAGATCTACAAGTAAAGACCCCGCTTACAAGTTCCACGGGATACTACAACAACAATGCCTCAACTGCACCTACGTCAGCGGCTTTTTCATCCTCACCCGGCTCAAAGAGGAACTCTCGGCACGCCTATCCCAACGACAACGCTGTGGCTGACGCCGACGCTGTGGCTGACGCCGACGCTGCTGCTGCCGAGTGGATGAAGCAGGAGCTTGAGAGGCGACGGCAAAACATGCTGTCTCTGGGAGAACCCCCCTCTTTTAATAGCGCCTTTAATAGCACGGTTCGACCCCCAAGTCGAAGCAGGAGTATCAAGGAGGAATTTCGCGAGTACATACGACCCCTAAGCAGATCAGGTTCCAAAGGCTCGATGCGCCATAATTCTTTAGTCGCTCAAGAGCCTCAGCGCAGCTCTGGCCACGGGTGGCGCAGTTGGTCTCTACATCGAAAGACTAGTTTGTCCAGCTTCAAGGACAGCAGACCGAATAGTTCAGGACGAACCGAAACCGGTACTGACGAGGTCCCCAAAGTGGAGCTCAATCTCAACAGAGAATTGCCCCCGCTTCCAAGTCTGGATAAATGGGAGGACCATGCGGCCCAGTCCGCCAAGGACGAGCAGCATGCTCAAGGAACCAGCACGCACATCGCGAGCCTCATGCTTCCCAAGGTTCGCGGCCATCAACAACATGACCAGCATGCTACAGCCCCCCGCCATAAACATCGACGAAGTGGCTCGGACTCGCTAGCACAGACGTTTCCCAAGGACACTACGCTCTATTCACCCGCTCAGAACGTCAAGATGCCGAGGCCAAAATCCAATCTACCCAAGAATCGGCCGAACCCAAGCAGGTACGACTCGTCAATAACCTTTGATAGCACGATGGACCCCACGGAGCCCAGCCGACAGACTACCGAGGAGGCTAGAGTGAGGACGCATCGACATAAGAAGACCGCAAGTAGCGTCTCTCAGATCACGCCCAGCATGAAAGTCAGTATTGACCAGTACCGCTACGAACCACCAAATTTCAGCAGAAAGATCAGCATGGACGTTGCCGGCCGGCCCTACAACGAGCTCCCCCATCCTGATGAGAAGACGGCCCCCAAATCGTCAGGCCACGACAAGATGCAGAAGTTGCGGAAGGCTGTTAGCGGATGGATGCTTAATAAAAAGAAAGACAGGAAGGAGAATAGGACGGACACCTCGGAACAGACCAGCGTCAAGGGCAGCCTCACAGTTCGTAGTGAGGCCGCCCATGCGCCGGTTGTGAAATACTAGAACGGTAATCGATGGGGTGGGCAAAAGGTTGATACCCTATGTTGTAATGCCTGTGATGCGTTACGACTTGACGGCCTTGCATTCCTCCCGACTTGCTCAGGAGTGTAGTTTGGTGATGTAATTAATAGCATAGAATGCTTCTTCTTTCTACCTTTCGTCAGCGTGCTTCGGGAAGCGGGTTGTGCGCTGTATTTTATACACTATTCAATTGTAATAGACCGAGCGACTTCGCTTTGGACATCACATGCTAATAGATTATTCTTACTCAATTTTTCGACCAATCGTTGGACAGCTCAGTTCGGACCTCGATGAAGGGCACGCCAAGCTTCGTCACTCCTTGGCTCGATTCCTCACCTCTTTTCACCGCGTTCCCTAGGTCTTCCATGCTACTCTCATACAGTATCCCGAACTGAGATACCGTCATTGCGTGGAGTTTTAATGAACGGCTGAAAGCGATTGTGAGAGTCTACTCATGATGATCATTGGTTCGATAACGACTCAAGGCAGCCGACGTAAGGTTTCACATCACTTAAAGGCCCGCTTCTAACGTGTTCGGAAGCTTTCCGATAACTTGCCGAGCCTCGACTTGCGATCAAGGTCTTTGCTGTAGTGGATACCCTCGAGAAAAAACTCCAAGCTGCTGAAAGGCGGAGAGCGCCTTAGAGGTGCTACTAGATTTGCTTGCGGAGAGAACTGCTTTGTACTTGATAGCTCTAGTTAAGATTTTGGGAAGGTAATGTTATTACACTTTATTCCTGCGGATTACGTCTTACGTCGTCAATCTTTGTAGGATTCAGAACACGCGCTGCCTAAACTCAATGCATCAACACGTGCCAACACTATCACCACCAAATGCTGCTCATACAACCGACTATCGCTACCACCACAGCCTCTGCAGCTTCTACCGACCTATTTCGGCCGTCTCAGCCTCCCAGCGAGCTCCAAACATCCCTATCGACCTCGCCCAGCTCCAGCCGACAAGATCTTCCTCACTCGTGTCACAGCGGCCCTGATGTGCAAGATCTTGAGCTACGCGCACTCCTGCGGCCACTCCGTCCGCTACCTGCTCTCGCGCTGCCGCGGAACCTACGGCAAGCCGAAGCGTCGGGCCACATACAGCAAGGTCGCGTGTCTGGCGGTCGATTACCTCACTATCGCGTCGCACAACCCCTGCGGACCATGTCAAAATTTGAGATTTGAAAAGAACTGGCAAGCTCGCCTAGACGTCGGACGAACCCTCCAGCGCGAACTCGAGAGCCGGGGACTGGACAAGAATCACATCGCCGAGAGGAAGCTGGCGGAGCTCGAGGAGCAGTACCTCGTCGAGTCGTGGACGAGTCGCCAGCGGTTTCCGCCGATGGAGAAGCCGGGCTATGACAAGCCGTGCCTGAACCCGAGAGTCGCGAAGATGTCGCCGCTGAGGGAGGAGCTGAGGCCGGAAGATGTGGAGAGTGAGGTGGAGGAGACGGATGAAGAGCCATTGAAGCAGTTTGGCGGCACGTTTCAGGCTTTCTTCTTTGATCAGTACGGCCTCTGGGGACCTGAAATTGACGATTTGGCAGCACCAGAGGAACAGCAGATTGAGCTGATCAAGGACGAGCCCTCCGACTCTGCTCTAAATTGTTCACAGGAATCAGGTTGGGACGGTTGGGGTGGAGGCGGTGACGACCAAGGCAATGCGAATGCCTGGAGCGACGCTGCACTGGACTCAGTGAGTCCGGAAATACCAGTAGAGGAAGAGGAGGAGCCCGATGATCTCTGGGATTGGTCAACTTCTCTCACTCCTTTGGAACAGGAATCGGATGGTCAGCCAGAGCTAGAGACGGATGGCGATGTGCTCTACTTCTACAAATACGTTCCGCCGATGTTCAATGCGGACTCGCTGGAGGAACAGATCATGCTCAAGGAGCATGCCGCTAAAGCTAAAGAGCCTACTCCACAACCAGATCCAGATTGGGACTCAACAAACGGAGAGCCTGAACGATACGTGAGCTTGCTGGGCCACCTCAAACAGTACGAAAGCAGTGAGTCACCACCAGAGTCAGAACCAGAGCCATCACCAGAGCCATCACCAGAGCCATCACCAGAGCCATCACCAGAGCCATCGCCAGAACTAGACCAAGAACAAGAGACAGAGCTAGGAGAAGAAGCAGAGTCAAAAGACAACCGAGCGCTCTCAAACGACATCCCACCGCCGTCGGATGTACTCCTGGACACGAAGAAACTAGCCGCGACCACCAACGCTGAGAGCAACGCTGAGAGCAACGCATTCTCCAACCAGACAATCAGCCACGAAAATGCCAATAGCCCACGCGACTCCGATGCCAACGGTGTACACAAAGACCGCATCCTCCGCCAAACACTCAGCGACGAGACCGACGAATTCAAGACCAACGGCGCGCCCTCAGACATCTCCAACACCCCAGCCATCCACGAGAACAGCAGCCCTCACAGCTCCAAGGCCAACGGTGTGCTCCACGACGATATCGGCAGCCAAGCGCCGCGCAACCCGTCAGACGACCTCTCCAGCTCCTTTCCTCCAAGCAGCCCAGGCTCCCACCCCGCCAACCCCGAACCGCACTGCCCTTCTACCACCACGTCCGCTTCGGCAGCCCTCGACACCCCCCTCGCCTCCGAATCCATCCCCCCGGCCTCCCGCCCCCGCGGCGCTCAGCCCCCCGCCGGCTCCCTCGCCTGCAAACACCCGCCCACCGCCTTCGACTACGCCGTGAGATACAACATCTCGCCCACCAACTACCTCGCCGAGCGGCGGCGCGCGGTCATAGAGGCGGAGAAGAGCAAGTTCGGCGAGTCGAATATCGAGGCGCCGCGGGCGGTGGGCAAGGGGGCGGAGATTGCATTAGCGGAGGGTGGTAAGATGGGGTGTGTTGAGACGGCGAAGGGGGTAGGGGAGGGAAGCGAGGGGCAGCAGGGGGGGAAGGGTGAAGAGGTTGATATGGGCAGGGAGAGCGAGAGGGACGAGGAGAGCGAGAAGCAGAGGCGGCGGGCGGGGAGGTTGGATGTGAGGGATGTGGAGTGGTAGGTGGGGGTGCGGTCGTAGGAGGGGAGTGTGGGACGTTATGATTGGGGAGAGGTGAAGGTGAGGGGGTTTAGGAGAGCGAGGCAGAGCTGCTCTGAAGTTGGCTTGCTGATTTTTGAAGAAGCGGGTTGGTTTTGTCATTGGGGTTCCTCTCTGCTTTGTTGGATATCGGCTTGGATGCATTCCGAGAGATAGCGCTGAGTTGGGATGGAGCTTTGCTCGGTTCAGTCCTCGAAGTTATCATTGTAGGATATACGCGTGATACGATAGAGGCCCATTGGAGCTAGGTCTCGTCAGTCCAGTCTACAGTAGTTTCCACAGTCTCTGCAGGCGAGCGTAAGTCGGAGAAATTAAGGGTGATTTTTCTAACTCTGTTATTCATTTCTATCCCGGGTCCGAGAGTCCTTTGCAAGAAGCCTCAATCGCATCTTTGTAAACCCCAGATCAATTCCGAGAGCCCCCACCAACTACCTCTAGCACCAAAGCCCCTCAGATCGACCGACCATTTCCTCGTTTGCACGTGATACCAAAAAACGCCGCATCCCATGCCCACCTATGCCATCGCTGAAAGGGACACTGCGCCGACCTATCTGCAACGCTCTCAATGGTAATTTCCTGGGCGCTCCCGCAGCATCCTGCCGCCGCTCCCACCGCCCATAACGGTATCGAAGTATTGGCCTCCGTCCTCCATTCCCAGCTGTGGGCCCCCCATGCCCATACTACCTATGCCCATGCCCACGAGCCCCTTCTTTCCTTGATACCGCGCTGTGTCTACGATATTGAATTTGCGCCCGACTTCTTTGGCGGACTGCACGGAGCCGGCGATGGACGCGAGCAGCGCTACGAGCTGGACGTCTGACTGCTCCTCTTGGGTCTCACGAGCGAAGGCGGCGGAGTCGGGGGGCGCGAGGATAGGGATTCGGGCGAGGAGGGCGGAGATGGAGCGGAGGATGGGGTGATTCAGAGGGAGTGCGGAGGTGGCATCGGCGGGGGGGTTGATGAAAGGGAGAGAGGGGTCGGAGAGATAGGAGGGCGGGAGGGAGGCTAGATAGCGGCGGAGAAGGGTGATGCGGGTTGAGAGCATTTTTATGGCGTTGGATTTAGCAATCAGGGAGGAGAGGACTGAAGGTAGTCTGTTAGCTAGGGGTTATTTGGTTGGGTGGAGGGGTAGACGTGCTCTCTTCGTCTTCGGCGGTTAGGACGGATGATTCGTCGATTGCGCCTTCGACTTTTGAGGCCTCTTTTGCTTTGCCTTTGCCCTTTTTGCTGCTTTCTTCGGAGGCTTCGGGGGCGGATTTGGGGGATGAGGCTTTAGGTTTTGTGCCTTCTACGGCGGTTGCATTGCCGCCACCTCGCGCGACGAAGTCCACACCAATCATCTCTGCCTCGCCTGTTTCAACTGTGTAAACTAGCTCCCGGAATTTGACTGGCTTGCCCGTGGGCGCACCATCAATGTCCATAGCTTTGTCATTTAGAATGACAGGCCCGGTCTCGTTGATACTCTCGTAGAGGGTCAGAGGTAGCTTCCCACCAGCCTTGACTTCCGCAATAGCGTCCCCAGGGTGGAACATTAGGAGAATCGGGGAGTCGTTATACAGCTCTTGTATCCGCGTGTGGATTGGGAGCATGTGGGATTGGGGTCCGGTGGAGGGGCCTAGAGTGAACCAGCCGACTAGGTCGAGGGCGGGTACTTTGTGGACGTCCTTGTCTGCAGCAAGGTTAGCTTTACTGCTATGAAATAATAAGGCATAATACTCACATTGTTCTAGCCGGCTAGCGAACCATACATCGTCCAGCACAGCTTGGCCCGCGTCGTTCTGGTTGAGCTTCGCCTGGAAGGCCACCTCCATTGTGATTTCCTGTCCATTTTGCTGTCCAAGAATGGCGCCAACTACAGGACCTGGTAGTCTGCGCAGAGTGTGCCGCGTCAAGGAGTCGGTAATTGTGAGGAGGACAAGTGGGTGCAGTTGTACCACTGGGCTGGTGTCCGATGCGCGGGCGGTGGATAGCAGTGGGTTCAGTGGTCCTGTCGCCATGGCGAAGCTACAAGGGAGAAAGACGGAGGTGAGGAGGGCGTAGAGAGCAAAAAGAAAACGAGGTAGCGTGGTGGAGAGAACTGAGAGCTTTGATGGAGAGCAATGTGGGGGAGCTGCCTAGATGTTAATGATCCCACACGTGACGTGACGTCGGCTGCACCTTTTTCCGGTATGGTCCGTGTTATCTCCGGCACATTGCTCGGCGACAATTTTGCGACTTGTCCAACTTTGATCACCATTTCTTAAATAACTCAGCAACAGCACCTCCTATCTTGAATTTGACACCGGGACGTGAATCGCACTGTCAACTAGTATTTTGCAGGAGTTTTTCAAGAGCAAATATGTCTATGTCACCGACTTAGCGGTGGGTGCACAGGACTCCACACTTTTTCGAGCTGCTCACGGCTGCCAAGAGTTGCCAAGAGTTGCCAGAAGAGGAGGCTCGCAGCTTCGTTTTGCCGCCGCCGAGAAGGAAGTTTTTCGCGATCTTGAGCTCTCCTTCAACCTCTTTACCCTTGCAGCGGCATCATTAACAGTGCAGTCGTTATCATGTTCATCTACAGTAGTAGGTATAAACTAGAACAACGTAGGGCCATCAAACAGAACTTAGCGTCCAACGACCTCCAAACGCGAGCGCCAATCCTTGGGGTCAGCTATTTCAGTGAATCAATCAATCGTTCTCTCAATTCCTGAGATCATCTAGCTATATCGTTTTAGTCAAGACCATTACTCTAGTCCTCGTGCTCTTAAGACTGTATTATCCGCACTCATTCTTTAAATAGATCTAACGCCAGTCCAATCACTTGCTAGCGAGTCTAACCCGTCTCTTCGTCTATTCCACCAAAGTACATACTGATTATATGATCCGGACAAACACATAGTCGCGTCAATGTCTAGGATATTGGTTATGTCTCCACGAGGATCTTGATCACAAGATTTCCATCCTTGTCCATGGTTTTTCCTGCGAGCTCGAACGCTTCCTTTGCGGCAGCAAGTCCCTTGAAACGATGTGTTACCATGTTGTCAAGACTTGGAAGAACGCCGAAGGACAAGATCTTGATTCCAGTCAGGTAGGTGTTTGCATATCGGAAGATGCCGATGATGTCAATCTCCCTCAGATGAGACGAGGACATTGGCAGTGTCTGGATTGGAGTGCCCATACCGACCATGATCAACCTACCACCAGGCCTTGTGCTCTAAGCAACAGTTAGTCGTGAGAGGTGTATAATCTCTTCCATATGGCTTACGTAGAGACCGGCCTGCATGCAGGACTCCTTTCCAGTACAGTCGAACGTCACGTCCGCTCCCTCAAAGTCCGGCTCATCGGCACTTGCAATCTCAACGATTTGAGACGCAAGATCTTTTGCAGTAGCAAGCTTTTCAGCAGTCTCGGTCAGGTGGCTACGAGGATTTACAGTGTACCCTTTCGTTGCAAAGCCGTTCTGCAAGGCGTAGTTGACCCTGCCAGCATCGATGTCTGCAATCAAAACAGTAGTAGCTCCCGACATCTTAGCCATTGCTGCGACGAGTAGGCCAACTGTTCCAGCGCCGAAGACGATAGCAGTGTCACCTTGCTCTATCGCGGCTCTCCGCGTTGCATGGATGGCGACAGAGAGCGGCTCGAGAAGGGCCGCAGCATCCATCGATACGTGGGATGGAATCCTTGACGACGTTAGCACCGGGCCAATCATGTTCTTGGTTTCATGCAAAACATACTTGTGGCACCATTTGGCGGGGTGGTTGATGCGTTCCTGGAGCGTTCCCTGAAAGTGAGGCACAGACTTGGCGCTACTCCTGAACCGCATGCCGGGGCAAAGGTTATATCGACCTCGCTGACACGACCGACAGTTGTCACAGGGCACGCCCACCTCCAACGCAACCCGCTCGCCAATCTGAAAGCCAGAAACCGCCTCGCCGACGGCAACGACAATGCCAGAGGACTCATGGCCCAAGGACAGCGGTGCTACAGCTTGCAGATCTCCGTTACGGAACTTGCTGTAATACGAAACATCGCTGCCACACACGCCGGTAGCCTTGATAGCAATCTGGAGCTCATGTGGGGCAGGGTCTGATATGCTTCTTGTTTCCTAAAAGAACTTTCAACGCCATTACACAAACAACAGATACCCCCACGAAGGATTGTGGACTATGGGCTTGGGGCAAGAACGAATGGGGCATCTTACGAGCCGCAAATCCCTTGGTCCATGCAGAACCGATGCTTGAATAGAGGATTTGCCGTAGTGCTTCGCTGGGATTGGATAGATATCCGCTAATGCTGAAGGGGCCATGACTAAAGAGGATGTAGGTAGATATTCAACGGCCTGGAAGCGGAAGGAAGGTGGTTGTCTCGCAACCCCACGGGAGAGTGGAGGGCGTAGTTATAGATTGTCGGCATGATTGCACGATCACCACGAGAACCCATGCTGGCTCCTGTTTCTGGATCATGCATCGGAGAGATAGTGGAAGGCCATGAAGGGACGAGCGCCCACGTCATTAGCTGGGCAAATCATTCTCGAATCATTCTCCCGTGGAGCAGGGGCCGACGGGATGCTCGCGTAGCCTTTGCTTTTTCCCGTTACGCTGTATATAAATGTGGCTAGAGGCCCCAAGCGGACTGTTCACTTTTCCCGGATCAGCACCTTAGCCCTCCGAGGACCACGACGCCTAGAATCTCGTTGGCTGTTTTGCGCTTGCGTGCTGTCTATCGGCAGTCCGTGTGAAATAGCGATAAGGCAGTGCCGAGAGGCATGCAGTGGGTCCATTGCTTCGCCAACCTTCAGCCTGATATGCAACCACCTGTCATTAAACAGCACGCCGTCGGCCTCTACACCTAGCGTGCGCGCGTCCATTCGATGACCGACCAGACTAGAGGCCACGGGGAATGCTTGTTATCTGCCCTTCAATGGATGAAATCTCGCGGAGCATGGCGGCAGGCAGCGGGATGCCTTGGAAACAGTACTCCAGCGCCGCTCTGTACCAAGGACTGACTTCATCTCCAGGGGCTCCCGGTGTGCTGGGACATCGTGCAGGTCGAGCTTACCAGACGTCCAGCGCCTGTAGATGCCGCGATCCCGGTAGTCCTCGTACCATGGACTGCAAGCGAACCTGGTTCAGAATGATCTTTATGCAGCGGCAGACCGGGACGCTCCCGGGAATATCTGGCGGACGACGGGGAGACGCTTCGTGGTGTGCGGCGGCGAGGAGGGTTCATGAGTAAGTCCGCCCCAGAAGGCTCTCTGATTGAGTAGAATACTCTCTGCCGGCAGCTTGAAGACGTCAATGCTAATTACTAACAGCGCCGCCGCTGATAAGAACATGAAGTTTTATATTGCTGGTCGCCCGGACTATCACGACATGGCACCGGTGTCCACAGTACGGGCATTCCCCAATACTTTCTCCCGACACTTATGCAGGTCTCGATGCTTCGAGGAAGCGGTGTTAGTGTTACTCGCCCTCTACCCAGAAAACAGGGCGAGCAGATCAGGCATACCCGGTCGAGCAGACTCGCGAGCCTCGTGGAAGGGCTGCCGTACGCCGGCTGCCAGGGACGAGAAGCGGAGTGTGGGCTCCGGCATGTTCTTGGAGCAAGCTTCGCCGACGGTTCTAGTACTGGGCGTATCGTTCTGTTCTAGGGGCGAATAGCGTGCATCTCGGCGAGATCAACGCTAGAATGGATCAGTAGGCCCTGTTGTTCATCCGAAGCTCCCCAGCTACCAGAGATACCCGTCAGGCCCACCTAGCACAGAACCCGGTGGTAGGGTCAGCACTCACAAGCACATGCTAATACTACTGGCTCCCACGCTCTAGGATTCATGCTTTCTTTCGCCGTTTCTTCGTCGCTGTTTTTGTTGCATATCGCGAATCACTGGGCACGCAGTTGCGGAACATCTCTAGTACTTCATGCATCTAATCACTCTTTATCAGCTGCATCTTTCTTTCCCATCACTATTGACCAGGGCAAGAAAAAAACAGAGCTAATCCTGCACCACGTGTGGCCAGGCATCTTCTTTTGGAGTTAAGGTTCGTCTTTGCATACACTGCCTGAACTGCCGGTCCCGACATCGGACCAATACCAAGATATAGCCTTGAGCCGCAATCTCTGGTCAGGGAGGGAATCATCCTCATCGCTTCAATGATGGGAAACTGCGGCCAGGATCAAATCGACCTCATTCCGAGATCTGATTAACGTGGTCTACAACGAGCTCTTCTTCCCGAACCCTACCTGATCCAACCAGTCTCCTATGATCGCATTGACCTCTTCTGGCTTCTGCGTTGGGGCCCAATGCGTCGCTTCGACTTCTCCTCTCGTCAGATTCGCTAAATACTTTTCCATTCCTTCTGACATGGACGGTAACAGGACTGAATCGAACTTCCCTGCGATGAACAATGTCGGGATTTTGATGTAGCTCCTCTCACCCAAAAGGCTAGGTTCTCGGTCAGAAATTTCATTCAATCACTTCACCAGATATACTACTCACGCTTGGTCTTCTTCCCAATTTTCCTTCCGCTGGCGATACCAGTTTACTAGGTCTAGGTTAGCCATGTCATTCGGAGGCAGTGAGTGTTTCCTAATTACAGGTTCCATGCATTCCGTTCCGGGAATATTCATCGACGTAGTAGTCCATTTCCTGTATTCTGATCAGTCTCTTGTATCCTTCTACTATTCCCAGTCGGCTTTCCCTGAACCGCTTCCTTGGGCTGGGCATCCTCGACACATCGCATGTAGTACAGTGGTGGCGTGAGATAGTCTGATGGCACATACTTTGTCACTGAACAGCCTGGACTTCCCAACCTTCGGTAGGTTCTCAAACAGGATTCCCTTCTCCGGAGAGAAGATCACCTCACCGTTTGGTCCTTTGCCACCATACATGCCATTGAGGAACTGCCTGATCTGAACTTTGGTTTGGATGTGAGCTTCGACCTCGGGACCGGCGAGATGCAGCTGGTATCCGAACTGTGGTACTGGTCCCTTCACGAGATCTTCCGTTGGGTAGAACTTTTCTTTCGGCTCTGTGTATGGCGTGCAAATGGAGAAGACGTGAGAAACCAGCTCAGGATGCCTACAAGAATCAGCATTTCTGTAGTTGCTTCCTGGTCATACGTTCGATACCCTTACCATTGCGCAGTTCGCCAGACCACGAATCCTCCCCTGAAGAGTCTGTCAGCACCAATTCTAAAATCGCTACACATTGGTACACAAGCAACATACCAGTCGTGTCCACCCAGTATGATCTTCGGAGCACCAAGCTGCCTCGCTAGCTCTGCGATATCATCTGCAGCTCTCTTGTAGCCGAACAAATTGATCTTATTTGGCGGTACTCGCGGGCATGCCTGCAAAATAGCTTAGACATAGCTCCCCACCGACTCTCACGATATGCTTCAAGCAGATAAAGCGAGCACTTACAGTCCCCCCAAAGCCCATCAAGTCCGGCGCCACAACTCTGAAACCCCTCTCAAGGAAGAAGGGAATCTGATACCGCCATCCCATTGACAGATCGGGCCATCCGTGAATCTGCGCGATCAATTAGCTTCAAACCCCAATAGCCTCGATGCAGTCTTTCCTGTGTAGCTCCAGGCACCTCGAAATCACCTAGTCCAATCACAAGTGACACCACAGTGAATATATAAATCGACTTACCAAGAACACAGTGCCCTTAGACGGACCCTGCGGTTCCCCATACAAATAATGATATGGTTGCCCATTCAGCAGCGCCGTTTTACGCGCCACTCGCATATCGGAGACAGGATCAATAGGCTTAATAGCCATAACGGCCACCCGTCTGCAGCTGCGCGGCGATATATATGGTGTGCTTTATCGCGGAGATAACGGCGTTACACAGCACAGCAACGTAAGATGATGGGAGTAGAGGGAGGAGGAAATCACACCAATAGTAAGAAGCTAGAGCTAGGAAATATAGGTACAATAGCGGTGCTTTGGATTTGTAGGCATGGCGGATTGAAAGAGCGAGGTGTGCGGACTACTGGATTTTTAGTGATGACGTCCTCGGGGGACCGAGGCACAATCCTGTGATCTGAGAGAGGAAGGTGGAGGCTTTCGAAGCATTGTTGTTCCTCTTCGCGCGCGATTAATAGACTAAGCAAGGGCGATTCAGTGAATCGGCGTCTCCGTATGGTTTATTTGTGAAAAGGCTGCTACGAATGTGTGGATTCAGGTCACTGCACTAAATAGAGCATTCGAGGTGTGAGTGATTTGGGACTAGCATTGTCTGCTAGGGTAGCATTTCAAGAAGCAGTTCTATGCATTTCGTCCCAAACTGTGTGCAGCAATCCGGGAAGCGACGGCCATCCTGCCGTCAGCGCTGTCTCGGTGCATGTACGCACACGGAGCGCTTGGGACGAGCAGGTTGAACCATTCCACCGGGAACCCTCCGCATATGTGACAACACTTCGCTGCATGCAGCATCTAGCACCAGACGGTTGTGAGAGAGATCTGTAAAACCTGTCTTGCATCCACTGCGGGACGCTTGCATTAATTCAAAGAATGCCCGCAGATATGCACCTCATGACCTGCAGACGGAAGTATACAAAAAGGAGGTATCAGGCACTATCCAGAGAGGTCGCTTTTTTGAAAACATCAATCCTGTCCTGGTAGGACAAAACCCATAACCCGACCTCCCGTTCATACCCAATAGCGCAGTAGCTGCACTCCATAGGCTTATATCATACAAGAAAGCATTCCGGCAGGTCCCATCAAAAGGTATGCTAGGAGAGGGAAGGGAAGGTGTGCTGGGGGAGGGAGGGGGGAAAGACAACCTTGGTCCTGGATCGACCGTGAGTGAAGAGATTCAATCCCTAGAACCCAAGCCGTCACTATGTTCAATAGATGACGGTGTCTTCTGTAGCTTCGAGAACGACATCTCCGGCGTCATCTATCGTTTCCTTGCTGGTATCTTTTGCGGTCCCTGGTTTCGAGTTGGTTTCCTGGTCGTTGGCCGCCCCGTCCCTTGTCACCGCCTCTTCCTCTTTCGCCTTCTCCCCATTATCGTGTTCAGAGTCATCAATGACCCGGATAGCAGCACTGTGATCAGTAGTTCCGCTTGTAGAGAGGTTCTCTTGTACGTCCCCGGAGGGAACTGAACCCACCGGTCTTACGGTCTCTGCGTCCACTCGATCGAATGGGCCCACCCCCTCTTTTTCTTCGCGTCGTCTCCTGAAGTCGTCCAGCTCCTGGTCTACGATTGCTTGCGCTTCGTCAACTTGTGTATTGATCTGGTCCTCTTCGGCAGGGGTGATCTCCCATGGTTTGTAGTACTGTGTAGTTGTTAGCGATACAGCTCGATCGGAAGAGACGTAGGTCCCAAGGAGTGGATTCACATGCCAAGCGTGGTTCTGTCCTAGTGTAGAGGAATTGGGCCATGTTTAGGAGATTCGAGTGCCGTATCCGCATCTGGAGAAGTTGTCAGCACCCTGACCCCCGGCCCAACCGTCTTCAACTTGCCGACTCTTCGTCGAATCTCTTTTGCTCCTTTTTCCTCATAGCCACGAGCCTGTCGAGTCGTTCTTGTTTCCTCTGGTCGAACTCTTGCTCCTGGAGCTTGAGCTTAGCCGCCTGCTTCTTCTCAATGTCCGCCCGACGTCTCTGCGAGGTTGACGAGGAGTTCTGTGAGAGAGCGCCTAACATCGCGCCGAGTAGCCTCTGGCCCCGTTTCCTCTCCACCGCGGCAACATTGCCCTGTCCGCTCCTGCGCGTCTCTGCCGCTCTGTCCGGTATAGATTCTCTCCGAGCTGGGGGATCGTCCTCGGTGCTTAGTCGACGTCGCTTGCCATCCTGCTCTGAGAAGGAAGATTGTCGGCGTTTGAGTCCATTCGGAGGTGAGGCTGGGGTCGGCGGAAGGTCTGCAGGTTCCGGGAGAACCACGGCAGATGCGATGGACCTAAGAATGTTTAGCTAGACTGCTCTATTTACGAAACCTAAGAGAATGGTTAGCATTACGGTATGTCGTCCGCCATAGGAGTAATGGTGGTTGGATGAACTTGTGACGGAGTGTAGCAGGCAGATGTTGGTGGTATAGAAAGTTCGAGGCTGCAGCTTAACCCCAGTCGGGTGATTTATAATGCCCGTCTCGCCCCACGCCACTTATCAACCTCAATTCACCTGCACTTTCAACACCTGCACATAACCCCGCCACATATAAGATCACGGAGAGGAACAGCACTCCTAAACCCACACAACCTCACTGTTACTCCTGGACACGCCTTCGACCCCGACCTACCCACCACCATGTCTCGCCATCATCCGTACGTCTCCCCGCCTTCCTTCTCCTTGATATCAGAGCTGACCTTCACTGTAGCGACTTGGTCATGTGCCGCAAGCAGGCTGGAATCGCCATCGGACGCCTGTGTGACAAGTGCGATGGCAAATGCCCGGTTTGCGACAGCTACGTTCGTCCTACGACCATCGCCCGCATCTGCGACGAATGCTCCTTCGGAAACTACCAGAATAAGTGTGTGGTCTGCGGTGGTGACGTAAGTTTCGACCGACAACCCATTATATCACTATGATAACTAATACGTTTGAACTACAGGGCATCTCCGACGCGTTCTACTGCTTTGAGTGTACACGACTCGAGAAAGACCGGGACGGTTGCCCTAAGATCATCAACTTAGGCAGTTCGAGGACGGATCTCTTCTACCAGAAAAAGAACTTCAGAAATCACTAACGATAAGGTACGTCCGGTCTTCAAGCATAGACGGGCGAGACTTCGAGCATAGGCGGGCGGAATTCCTTTCAGGAAAGGGTCTCACTAGAGGCATGGGCTATTATACCAGAATGGAACAATTTGGGGGGCGACAACGGAGTCAGTCTCTATCAAAAGTAGGCTTCGGGTGGAGTTAGGCCTATTTTCAAAATGAACATCATAAATTGACTTCTATCAGTTCCTCCATATTTGGTATAGGTGCAGGAACCATCGCAGATCATTGGAAGCCGACGGTGATTACAGTGCCTCTTCGTAAGTGCGTACAATCTCTTGGCATTCTTTGTGGTCCCTCAACGTGTATTACGAAATATGAATGAGGGGAACATCCATGATTTAGAACGACTCATGAGCTCCTTGAGCCACCTCAGACGACGCCACCTAGGGGTGTATTACTCATGATCGTTTTGATCGAAACGCCCTTCATTGTTTGTCAGTTATTTCAAATAATGCCGAAGGCGAAGGAAAGACAGCAACATAACCAAGGCGTTTCCATACCGACCAAACCACTCCACTGTGCTCTGGCGAGGGCGCGTTATCCTCTCATAAAGCTCCAACTCCACCTCCTCCAGCCCTTTCGTGATCTCATCTCCTCCCACTGGGTCTATTCCTTGACAGTTCGCCCTTGCCCACAAAAGCGCGAGTATTCGTAAGGACTCGGTCGTATTGTTGTCAAAGCGCATAATAGACCGATGTAGTGCGCCCGCTTGGACCAGCTCCTCGAGAGCCGTTGCGAAGTCCGGTTCCTGATCGTCTGGCTCGAATATATGTACGAACGATTTCTCCGTTGCACCAACATCACGAATGCTTCTCCAAGGATGCTTCGTATCGAACAGAGTGCTTAGCATGCCGTTGCTTTTCGGATTTCCCAGATCACCCCGTAGATGAAATATCAGCCTCGGATCCACGGGCATTATGTCTACGCTCTTAGGAACGCGTCCCGGCCTTGTCAACAAGACCAGAGGTACCCAGATGTCCTTCTCGTGACCGGGTATTACTTCGTAGCATGTCAGAATCGTTGGTCCAGGTGCCTCTGCCTGCGAAGGCTGCCTCGCGAGCGCCGGCGACAGTTCCTTCGACAAAATCTCCGGTATTGGAACATATTCCCTGTTCCTCCATTGCTCCGCTGCCTCCTTGAGTTCAGGTAATAGGTTTTTTTGAAAGAGGTACAAGATGTGGTTTCTTTCTTTAGATTTCTCCCTCGCCTTCTCTTGCGTCTTTAGGAATAGATCTCGTCGTTTACGTGACTCTTCCAGAGGGTCGAGGAAGAAGTAGATTTCATTCCCTTTGGAAACGGTGTTCCCCATTCTTGGTCTACCGCGTAATATTCTACTTCATACTAGAAGCTTTAGGGTTTTAATTCAATGATATACTTACAAAGAACACGTCAGCGAACGCTCTTGTGTTGTAGTAACTTCACTTGCTAAATCTATTGTCCAAGCACCTTCAATAAGCCTGTTGCTTCACTTTCTAGGTGTGACTCGTGACAACAAGCCTTTGGACTCGTCGTTTCCTCGGACACATGTCAATCTTAATAACTTATCCGCCCCAACCCAAGCTGAGAACGAAGATGATAGCTGTCATCTTCCTTCGTTCCTTATTCCTGATTCATTAATTATTGATTCCGAACTCCTGAAAGCCCCCCTTCATCCCACAATGCCGATGACCGCCAACGTACGAGTGAGCTCTCATCCACCTTCCACCAGCAAGCCATAGCATCTGAACATTGGTGGAACTCGAACAATATGTACATGAGCGCCGGGTTCGCGACCAGCATTGCTTGCTGTAGGTGATTGTCACTATCCAACATTACGCAAAGGGCAGGATATCTGTACTCTCACGCTCCAATGTCACTCCTAGAGGGGCACGTTCTAGGTTTTGAACTACAAACTCTCCGCTCATATGAACTGTCGATTCACTGGTTTATTGCAACCGACCAGCCGGACTTCTATTCCTGTTGTAGAGGGACGAGAGAAGTTCATCGCCAAACAGCCGTGGATGTCGCCGGAGCCTGACCGTCCACGTGTCAGTCAAGTGACCCGGGACTCGACCGACGCGTTGAAGGCATAGATCGAAAAGGCACCCTGGACGCGAAGGAAAAGCATGAGACTCGATGATAGACGAAGGCCTGAATCTGATTGTTTGACCGATAATCGACGCAGGCATATGAACAGGCAGTTTTTATACCACCACCAGAAGTGCACAGCTCCCAGCCTACCCCC